AACTTCTCCTCCTGAAGCCAGTTGACATACGCATCCCATTCGGCTTTATCTGGAATGCTGACAGTGCATTTTCCGGCCTCCCACTCCTCCTGGACATCCTTAAAGTCAGGGAATGACGGACGACTTAGCCCACCCAGTTCGAGATCTGCCAGGTCCTCAGGCGCGCCGACAGTGAAGCCACGGATGTCATAGCCCTCCTCTTCCCAGCGTCTCAGCCGCTGCTGCACGTCTTCGACTGACAATAAACGGTACCCGGACTCCTCCGTGCCTCTTTTGTCATCGACAGGGATGGTAATAATGCAGGCCTTCCCGCGCCAGACGATTTTCTTCCTGGGTCTGGGCGTGGGCGTTGGCGTTGGCGTAGGCAGCTCCTTTTCCAGAGCTGGCTTTTTTACTGGTACCGGAGTGGATGAGCTCTCAGAGGGGTGCGATATTGATTGAGGTTCGCTATCAGCGTCTGCTGGGGGCGGAGGCAGCGGCTTCTCAGCCGGGGACGGCGCCTTGCCGGTCTCCATCCCCGCTGAATGTGGTGTATCCTTTACTTCTGTCATGGTAAGTGACTGGGGATCCTTGTCGTATGCGAACCCCCAAAAGTCTTCTTGTCGGAGCGTGTCAGTTCGTTTGTGCAGGGAATCCTTGAGTTTCTGACGCCCCAGGCTATTCTCGCCGTTAGCAGCGAGAGCTCGTCGGCTTACAAAGTCGGCGAGTGTTGGGGTTCTAAGCAGGTCCTCGCCACGCCTATCCTCCTCCAGACCAAGCCAGTCGTCCGAAGCGTCGTCGGCGAAATGGTTCTGCGCGGTAAAAAACGAGGGGGCCTCGCTACCGGAGTCGTCGCTCAACCAGTTGCTTCGCTCCGTTCGTGGTTGCCCTGAGAGATATTGGTTGATCCAGTCCTGCGTAAAATCCTTGATGGATTTGCCTCCTTTCCTACTAAGCAGGTCTCGTCCAGGAGAACGACTGAGAAGGTTGCTGTATAGGTGTCGCGCCGATGTCTCCGCGGCAGAAGGCTTTAGTAAGTCCGTATTATTTATCTCAGGATCGTGGTGTTTACCACTTCGCATCGACGCTGGAGAGCTGTCTCCAGAGGCGCGATCAATACCCGCGAACTGACTTAATGACCAAGAAAGCCTCCGGGGGCTGGGTGCCGCATAAGGTGAGCCCCAAGCAGTTGTATAATAGACACTACTCTCCTTCTCTCGGTTATCCGGGGACGATGTCAACGACTCCCAAGCCCCACGCAATTTGGGAAGAGTCGGGAGAGCAGTCGTCGAGGGATTCGGGGTGACGCTGTTGGTCCTGGGGGTTGCTGCGGGCCAGGGGATCTGGAGGCCGAGCGATTCGACACTTCTGGAGATGCGTAGGATGGTACCAATGGAACGGTCGAATGCGAATCGTCAGGATTGTCGTTGGGTATCACGATGGACGGCGGCAGACAAGACGCCGAATTGGCGGAAGAAACGAGCGGATCTAAATCTATTAAGAGAAGAAGAATCGACTAATTAGCTGCTGAATCGCGTACGACGATGACTGGGAGGAAAGGTCATGGCGCTCGATGGCGTTCGGCCTAACACAATGCCATCAATGGACAATTTGACCTGAGGAACTGTATCTGCATAACAGATAGAAGAAACACACACCTTCCGTGTCGACACCTGCAGCAAGCCCTTGCTTGCTGCTCGCCTTATCGTCCAGAATGTTGAAGCATGGAAATCAGATAACAAAAAATCGTAAACCACCTCGTAGATCGGTCTTCACCCTGAATTACGGGAATCGAATCAAGCTGCGCGCTGTAGGGAACGGGCGTTCCCGCGGCTTAGACGTCGAATGGAGAACGTGCTCGAGAGATTCCTTCAGGGAGGGGAGCCTTCAATGATGAAAAAATCAAAAGCTGACCCTAACGAAGGTAGACAAGGAAAGAATGGACGAATAATTAGAGACAGCTAAGGGATGCGAAAATCTTGGACCATGGCGCATACACAAAGGAGAGCCAGATCGAGGGCGGAGGATGAGGAAGGTAATCGAGACCAACGACGGCGTAGACTAAGGGGAGAGAGAAGCGATGGCCTCTTTTTTTTTAATATTAATCTGAAAGAGGTCTTGGCTCCTTCGTCTTGGTTCATGTCACGATCAGCAGAGCAGAACTTAAAAAACGCCAGACTACGGAGGAGACTAGGAAACTCATGGCCGAATAAACCTCGAGCCAACGGCCGTTGAGGAGGAATTACTCAGGGATCCTCCGGGTTCTCCGTGTTGTCTAAAGTCTACAGCATTTTACAGATGACTGAGTAAACTGAGTATTCCCGTTTCTATCGGGAGATCCCTGGCGGATTGATATGTTCTCATTACTCTGGAGTACTCCCCCCAATGCTACGTATCCGGTGCTTGATTGTTTACACCGGGTGCACCTTCGATGGCTCGTTGGTTACCTCAGTAGCTTTGACCGCCATCTGGTGACTGTACTCGGTACTTGCATTTCACCGAGGATTATTGATCTTCTGCGACAGAGCAGCATGATAGTAGAACAATCTAAATTTCAGCATCAACATACTCTCCATCGATTAATTGATAAAGGTGATTATTTGTTATTACTCTTTTGCGGGCGACGCGCCCTCGTGGTTCGTGTCTTCGATTCAGGGGTAAAACTACGCTACGAACCACGGTTCTCTTACTCAGTGCGCCCTCTGACCACTCCGGCTACAATTAGTACCCCGTAGAGGACTGGATTACACCAGCTTACTCATCAAATTGTGCATAAAATAACTACGCATCAAATCAGAATGATCCACCAAGTCATCCAGAGTCACTGCTGATCAGTAACAACACATAATCTACCACCAAATCCAATGGAAGACTACAGTGGGACTGAAATAGGGCCTAATCCTACTGACCGAATTATACTTTGAGAACTCAGTAAATTCACTTCCGACTCAAAGACAATAGCTGTTCAGATCTCTAAAAAACTGGTATATCCGGCTGGTATATCATACAAAGAATAAAGTCCACCTGGGATTCCTCACCATCCTTGTCACCCTAGCAAATATGATCCTAGTGCTTGGGGCAGGTCAAATCGAACTTGGCCTTACGGCCCGCGGTGAATGCACCCCAGTGCGTTTCGTCCTGCATCTCACCGTTGTCGCCCTTGGTCTCGGGCTTCCAGGACTCGTCAAAGGCCTCAAAGTAGAAGACATCAACACCCCATGCTAGAATGCCACAAACGGCAGACTTGTAGTAATCAGCAGCATTCTCAGTGCTGGCGACGGCCGGTCCGTAGTTGCTTCCACCAGCTGTTTAAGACGTCAGATTCATTATCCACGTGAATCCATGGAATTCAATATGTGCAAAACTTACTTGTGGGCCATCCAGTCTCACCGTTGCCGAAGCGAATCTTGTCGGCATTAGACCCGGCAACTTGCTCAATGTGGCCCAGAGCCTGAGCCATGTCATCAAAGTATGTGTTGGTGGCATTGCTCAGCTCCTGGCCCTGCCAGTAGGCGAAGCCGTTGGCCAGGCTATGTAGAAGTCAGCCAAGTTCTTGAGACAAGACAGAATGGAGTCCCGAAAGAGCTTACAAGTAAGTGACACCGCCCTGAATGATGGGATCCGCCGTGCCATCAGCAAACTTGTTCCAGCTGTCCACCATTCCGACGGTAACCTTGGGGAACTCCTTCTGGACCTGCTGGATTCTGGCGAGCAGAGCCTGAGGAGTGAGACTCTTTCGGTAGAGCACCTCGGAGCCGACGGTGATGGCGTCAATAACATCCTCGTTTCCAGGGACAGATTCTTTCAAGGCGTTGAAGTCCTCGGTGAAAGACTTATCGTAATCGGGCCTACCAAACGGCGAAATGTTAGAAACCTAGCCGTTTGACGTAAAGAGAATGTAATGTGGCGGGGTTCGTACCAGACACCCAGGACGACTTTGAAGTTCTTCGCCTTAGCCGCTGGGATGATATTCTTCGCGGTGTCGCAGTCATTCGCGGAGTAGATGCGCACGAGAGAGGTCACTTCTTTCAACGTATCGAAATCGGTCTCATAGTCCGACTGGACTTTGCATTTGCCGTCTGCGTTCTTGTTGCCGAGGGCGAAACCCAAAGTTCCATTCTTAGTGGCAACAGCGGTACCGGCCGCAAGAGCGAGAGGGAGCAAGGTGCTGACACGCATTTTGAATGTACGTGTTGCTCAAAAGGTCAAGAGGAAACGAAAGTGATGAAACTGATTAATGTTATAAACACAAAACTGCTTCAATTTAAGCACAGGAATAGACGAAAACAATACCGGATAAAAATAGCGACAAGAGTAAGGAGAGATCGGAAGGAGGGACAGTTATGCAATAAATAATGGAATCAAAGACTGGCAACCGATCCCGTACGTCAGTCGATAAGAAGAGAATGTGGAGTAGTTGGAACTTGGAACGGTCGAGAGGTCGAGAGAATGATTAAATTCAACGGATAAAGGTCGCCTCCTGAAGGAACTGGAAGAGAATGAACAAACGAATGTTTGGTTTTGGCTCTCTTTGGCCCGGGGGCGCGGAGGGAGAATTCGCCATCACCCAGTAAGGCATCGATCAGTACCCTTAGGTAACGCAGGTACCTAGGTTTCCGTCTCAGGGCCAGCGCCCCCTATGGAGCAATCCCAACTGTGCCACAGTCTGTCACCCAATCCGAGATCTCAGTTTCTTGAGCGACCCACGCGCGGTACCTGGTTTAACGATATTGGGGCAAAACGCTTCGGCGATCCCTATCACCCTTGATGCTTCTGCCTTCGGGGCTCATTACTGGGTGAAACCTCCACAGGGGTCTTTGGTTCCCCAAGTGGTTTAGTGAGAGAGGCCTGGACCCTGTCTCTCATACTGTCATACCCAAAAGCAGTCCGCTACAAGTGATAGGACGAACCAAACCTACACATATGATAAACGGCGTACAAGCATTTCTGGAACTCAGTTTTGATGGACTTCTTTTTCCAAAGAAATCCGCAACATAATCGCTGCCACCTACTGTGTCTACCGCCGCTTGGATAAGGCCCTTGAAAAGAAAACGGCTCAACGTAATACCTTATGTGATCCTAGGCAGCTAATAATATACCAGCAGGGGGAGAGTCAATGATGTCACACACTTCGAACAACGCGTGTACATTGAAGGAACCCTGGACGTTCAATTGATGGAAGAACCAGAAACAAACAACCGGCCAAGTCCGCGAGAATGGCTTGTCCTCATCTTTGAAGTTGCCATTCCACCGAGTGTACTGGTCTAGCCTTGGTTCTTATCCGATGCCGGTTACCATCAGGGCGAGAACTTTCCATCCGATGAATGTTGGAACTGCACAAACTTAGACATTTTGCCTTTCTACCACACCGCCCACCCGCAAGCTTACCCTTGGTGGTTGTCGAGAACTGACTTTGCCTGTTCAGGGGTGATTTTACGACCGGCCATGCCATTGAATCTTGTACTGATGGCCTGCCACTGGTCCCTTTTCCATTGAGCAGCAATTCCACGAAGTAGAGTGACCTCCTCCATGGTGCAGTCCCGGTCGATGTACTGGTGACGGGAGTCCTCGTACTCTCCTCCGTATTCAATCTCCTCGAACTTCATCACAGTCTGTCAGCTGTCTTGCGAATCATGGAAACAGTCGAGTGAGATGTTTGAGAGTTCTACTTACTTCACCATCAGTGGCCAAGGGATCGGAAAAGAACGTGAGATGGTCTGGACTAGTTATTTCACGATCATGCGGCAGATTGCTCGAATACCGGAAAGTTTTGCGGTCCGCTTGTCTGATACTCTGTAGTCTGTCGCCCCGAATCTCGTTCAACCTGTATTTCAGCTCTTCAACGAAGCTGTCGCTCAATGCTCTGGGAAAATGTTTCCACGACGTCTCACGACTTTCAAGCTGATGAAGAATCCTACCACCGCCTCTATTCCATCCGGACACATCGTTGTTGCCTTTGTTCGATCAGTCCGTCATTTTCTCATTCGTTTAGATCCTAGAACTGTATTTACCCGGCCTGTTCTCCACAATATCCGTCCATAGAGCGTCAGTCTCGGTTTCAGTGTGCCAGAAGTTCGTGTTGTGCTTTGCAGAAACCCTAGCTCGCTGCAAAAGATCAGACTCGTCCTTGTAATTTGGCATCATTTGATAGGTATTGCTGCTACCCTATGCGCATCAGTGGCCAGCAGATCTTTGCACAGCGTCCTGGGTCTGAAGATGGAGCTCAGAGGAACCCGATAACGTATGCCGTCGACGACATAGACCGGCATCTCGATCGTTCCTCAGTCTTTGCTGGGAATTCAGACAAGCTGTAGCAATTATAGTACAGCCTCACCATTCATTATCTACAGGAAATCATGAGCGTATTGGTACTATGTGGTCTCGAGATCGGCCTACAAGGTACTTTCTATAAATGGCAAGTACTGGTCAAAGGCGGGAAGAAGGCATGAGCAAATTCTGCCTTTCAGCAGGAGCTTGAACATTGTCCTTGTACTGTGAGTGGAGAGACGTAAGTTCTTCATTTGTAGCAGGAGAGTCGCCTCCATTCCTTCATGGATCAAGGAGACGTTCTCCTGGATCCATGCAATACTCGATATATACAATCCGGTTGGTCTTGTTTGGAGGGGAAGGGAACAGTCAGCGTGCATCATGTTTTTGGTGGCAGGAAATACTGATATAGAATGGCAGACGTTTAAGTAGAGATGAACTGCGAACCAAAATCTTCACATTAGATGAACCATTGAATGAGTTGCTTAGGTGCAAGGTCCGCGGAGAGCCATCTACGAGTCCTGAGGCGGTTTGCTTAGAGGTGGTCCGAGCGTCTCGAATTTCCAACTCCGACAGAGAACACCTTGCGCGTCGGAGACCATCGAGCAGGCCGAACATCACCACTCTCCTTTAAACCTCCTCCACTACCACATTAGAGCTTTGTCTTCTGCATGCAAGCGAAGTCATACACAAAATGCGATTCTCCACAACAACCCTTCTGATCTCCGCCCTTGGGTGGATCACAGCCGTGGCCGGGCACAACATTCAGCTCAAGGCGCACTCGAGAGAATGCTTCCACGAGACATTGCACAAGGATGATAAGATGACCGTTACCTTCCAGGTCGGCGACAGGGAGTTTGGTGGTAGCGGGAACCTTGAGATTGATTTCTGGGTAGGTCCCCTGAAACTCAAGCTTGGCCTTGATCATTTATTTTGATTGTCTCGAGGCAATCGGTCAATGGACGGCATCTATTAGTTACTAATCTGCCTTTTCTGCTCGTTCTACAGGTTGAGGACCCCCTAAAGAACCGCCAGTACTTCAGACAAGCCGTCTCATCGGAGGACTACTCGTTCACCGCGCACACCGACGGAAAGTACGTTTACTGCTTCAGCAACGAGGGTTGGACTTCGAACTCGAAGGAAGTGTCCTTCAACGTCCATGGAATCGTCTACGTACCGGAACATGAATTGACCCAAGATCCCCTGGAGGCGGAAGGTATGAGCATTGCATATGGGCCTTGCACATGGGTTAGGCGGCGTCAACTAACAGTTTCTTTGCAGTGCGTAAACTCTCGGAGGCTCTGGCTCAGGTGAAGGATGAACAATCGTACATTGTCGTTAGAGAGCGGGTACATCGGAATACAGCGGAGAGCACAAACGCCCGAGTGAAGTGGTGGAGCATCTTCCAGCTTGCTGTGCTCATCGGTGAGGGTATCTTCCAGGTCTGGTGGCTGAAGAGATTCTTCGAGGTGGGTGTCGATACCAAACAGGCTTGTCGATAGTTGCGCTGACATCAATGTTCTAGGTCAAGCGTGTTGTCTGATTACATCCAGAGACGAAGTAATGGAGTTATATCGTGGGTGATGATTGGGGTCTTCGATTGCATTTACGGTCTGAGAGTTTGGCCTTTAGCATCCCTGCAATAAGACTGTAGTTCTTTGATGAGCGCGATGAAATATTCTATTTTAGTCGGAGGCCAGATCCCCCACAAATTATATGTCAATTCTCATGGCACCTTTGTTGACATAACCTAGAGGTCAAAAGTACCTACTTGATTAGACGACCACGGCACGCAGGGTGGTCAGCCCCGCATCCACCAGCAGGGACCCCAAACATCCAGAACATTGAGCTTCCAAGCCCAATACAGCAACTGATCACATTCTGGCCTAGCTAGAGCCAGACTCCTACATACAACTTTGTCCCTCATCCAGTTCCCCTAAAGTCTCAATGGCCTCAGTTCTATCCCCCCATCCAAGCAGAGAATCAAACGCAACCGGTAATGACAACGAAAACGAAACCGTCCATCTCAGCGACGATCCCATTTTTTATATATGCTGGGGCCGACAGGCGTGCGGAGCGTGCCTGAAGGGTGATGCCCCTTGTAGCTGGTGTCCAGTGGTACGTATCAGCTCGAAGCATTGCGCTAGCAGATGCAATAGATACAACACGTAGATAAATGCTAACGCACATAGACATCAACATGCGTCCCGAACCGGTCGCGTGTGCCTATATTAGCGCCTTTCGGCTCATCGACTATCTGTCCGCTTGGTTCAGAAGAGAGATGGGAGCTGCGGGCCTTGCCGTTCGGGTGCCGTGTTAGCACGATTACTTTTTTGACGGCTTGCGTGGCGGTGCTTGGGACGTTGGCGCTTGTTGGATTGGGGATTTTGCTTGGAAGACTCTGGGAATGTGGGAAGGGGTTCGGGGGTGTGCATGTGGTCGGTTTACGGGGGTGTCCGGCAGAAGTTACAGCGTTGGTGGATGCGTAGGAGGTCTGGGATTGGAGATGCAGAAGAGGATGACTACGAACGTCACCGGGCTGAGGCGGAGCCTTTACTGCGTTGAGTGATGCGGTGTGTAAACGGAAGTCTTGCCCAAGGTCTCGACGTTCGAGCTAGGTATAATCGGATATATATAATTTTTGACCAAAGGGCTCTAACCCTTGACAACCTGGCTGACCTTGTATTCGACAACAATGGGCTTGCCTTTCTCGACTCGGAATCGGCCCTGGCCGACGAATACTCGGTTCTCGAACTCCTTGTAGCGCTCATCACCGGTCTGCAGTCCGGTTAGAGCCTGGAAAAGCAGATATACGCGGGATGCGATCTCACCTCAAACGTAAAGTGAGTAAAGGAGTTTCCAAACGGCGTCGCGCCGTCCTCTGCTTTGCCGGAGAAAACAGCCTGTTCCGCGGGCCCCATCGTGACGACGCCGGTGTAGTTCATGTAGAGTAACTGTTAGTTGCGCCGTCAGCTGGCACCCTCAATCTTCGCTAGTGATACCGTGACGTACAGCCTCATCCTTGGTCCTGCGCGTGCCGAGTTAGCATCATTCTCCACTCTCGTGCTTCCATTCCCAGAATCCCTCCGATGAAGACTGACTTGATGACTCCGTGCGCATTCAAGCGCAAGTGCTTGTTGTCCGGGTCCGCATGGATGTAGTCGTTGCCGGTACCGACGAACTCGGCATCGAGGGCAAGGGAGTAACCGGGATCACTCTTGACAGTGCCACCAGTCATCGGCTTTGATCAATGTATTGTCTGTTAGCAATGGATGTTGTGCAAAGACTTCGCTTTGTGGCAGGCTTACCACGACCTGCAGGCTGTTGGAACGAGAGGCACTGCCTTGAACGAGGTTAGAAATATACTGACAATATTTCCTTTCGAGTAGAAGCTTACCAACAGCAAACCCAGCGTCAATCATGACCTATACCGAACACAATGGTTAGCCGTCCAGAGCAACGCCATGCTAAGTATTGCGTGATACTCACCTGGACTGTGAAGGCAGGCTGGAGAGAAGGAAACTCAGACATGGCGATACAATGGAGCCGGAATAAATAGGAGGTTGCAAACAGGATAGAGTCAAGGAGGGACAGTGCTCTTCTCGAGCCGACATGCACAAACAGAACGTAGGATAACTGAGGGGAAGCTCAACTTACCGTTTTCTAATCAACAACAACCACAGGGTGCCCCGCACTCCCGATAAGGAAATAAGCGTAGATCCGATCCTCGGCCATCCCTATGTACGCCGTAGCTTGTGTAGCCTAATCGGGCCGCAGACTTGGTCCGGCCAGTTTAGCAGATGCATCAAACTGTTGGCTTTAATTGCAAGATGAGACCTGGCACATTAGAGGAGAGCTCGACTCGAAAGTACTGTAGCAGTGTTTCTGTGATAGTATGGTTCTACATGCATAACCCTTACCGTGACGATTACTCTATGAATATGCTTAAGCGGATTTACCACGCAGTAAAATAGTGCATAAGACCTTGAAACGAATAAAGTGATCATCTGCTTTCTAAACATATGGCCGATGCATGCGACCACTTGTTTGCGCGGACTGTAGATTAGATGGACTAGATAGATGGATACCTTACTCGTCAAGAATGCCTCTGCATGCAACGCGCAAGGTCCTTCAACCCTTTCGCTTCTGACCAAACAGTCCCTGGCAGTAGCCCACGTGGGGAGGCCAATAGGCAGAGATTAGAGTGTACTTACAGTCACGAGATAATGCGTCTCAACTGTCGCCTGTCATGGCGAGGCGAAGTCTAACAAAAAGAAGATCGCACTTGCTTTATTATTGAGGATGTTGCCCTCGCCTTCAAACGACTTACATTGTCAATGTCTCAATATAAGCAGACTGCCTTGCGAAGAACGGCTGAGGGCCAAGCGGAACCAGCGAAAACTGTCGAATGGAAACCTTTCCTGATTGGGTGATTAGCTGTTGGTCCCACTGGGACTGATCGATCACCTGCAATTGTGCATCATCAGTGACGTTGGTGACGGGTACGTTGGGCTACAATAATTTCCTACTCTCTCCATCAATATTGAGAACCAATACATGATCAATGTTTGGAGTTCTTTCTGACAGGTGATTAAAGATCGATCCCCGCGTCGTCGGGACGTCTTCCCCCAGCACAGGGCAGAAAAAGAAGTACCAATCCAATGATCCCCTATCTTTTTCTGCAGGGTATCCTGGTTGCCAGTGTGACTGCCTTGCCCGTCTTGGAACAACAACCTCTCGGGCTTGCGGTTCCAGAATTAAACAGTCAATCTGATGGAGGAATGCATTTGGAAAAGTCGCGAAGGCTTCATGGGCGTTTTCTCCATATAACAGGTAAGATAGATTCAATTGGCTCAAGACTACGGAGTGTCAGAGGTGGAAGTTTGAAAAATCCGAATGAAATGCTGATTCCGTCTCTGTTTGTTCAGACCTGCATCCCGACCCTCATTACAAAACCGGAAGCTCTAGCGACGACGGCGCCCCATGCCATCGAGGAAAAGGTTCGGCAGAATATTTTGGAGCTGAAGGGTCGGACTGCGACTCGCCATTCTCCCTGGTCAACGAGACTTTCAGCTGGATAGAGAAGAATCTGAAGGGCAATATCGACTTTGTCCTGTGGACAGGAGACTCTGCCCGTCATGACAATGATGAGAAGATTCCCCGAACAGAGGATGAGGTTGTTCGATTGAATGAGATGCTGGCGGACAAGTTCGTCGATGTCTTCGGAGACAAGCGATTCCCTAACGGTCTCTCCATACCCATCGTCCCTACAATCGGAAACAACGACATCATGCCACATAATATTCTCAGAGAAGGCCCAAATAGATGGACGAAAAGGTTCCAAAAGATCTGGAGCAAGTTTATACCAGAGCATGAGCTCCATACATTCGTGGAGGGCGGCTGGTTCACGAGCGAGGTCATCCCAAACAAACTGACGGCCATCAGCCTAAATACGATGTACTTTTTCGACTCCAATTCCGCCGTCGACGGGTGTAAAGCCAAATCTCAGCCGGGCTACGAGCATATGGAATGGCTGCGGGTTCAGCTTCAATTGCTACGCGAACGAGGAATGAAAGCCATCCTTATCGGACATGTACCTCCAGCCCGAACAGACAGCAAACGGAATTGGGACGAGTCGTGCTGGCAGAAATATGCTCTGTGGGTGCATCAATATCGCGACGTGATCGTCGGCAGTGTCTACGGTCATATGAACATCGACCATTTCATCCTCCAAGACCACCACAATGTCAACATTGTTGATGCCGACCTGAATGAGGCCCCTTCGGAAGCTTCGAAAGATGCTACCGGTGACGCCTCCATTCGGTCTCGGTCAGGGTACCTAAGCGATCTCAGGCACGACTGGTCCAAGTTGCCGTCACCGCCGCCAAATTTTTCTATGGACAACAGTACCCTTGACGACTGGTTCGGAGACGGAGCGGCATTTGAAGACGACGATGATATCCAGTTCGAGAAATCCAAGAAGAAAAGGCGACAGTTTCTGAAAAAGATCGGCGGACCTTGGGCTGAGCGATACAGCGTATCGCTGGTATCACCCAGTGTAGTTCCAAATTATTTCCCTTCTTTGCGCATTGTCGAGTATAACATAACCGGACTCGAAAATATAAAGGATTGGGCCGCAACTTCTTTTGCTGCTGATACCCCGCCTTCGTTGGCGGAAAAAGCCAAGGAACCTCGGTCAGTTTTTGAGTCAGTCGAAGACCCGGATATGGATGAGTTGAAGAAAGGAAAGAAGGACAAGAAAAAGAAAAAGAAAAAGAAGAAGAAGCCGTCCTTCAAAGTTCCAGAACCTCCTTCCCCCACCGCCCCGCCAGGGCCTGCATATTCGAATCAGCCATTGACATGGCTTGGTTATACTCAATACTTTGCCAATCTTACGAAGATCAATAATGAATATTCTCAACGACATGGTCACCCGGCTGACAGTTTGGTCAATGAGACGAGAGGCAAAGACCTCTTTACTTTTGAAGTTGAATACGACACTATGAAGGATGACATTTACAAGCTGGAAGATCTCACTGTGCGCAGTCACTTCAAATTGGCCAGTCGAATCGCAAAGAAAGCCTCCGCAAAGGATCAGATGTCGGAAACCGGAGCTACCGATGACCTGCATGCTGCTATTGATAACGATGGTGACGACTTCGGAAATATGAAGGACGTGAAGGGAAAGAAGATCAGAAATCGAGTATGGAAGACATTCTTGAAACGGGCATTTGTAGGATACTACAGGAGCGATGAGATCGATGAGATCGATGATTGATGGAACCCGTAAGGTAGCTGATGGTTACCTATTCGCATGAGAGTTGTATAAATAGACCATAATCGTACTTTTTTTTTGACTACTGGAGTTACCTGGGTTCAAATGAGCTTCTCGCCTTGGGTACAGGACTTGAGACTATATTGATAGAAGGCGCTTGGATTGACGGCCCTTCTTGAATCTGAATCATAAAACCATTTCTTATCAGCAATTCCCGTATTCCTCTATCCAGATCTGACATCATACTGGCGGTGAAGAAGCTGGAAACAGCGCGGGATAGAGGGGTATTCGTCGTGACCGACAACGAGGATCACTTCATACTGCGAGTTGAACAAAGATAGAAACGCAGCAAAGCCCGTAAAGTAACAATCTTGATGACAGGACGTAAATTTGATGGCTGTACGGAGTGCTCTATCAGGACTCCGGCACAACAATATGACAATGCAGCGGTCAGTAAAGCGGTATATATCTGCCGGAAACTGATGGACAATAATACTGGCGTGGTGAGGACCATGACGAGCCAGACCTACCAAGTCATAAATGATGAAAGCGTCACTTTCCTCGATGTTCGGATCATCTATTGGCATGATAATCATCCTATCGTATCTATGAAAGACGACAGGATATTATGCGTCAGCCTCATATTTTCATTGATAGTATCTGAGTCTTATGCTTCGATGCCACGCTGGCAAGCGCCTTGCCAGCTGTCAGTTCGTTGAATTTGGTCTACCCATGACAATGCCATCATACCGTGCTACCAAGAAGCGCGGGGCTGAGACTCCAGCACCACCACTTCGTAGAGTCTTAGGTCGCATTTTTAGTACCAGAAGCCGTGTTTCCAAGCGGGACAGAATCAGGCGGAAACATCAAGTTCATCCCCCCTCGGCCATCTTCATCGCTGAATTTCGACCAGAGAGAATGCTTTGGTCATTGTCAAAACCCAAAGAGAGGCTTGGTGGCAGCGAGATCCACCGGGCCTTGTCACAGTGTCCCTATCATAACGTCCAGCTGGAATTAGAAGCTGCAAGTCAAGGAAAATCAGCAGTCGGGCTCTGACACGTATCGAGCTAATTGATACGCCGCCCCTCTTGCCGCATGGCTAGCAATTAGCAAGCCTAAGATTTTGCAGCTTTGGGCTTCGGAGTCGCTGCCATCATTGCCAGCAGCCACTGTAAAATCATAGTTGCCACCATCTGCACCATCTTGCTCATCCGCTTCACTGGTCGTGGGGTCAAATGGTGATCATGACGGGATACTGATTCCTACTATTTCTTTTTCTCTCATATCTCCGGTCATCGTTGGAGAATAAAAGCAATTTGGTGGCAGACTGGATGCATGTTCGGGACAGCAACGTGAATTTCTTTTCCGATCAGGAGATTGCTAGTACTCATGCGACTTTAATTAGCACTTCTTCGTCACAGTGGGCTGCTGTCGCTCGCTGCTGTCCAGGCGTCCAGGTGCATTGCAGACGTGAAGCCTCTTCCTTGCTTCATCTTCTCTATAGTACTTCAATCTCAAGTGCTTGTATTGATTCAGCAGCCGGATATACTCATCGACTCTAAGGACCAAACATATGTACCGGTCTTCGGTACTGGATTACGAGACATCAATCCGAGCAATTGACATCGGCGAATTCTATTGACTGTCAGGGATTGACTGGCAAAAGTATAGATCAACGGTCTGACCACGTCCAAAGACGCGCGATGCATCGGAACACCGTTCAGTTCTGCGACTACGAGCTCATTACCCTTTACCTCGCTACTTTCGACCGCTACTCTGTTCGAGCCTTGCTTTGTTAGCTCGGTTTATGCGATACCTCTTACTATCCGTGGCATCAAAACTCGATCCATTACGCCTTGCGAAGGAGGGTGAACATTCGACGAAACAGTTTATCGCCCTGCTTTGATAAAATCCTCCGTTTGATTTCATTACTGATCCTCAGTGGTTTTGTTTAATTGAAGCTTGCGTCTAATATTCTCGTGGGAGGCTCAATTGTCTGTTGCGTTGTCATATACTCGTTATCCGGCCGAAAATCGCAAAGCGCAAACAGGTCGACTTCATCAATCCGCATAATACTGATCACTTTTTTCTGCCTAATCCGGAGTAACCCGCATGAGATAGGGCACAAACGCAGACGACCGAACTCAATTGAAGGAATAGCATACGAAAAGTGCTTTGAATCTGTATTTTAAGCGCTAGCATCGGCCAAGCCAAAACGCTCCGAGTTGACGCTTGTCCAGGTTGTTGCAGGGAACGGCGTTTGACTGATCCGTTCTCTGTTTGCGCGCGCTTCCAAGGTAAGCTCTCCCGACTTAATGCTACCTATCTTTCTGTGCTTTTACTGTAAACCGAAGCCCAAATGCAATTGTGTCTCAATATTCAATGACCAAGTTATTCGGTCTTGACCGACTTGAATATTGCGAAGATACTATCGGATTATCGCCCCCAGCTCGCAATGGATATGGCTGACTCCCACGAGAATATTCCACTGGTAGATCCAGAGTGTCTGGCACTGTGGATGGCTTCTTCCGAGGTTGACCAGAAGGCTCTGGGCAACTTCGCTGCCATCACAAGCCTCGAGAATCCTTTTTTGTCCGCCATGTTATACAGAGTCTTGGGCTTGTCGGTAATGCTATCCAAGAAGCTCCTTCGCGCACGAAGATTGCGGCGTCTGGATCCCACGCGGGAGACAAAGTCCCTTCAACTGTATCACCATATCATTTGGCTTTCCCGGGAGGGTCTATTGATTTTGGAGGAGTTCGTCCTTCCCATGGTCGAGCCCTACGTGGAGTTGAAAATCCTCGCATACAAGCTCAGAGCCTCGTTTTATCATATCTTCGTTCTCTTCCATAACGAACCACCAGTCCATTCGCCCGGTCTTATGAGCCTCCGCAGCCACTCTTCAGTGACGAATAATGCTGCCGAAGCAGCGCCGTCTCCCAGGGACCAGGGGTCAAGGTTCTCATTTATTTCTAAACCAGAAGTCATGCCCCGTCCTCAGGAAACGGCCTCGAATCCAAAGGACGCTGCAAGACGAAGGGTCACGCAAGCTCCTCCTGGCCTAGCCCCGGTGCAGCCTCCCAAACCCTCTTCATCTTTCCTTCTTCCCTCTATCGATTATACCCCAACTGCAACGGCATGCTTCAACCATGCCGCTCTCCTTGCTGAACGGTTTCTGCCCGGATCGCATCCCCTACGCCTGTCGATAAAGCTCGAATATGCTGCCTACCTTTACGATTGCCTTCACGACCCGAATGCTTGTCGACGATTGGCGAAGCAAGCTATAGCAGACGTCTACAATGCTCAGGAAGGCATGGACGATGAGAGCTTTGAGGACGCCGCCGAGATAGTTCGGATCCTGGGAAAGATGGTAAAGCGCGCGGGCAAGAATAGCAGCACGGGACCTAGCAGCACGTCAGCTGGAACACCAAGAGGGGATATCTCGATGAGCGAGGGCAGCCTGACCCCGAAAGTACGAAAGTCCGTGTCACAGGCGACAACAATGACTTCAGTCTCGCCCGCTCCGGCAAATAAGTCTCCGGTCAAAAGCGATACGCCCTCTACTGCAGTTCCAAATCCAAGTATGGTGAATCCTATTTGACTTGGGCGCGCCGACCATTGCGGATGCCACAGTGAGTTCGCTCGGATGGTTCATGATTATCCTGTGTTCTTATCGGCTACGGAACCATGGTGTGAGTTCTGTTGCACTTCAAGGTGCGCTGGTTCATGTGTCTCTTTTTCAGCGGATTTTGCGTTCTTCATCTTCTTTTACTCGGCGGTTTGTCGTGGTTTATATAATTGGTTATATCAAGTTTTCCCACCGTCGATTGTACTTATAGTGATTGGATTGGATACATTATATTCATGTACATTTTGATACCGTCAAGTCTGAATGGCTGCTTTCAATAATATGTCCATCTATATCTCAAAAAACTAGAGTAACCTCGCACGGATGAACCGTCGTTAACGTTGTCAGGCAGCCAAAATCTATGACGGAGACATCCGTTGGTGCCTGAGGCCATATGCCCAGCCGCAAAATTTCTCCTCCCGTGAAGGAGGGGGTCAAACGAGTCAAGTTTCCCCGAAAAGACGGCAGAACGTGTGCACCAAAAATAAAAATACCTTCCGCTCCTGCATGCACGTCTTTTGGCTTTGAACTCTTAAACTTCTTCTCGAGCTCTGATTGACTGTCTGACACCAACACACTTGTCTTGTGATCCAACCAGGGGTCTTCGCTCGAGCGACGCGTCCTCATCGACTTGGCAACCACCAACACCCTCCGTTAACCTCCCTTTTACGTTGCAACGAGTCGTCCTTTACGTCATTCATACAGTGAAATTCCTTGCGGTTCCAGTCGCATTGGACAAGGGTTGCAACAGTAGATAGTTGACCGGACTGGCTGACTAAATTCTACGGAGGACTCTATTTTTTTATGCTTCGCTCTCCCGCCGTCGTGCATTGACCCCAGTGCTTTGGTTGCCGGGGCTTGGATACGCAGACATAGACAACTCCCACACCACCTCACCTTAGCAAACACCGCCTGTTCCGCCGATCAGCCAACACCAACGAACCAACAGAGTAACGGAGCAATAGAGCGTGAGACAAACAGATCTACGAGTCTACAAGGCTGCGATTGCACATTCATGCATAGCCCGCTCGCAACTTTGAATTACAATTAGACCACCCCTCTCGTCGCACATCTTTTCTGGCAATGAATTTGCTTGTCCCGGAATTCTTATCAGCAAAGCAAAAGGATCTCAACTACCGTGAGGACTCGCCCTCATTAGTGCTGTCTCGCGTGCAACGTTCATGAGTTGTCTAAGATGCGGTCGGGGATTCAGAAACCCGGTGCAATTCCGTTCTTCGCGCTCATCCTCTTCTCGATACTCAGCCTGGTGCCGTCTCTAGCTAAAGAGTGGGGGTTCTATAATCTGCAGATCGGATATCGAGCTTATAGTCGCAGTGAGGATTGGCGTATGTGACTTGGTTCTCCGCCCTTCTTGTGTGATCTTGCTGACAGGCTGGGAATACAGATCTCCCCCGAGTAAAAGATGGCGCGATCGAAGTCCGACCGAGGGCAAGCTCGACCGGAGCTGTATGCAAGCCGTGGCTTGCTGGGGCTCCTTTCAATCCTGTCCCGATCGCAAAGGACGTCCGCGACGGGGTGCATTGGATGCGCCATCTCTCAGCGCATTCGAGGCGGCCTCTGTCTTCGACAGCGAACCCCTTACACAAACGGCGACCCGGTCGTCGAGTCTCACGAGAGGCGTGCACGCTTTCAAAACATTCTTCATCAAACAATTCGACGAATACCAGATCTTACAACCATTCTCACCTGGGAGCGCGCCGTCCGTGCCGACATCCACTTCACGTCCCGTTACACCAGTTAATTCGTCCGCCGCGCCAGCCTCCTTCCTCAGCGAGGAGCCCCAACGCTGGTCTCGTATCATCAATCAGACAACATCAACCTCGAAGCACATTCTGGAAAGTTCTCGGATACGATTCCTCTCGGGTTGTCACGACGCATGGCAGCAGGCCTGTCTTGTGGCTACGGGTTTCCTGAAAAGCTTTCCGTCGACGTTAGGTACTCAGCCCCTTTCCTCCAATTCCACGGAGTCGAGATTTCCGCTGCAATTGCCTGGCCAGGAGCCGGTGCGGAAGTCGGTCCCGGAACCCCTTCCTGCGGATGCACTCGCTGCGCCAACAAAACCGATCACTCAAGCTGCCCCGGCTGCGGGTCAGTCCGAGATAGCAGCGGTCGACGACAGCCCTAAGAAAATGCGCGGTAGCTGTATGGCTATTGTGATAGGCCTGGTTGTCGGGGTAATGTGGTTCTAGCGGGCTTTATACTCTAGACTCGCCACTTGGACCCTGACTCAGTCGTCTGGTTGGCAGGCTCCTATATTCGCCATGTTCATGTTTTGATGTTTATATACAAAGTCCCTGACAAGGTCTTGTTTGTTTGCTTATAATCTGTCGAATATCGGCTCTGCTTCCCCGTTGATCGACAAATGGGGCTGGTTTTTGCTTCTCTGCAGCGATATTGACGCCTTGCCTCTGATACGATTGTACATGCTTTGCTACGAAGTTTGTCTGGCCTGATACGGGGACTCTGGCTTAGTCCTCTTGGGTTCTGACGCGGATGAGGAATACTCGAGAATTGGCAGTGTACATTAGAGTACCATATACAATACAATAATGTCTGTTAATCAACAAGGTCCTTGGTCGTAGTCAAGATAGTTAGATCAGCGCAATGTGGTCTTGCTACAACATACTAGACTATGTGATACTGCAGAAAGTTGACACCTCAATTTCCAGTTGACGACGCACGGACCAGCATCCTTCGATCCGCCTCCATGATTGGGATTCATCATGTTTGACGCGTTGGAATGCGCGTGGATCTGTCGAACCGGAGATAAGAATCCTTTTTCCATTCGTACTCACGGCTATAACCATTTTGATTCTACTTATGAGCGCCAGGATTTTGGAAATTGGGTGATTGGTTCATTGGCTTTGGAATCAGTGAGCAAGGGATATCCGCCAAGGTCGGAAAGGCGGCGTGTCTCTAGGTCTTGCCTATCCAGCTGATTTGGAGCATAATTGATGAGCGGTAAGTTGGTATTGATATTAGGAATATAGTCGATGGGAGACAATTTGTTTGTACCGCTTTTATCCAATGTCCTGGATGGCAAAGGCGATGCGATGTTGCAATGTTGACGTGATCAAGTGTTCCATGCTAACACCAACAAAGGATCAATTGCATGAGATCAGACGGTCACTCTCATTTTCCTTCTAGCAGACCGGGGACGAGGGAGTGAACTGATCCGGAAAATGTCGACCAAGAAGCCAAGAGACCGGACCACCCCCTGCTGCGTGTGCAGGTTAAAAAGGCGAGGATGCGATCGGCAACGCCCAGGTATTAACTCATTCGGACACTTCATTTGCGGTGTAGCTGACAGATACAGTATGCGGACGATGCCGCGAAGATGGCCTATCGGAGGAATGCTCCTACCGACCGGAGGACATGCCTCCTCGGAACAGCTCAACACGGTATGCACGCCGTCGCTCAAGGCATGTCCATGTCCCACAGGCACAGGACCTAACGGGCACAAGCAGGTCGCTACTTCCGCAGCAATTGAAGCGGCTGAGGTCGCTGCCCTCTCCGTCACAGTCCGCGCCGTTGGTGGTCGTCCAGTCCGCTGCACCGCCCAGCTCGACCTGGAACGGGAGGGAGTCGTCGCCGAGGCGCATGCTGCAGACTTCACGAGAGGCTGGGTCCAGGCTGCGGTATACCCTCGGCCCCTTTTCGCATCGGCGAACGCAGTCTGGCTCTGCCATGTACCCTGCCCGAGGTACTTTGCAAGCGCGCGGGCAGATTGATGTCGACGAAAGTTCTGTTGGTGAGTCCGAGGAAAAGGACGATGCAATTGAGGTTTCGTCGAGCCTATCGGATGAGTCGTTTCATACTGCTACGCGATCGCCGATGCCTGAGTTCATTTCGGCGGAGAGTCGCGGCGCGCAGGGATCGCATTTTGCGAGGATACGACAGGCCCAGGAGAGACGGACGGGGAGCGTCAAGCGGGAAGAGGAAGAGCTGATCGAGGATCGTCTGCCGGTATTACGACACTCGAATCTTGCTGGTGGGGCGTTTGTCTCTGCTGTGGACGAAGTAGATGAGGAGATGATGGATTCTCGCGTGGATTTGTCCAAGGAAGATGCAGATCGACTGGTGAATGTCTACTTGAATCTGGACTATGTGACGCTGCCGATCTTGGATATACAGGACTTTCGCGCAGCGTATGAAGCAGCTAATGCTGCTGGGGACTCTACCTCGCCAAACGCATTTCATGCCATTCTGAACACGATCTTTGCGCTCGCCTGTCTCAATGTAGACGACAAGGGTGACGAAAAGGCGAGATACTTCTTCAAAGAGGGCCAGAGGCTGGCCAACCTGTTCGATCAATACAAATCTATTGATCTTCTTCGATTATACCTCTTACAGATTCAATATCTCAACGCTATAGGTGATTTACGTACGGCTTGGGCTTTGGTCGGATCTACGATACGACTTGCACAGTCACTGCGTCTACCTTTCGAGGCAAAGCAACACGGGCACAGCAGAAAGGCCCGAGAGACTTGCCGGAGGCTCTGGCATGGCGCGATGATAATGGAACGGATTCTTGCGCTAAGACTAGGCATCACGCCCCAAACACCCGATCCGCTGCGGGTTCCTCTGCCCACGCACTTGGATACCGACTACGTTGATGTGATTTCGAGCACACAGTCCAGCGCACCGTCGAGCGCGCAAGGTGAGCGTGCATCGATAATCGAGTTCTTCACCGCCTGCGCAAGGCTATATAGGCTTGTGGAGGATGTCATGGCATGGGAGGAAGAAGCAAGAATTCGGCCACACGGCTGTGCCATGAAGAAATTACTGTCACTGGATTTTGCGCGATTCTTGAAAGCGGATAGCCTCTTACATGATTGGGATCTGTCACTACCCTCGTCTCTACGGAGCAGTGGCTTGCATGACACAGACGAACACTCCATCGTCGTCCAACAGCGGAATATCCTTCGAGCTCGATACTTGTATCTTCGGCTCCGGCTAAACCGGCCATTGGTTACTCTGGGGCTAGCGCTGTCCACCGCGTGCAGGTGCAAGTCAGATGGGCAGCCTCACATTGTGGTGAGAAGGCTCGCCCCAGACTCCCCCATCGCGTTGAGCCTAGTCCATGGAGCTTCTATCAAGTGTGTCCGATCTGCACTCGAACTGACGGAGCTCATTCGCGCGCATGAGGCTGGGTTGCTTCGACTTGATACACCATACGGCGCAAGTCACTCTCTCAGCCCACCCTACTGGGAGTCTGTGGACTACCTCTACGTCTGCGGTACAGTCTTCCTTGCTAGCTTCAACCACACATGTCCTTTCTTCGGAGATATGACCGACGAGGAAGACGAACAGTGTAGAGTCCTCTGGCCCTGCATCATAGACCTCCTCGATCGCTACCGGGGTTATCGTCGACGCGGCCGGCCGAACAATGTAGCCCAGACGTGCAGTCGTACACTGAGCGAGCTTGCCAAGGCCGTCGAAAGCACAGATTTTACGCCTTGGGCGGCCGATTCGGCGATATTAGGACAAGACGCGCGAACAAGGTTCTCTCAACGGACCGAGATGGAGTCACCGATCCGACACAGACGAATATCAGGCGCGAGTCAGACGATCCCGGATCCCGTTGGGGACGTCCCTGAGTTTCCGGTGTGGATGGACAGTTTACCAGTTGACCTGGTGGGATGATTTTTGGTCTGAGCTATGTGATACCCATTGTATGATAAACCGGAATTGCCAGTAAACCCCAGAATCTAATCTAAGATAAACTGAATATGATATTGAAGCTGTCAGGCAAGTAGTAACCCTCACGGCCTCGGTAGTGATCATATCGCAACACTCGGAGTCGGTCCGATGCTGATTTATCCTATCGTCAAACATCCCTTCAGTTACAGTCCACGCACAACTTGATTGATCCTGTCGACTCTACTTTAAATTGAAGCCAGGATTACCATTAATCTAATGAGAAGACTCTGAATATACAGCATAGTACATAAACCCTCCTAGAGCAGATGCGACATGTCGGCCCCCTGTGCACCCCACGCCCCCCAACATCGGCCCGTAGACCGACCCCGCAAGGAAGTAATTCAGTGTCGTAATCTGATCGGGGCAATTCCCAGCGAGGACCGCGGGGTGACAATTCCCCTGTCACCCCTCTTTAGATTTCTTGTGCCCGTTTAGCATTTTCACTTTTACCTTCTATTTTATTTCCTTTCTCCTTCTCAATCATTCTCGTTCATACAGAGAGTACACGAATACAATGGAGGCAATGCAAGCAGCGAATCGACTCCAGCGCGCTCTCCGCACCGAGCGCGGACTGTCCTTTGGTGCGTGGCAGATGCTTCCTGGGGCGAACCATGCGCGGTTCATGGCTAGGACGGGGTATGATTGGATTTGTGTGGATACGGAGCATGGGAATATTGCTGGTAAGTACGGAGTATGCTGGCTACGAGTATAGTGATTAGAAATTGGCTATGGCTGACGGGGGTTGGCGCAGACTGGCAGATGCATGAGGCTGTGGCTGCTATTGCTGCTACTGGGGTGAGTCCCATTGTACGGATTGCTGCGAATGAGGGGTGGATGGTGAAGCGTGAGTTTATCTTTGATTCAGGGGCGGAGAAGATATGGAGACAAGTTAACGGTGGATAGGGGCCTTGGATGCGGGCGCTCATGGAATCGTCGTGCCTCTTTTGTATACTGCTGATGATGCGCGGAGGTTGGTGGAGTCTGCCAAGTTCCCGCCTGTTGGCCGGAGAGGCTTTGGGAGTCCCTTCGCCATGGGCTCTATTGGTGGTGTTTCTGGAGTGGAGTACCTCCAGGGGGCCAACGATGCGCTGCTCACCATTGTGCAGATTGAGACTAAGGAGGCATTTGAGAATGTGAGTGGATCGGGAGTGGCTGCAGAAGTGATGACGATCTAATGGAGTTAATATATAGGTAGAGGAGATTGCCAAGGTCCCCGGCATCGATGTCCTGTTCGTCGGACCCTGGGATCTGGGAAACAATATCGGCCGTCCCGTCACGGGCGCATTCCATGAAGACCTCGAGGCTGCGATTGAGCGGATCCGCAAGGCTGCTGTCGATAACGGAAAGAGGGCCGGTATCTACTGCGTGGGTGGTGCGGCTGCAAAGAAGTACGCCGACCAGGGTTTCCACATGGTATGTAGCAGTCTCCCCCTTTCCTGGTTACCTCCCAGATCGCTGATAAGCTTTGATACAGATCTCCGTCGTCGCCGATGCTGTCGCTTTGCCCACCTTCCTTGCGGATGCCCTTGAAACCGCCAAGGGTAGCAAGACTGATGCCGCCGTTCCCACCTACTAGATCTACCCATCCAATCCCCACATGTATAGTGTTTGCAATTTAGAATGAACGATGTTCATGATTGTCGTACGTCCAGCGAGCCTTTGTTCATCTATGACTTCGTTTTTTCTGCTTCATCGACCAGATTCTCGACTTCCTGCTCGGTGAACCGGTGGAAAAGCTTCTTCGGTTCGGAGAGTTGATCCTTGAGGGCAGCTTGGACATGGAGAACCGGGACATCAAATTCGTAGACGTCCTTCCAGGACTTATTCTCGGGGGCCATAATGTCCAATTCGGAGTAATCAAACGGCCTCCGCTTGTGTAGCTGGGTCACGGCGTGCTTGGCGGTGTCACAGAGCCCGCAGCCAGCGCGGGTGAAGAGCGTGACGCTAGCTTTTGCGAAGAGGGCTCTGGTGGGGAACATATTGCTTGCCCTGGACCGAAAGGGATATTTCAATGAAGCTCGTTGTTGATGGTCTGGAGTAGTGTTGGAGAAACAACGCGGTGGAGATCTCGTGGAACCTTCGAGCTCTACAGGCTAAACCCCATCGGGACACAGCGAATGGAAACGGAGAAGCATCGCAGTAGGATTCTGTGTCATTCTATAGCATACTTACATGTTTTGATGCTCAGTTATCTGGAAGGCGATTGATCTTCCTGTATATTTGTCCCTACTTCCTCGATTGCAGAAACAGACCTGACAGCATGGCGTCCAAGTGTGTTCACAAAGGGTGCGGTAAAGAATTCACCGATCCCGAGGAGGATTGCTTGTACCATCCTGGCCCTCCCGTTTTCCACGAAGGTCAAAAGGGTAAGTCAGGCAAGGACCTTGGGGGTGCAAGAACCGATAGCACATACCCGGAATTGCAAATGGGACCTCTATCTGACAAGTGATCTGCAGGTTGGAAATGTTGCAAAACCCGCGTTCTGACGTTTGAGGAATTCCTGGCCATCCCACCATGCACCACCGGCAAGCACTCGACGGTGGACGACACACCTGCCGAGCCAGAGAAGGACTCGAATGCCTCATCTGTCCTTGAGCAGCAACTCGCCGCCGCGACACTGGCGCCTGCTCCCCGCGGCCTGCGGTCTCGCCCGCCATTGCGCCTCCTTCGAACGCCGCTACGCCCGTTGTCGAAGACACAGAGGACGATGACCCTCGCTCGAGATCCCGGCCAACGCCACCTGCCGTCGCCGAGGATGTAACAAAGGCTACGACCCGTCTATTTCGCGCGACGAGGAGAAGTGTGTCTATCACCCCGGCCAGCCGATCTTCCATGAGGGCAGCAAGGGCTGGTCATGCTGCAAGAGGCGGGTGCTGGAGTTTGACGAGTTCATGAAGATCCAAGGGTGCAAGGAGAAGACGAGGCATCTCTTTGTTGGGAAGGGAAAACCCGCAGGCGAGGAGAAGGTCGAGACGGTGAGGTATGCATGCGATCTTCTACGAGACCAACAATCTTAAGAAACGAAGCTGATGGTGCTGTCTTGCAGGAATGATTTCTACCAGACCCCGTCGACGGTCAATGTCTCGCTATATCTCAAGAAGATTGACAAGGACAACGCCAAAGTCACATTCTCCTCCACATCGGTCGAGTTCGATCTGCCTACAACGGACAACAAGCGGTACAAGGATACGTACCCTCTGTTTGCGCCGATTCACCCGGAACAGTCTTCTTTCAAAGTCTTGGGAACGAAGCTGGAGCTCAAACTGGTCAAGGCTGATAGGACAAGCTGGCCGGTACTACGGAATGACGACAAGTGGACGGGAGAGAGGATTCAGGTTGGACAGGCCGGTAGGGCTTAGTTATATGAAGTTTTCACTTCGTTTATAGTTCGACAGCATTAAGCTTATGAGATCAATGATAAGGTTCATCGGCTTATACGATTACAAGACACAGACACATGTAGACCAGGTACGGAGTATGATCGAAGTATTCTTTTCATTCTGATAAATTCTGCATAGCAAGACGGCAGTCAAAAGTACATGTACACACATCAATGCACAAATGTACTCAAAAAAAGGAATGTCACGCCCCCTCCACAGCATAAGCGCATGGGGCTTTAACCTTTCGGAAAAAAGCCCTCGCTCAGCCATGTATTGTGTAGGGAAAAAGGAAGACGCACGCAGAGTAAATCCACGCTGTTCTCCAGAGCCGGGAACGGAAGGAAACCCATAAGAGAAAAAAATCCCGCAAGAATAACCTTCAGCGAGCAGTACTTTGACTGAGCTCCGGGGTTGAAATTTACATGGTCAATGTAAACCTCTACTGATGATGAGGAAAGAAAAGAAAAAGAAATAGAAGAAGTGTCGCTGAAGAAGTCTTTTTGTAGGTGAGCAGAAGCTTGGCGCTAGCGGGTTCGGGACTAGTCAGATGCCGAAATAGGGTCTTACTTAGGGTTAGGGTATCCGGTGGCACATGATGGGCAGCTCGGTGAGGAGTCAGGTGATATTAGAGTCACATGGTTGAGAATCACATGCAAATGTTGAGATTGCTTACCGAAATGGGCTAGCGTCTACGCCTTGTAATTACGGTGCCTAGTTCCCTTTTCGACGTCAAGCGCGATAGGAGCGCAACTATAAAGGTAGATACTGCACGTAAGACTTTGTACAGTACAGTGGACGAGTGACGAATGATATCAAGCAACACTCCGTAGAAACTTCACAAGGGCTTCGATCAACGCCGGTTGTCGTCATGCGTGGCGGCGTGTGATCGAGAAAAGCCGGACTTTAGCCTTGATACCTTAGGGACCAGGCCGCCCTTAGTGCCTTGGATTCTTGGAGGGGCTACTGGCCGCGCTCTTCCAATCAAGGCCAAGAGGGCACGAGACCACCGTTTCCCTCATTTGTCCCTTTCTCCCCTTCCCCTGATCGATTTGACTTTATAATTTTCTAAGCTGCAGTTTTCTACTCTTACTTGATTTACTCCTGCTGAATTGGAGCATCAATTGCTGGTCAATTCATGCTTCTGACTTCTTCTGTGCAGATAATCATTCTCTTGAGGCAAGAATACTGATTGTTACAGTGGCCGTTAACTAAGTGTACAGGTTCGTACCAAAGCGTCGCATAAGCCTCCCAGGCCACATGAGACTCGCTCCCCTTGCATTATCTGATCAATGTCATACGGAGACTTGATGCTCCAGAAATATCCTTGTGCCACAAGTGTTGACTGTTGTTTTCGCAGGACTCCCCAGGCTTCTGGTCATTCCTTGTTCGCTCGTCGCTGTTTAGAACCACGAGACTTGATTCGTATACAGTATTAAGATGGGATCAACGGGTGATATGAAGGACGAGACCCTTCCTCCTCTCAGATTCATCCCTCTCTCATACAACCATGCCGATTCCCAGGCTTCAGCGCTCAGGCTTGTTCTGACGCTGAACCCGCAGTGGGAGGGCCCGGACAACAAGATCGAGTTCGTGCGCTTCACGGACGGCATCACGAATACTGTGTGTTTCTTCTAGTGGATCGTAATCAAGCGGGCGCAGAGCTGTGAACTAATCTCGACTCTTTTCTAGCTTCTCAAAATCATTAATCGGAAACCTGGCTGGACCGAGGAACGAATAGACAACGAAGCAGTACTGATGAGAGCGTACGGTAACCACACAGAGATCCTCATAGACCGCGAAAGTATGATATACCCGGGGACCCTTTTCTCTTGCCGAACGCGACTTGCTGAGTAGATATGCTCTACCTATAGGAGAAACCACATCCCATGCGCTTCTGGCCAGCCGTGGCCTGGCTCCTCCTCTTCTGGCTCGCTTCCAGAATGGGCTTCTCTACCGGTTCATTCGTGGCCGTTCAGCAACCCATTTGGACCTGGTCAAGCCTCCGCTCTGGCGCGGCGTTGCCCGAAGGCTCGGACAATGGCATGCGGTGCTGCCTACCGGTGGACATAGCGCGTCTAGTTCATCTGCCAAAGAGCTCCCCTTATCCCACCAAGTAGATGTCGACGATCAACACCAACACAAGCAAGAAGATGATTTGGATCCCATCAAGCCCCGAGTACCGGGTCCCAACATGTGGACTGTTCTGCAGAAATGGATCCTTGCTCTTCCCACCACGACAGAAGAGCAGCGTGCCCGGAGATGTGACTTGCAGAAGGAGCTGGAACGTGTGGTGCGTGAGCTGGATGATGGACGGGGTCTTGGTGACGACGGAGTATGTAGTCTCTTTTCGCTGGCACGACCGACCACTACTGACATTGACAGCTGGTCTTTGCCCACTGTGACCTTCTCTGTGCCAACGTGATCGTCCTACCGTCGCAGTGTCCCGCCACTGCCGCAACCTCAGACAAAGAAGCGTTAAACGTGCAGTTCATCGATTATGAATACGCGACCCCATCTCCAGCCGCCTTCGACATTGCCAACCACTTTGCCGAATGGGGCGGATACGATTGCGACTACAGCATGATGCCGACGCGGTCCGTCCGCCGACAATTCCTGACCGAGTATGTCAGAAGCTACGGCCAATTCCGGGGTATTCCCGAATGTGCCCAGCAGGAGATTGTCGACCGATTATATGAGGATGTCGATCGATTCCGTGGTATTCCCGGATTATACTGGTATGTACTGCCTCAGTGCAGTTGAACTTTAAGCTGACAAGTATAGGGGCGTGTGGGCACTCATCCAAGCGCAGATCTCACAGATCGACTTTGACTATGCTTCGTACGCAGAGCTCCGACTGGGAGAATACTATGCCTGGCGACGAGAAGTGGATGGCTCTCGGGCTCAGGCGGGCGAAGAGATGCCCCTCCGAGAACGTCGGTGGGCAGAGTCTTAGTCCGCGTTACCCAGTCCTGTCTTGTATATAAGCAACTTACTTCGCATAGAGCAAGAGCATAGCATAGCATATGCATATGGCCTGCTTTTGCTTCTTACAAGGGTTTCAACAATATCCTTGAGGTTGGCGGTTCAGCGTTAAGCATGATGACAGCGCTTGTCTTCAACGACGCATGTGTCTGCGTCTACTGGTGTTAATACAAAAGCATATCAGATATCCTCTCGTTGTATTCATTCTGTGATACTATTTCAGCTTGTGACGAGATGTTTCTTTCTTTCGAGGGTCACCCCATGAATAGTAATATATTTCATCCTAAAACATGATTGTTATCAGTTTCATCTGCAAAAGTAGCCATGAGATAGATCCAATAGCACACAAATCCTCAATACACGCTATAAATAAATCGCTCTATATACTAGTAGCACAAAAATTACAAACGATGATGCAACGACAATGACGCATCCGGCACGTGCGACGACGGAGACGTAGATACCCTCAACTTCAACACCTCCACCAACCTCCTCCACGCTCTCCACCCCCTCACAGCATGCTTCTCCGGCGTGGCGGGGTCCGGATCGGCCAGCGTCCTCGAAAACAACTCCAGCGACACCCACCCCTCAAACCCGAGCTCAAAGAACGCTCTCGCCACGTCCAAAACAGGGAGGTATCCGCCTCGGTCTTCCTCGAACGGGAACAGCCTTGCATTCCGCGACCAGCTCATGCGCGGTGGTTGACCTTCAACATGAAACGGGTGGTTCTCGTCCAGCGGGGCGGAGAGGCGCTCCCCGTCGACGATCTGGATGTAGAATACTTTTTTGACGTCGATGTCGGTGGCCAGACGCTGTAGCGAGGCGGCTAGGTCGGTCTCTGCGTGGGGTGTTTTGCCGGAGGGTGCTGCTGGGTCTGCGTACACCCGGGCTGCGAGGTTGAATGTGTCGAGGCAGAGACCGAGGTTGGGGCGGTTGGCGGCCGAAACCACAGCCCAGGCTTGCTCCCAGGTGGAGACGTGGGTGCCCCATGCGAGAGCCTCGTAGGCGAAGCGGAAGGGTGGGCTCTGGGCGGCGCCGAGGTCTGCGATGCGCTGGAGGTCGGAGACGATGACATCCAAATCGCCGGTGGTGCGGGGTGCGCCGGTGGCTGGATCAGGCGGGAGGAAGTTGGAGGGAATCTGGATGAGGTCTGTGTTGAGGATGTGGGCGATCTGGAACCAATGTGGGAGCTTTTCGGTGAGGAGGTGCTCGGTTTGGGTGCGGTCGAGGAGACCCTCGTAGAAGAGGAAGGGCTGTAGACAGATGATGGAGAGGTGGAGGGAGTCGCACAGCCGGCGGACCTCGTGCGCGGCGGCGATGTGGCAGCCGTTGAAGCTGGAATGGGCCAGACAGTCGAGGTCGTCGAAAAAGAGTTCGATGCCTTCGTAGCCGTGCCGCGAGGCTTGATGGAGCTTGGTGGGCAGGTCGTGGATTCCTGGTCGGCCCAGCGACATGGACCCGATTCCTAGGCGGTTCGGCATTGTAATGCAGTTGTCGACTCTTCTGAAGATGCTCTGTCTGCTCTGTCTGCCCTTTCTGCAATAATATGCAGTAATACCTCTCAGAGTATGTAGATGAAGAGTTATCTTGAATGTCAACAGGTCACTTTACTTGCGACTTGTACGCGTCACACCGAGCGCCGACGCCGATCGATAACAACAGCCAAGACAGACTTATCATCATCATTTTCAGGCCTTTTTGGAATTGATGTCTTCTCTTTTTGTAGACATCTTGTCGCATAAACACGGAACTTGTCTCAGAAGCTTGTTCTCATCAGCGTTGGGATGGCGCCGGTTAAGCCTTTACCAGGTTGTTGCGTTTACCCCTCAGGATCCGCGGTGAGCCAAGTCTTAGCCGTCTGCATGTCATAGAGCCACATGGCAAAACAATCAGTGCTCGTTCATGAATGCTATTCCAGACAGACAGACTCGGAGAAGAGAATGCGTCTGTCACTGATTCGTAACTGGATCCACATACACATGCATATCCTGCCGGCATCGGCATTGGTTGATTCTGGGGGATTTACCCCAGACTAATGGCATTATATGACTCTTCCAGCTATTATTTATATCGCTCATGATTGGCATTGGCATTAGCAGTGAGCAATTGAGGAATACCGAGAAAATTGAAGAAATTGAAGAATATCATGTCCCTCCGAATCATCATCGTCGGCGCCGGCCTCATCGGCCCTCGCCACGCCCAATCCGTCCTCTCCAACCCATCCACCGAGCTGGTGGCCCTCATCGACCCAGCCAGCAGCGCTGCCCTCATCGCCTCGCAGCTGCAGACAAAGCACTTCCCCTCCATCCAAGCCATGCTAGCCGCCATCCCCAAGCCCGACGCCGCCATCATCTGCACCCCAAACCACACCCACGTCCCCATCGCAACAGAGCTCCTCACGCATGGCATCCACATCCTCATCGAGAAACCCCTCAGCGACAGCCTCGAAACCGCCCAGTCGTTGCTACGTTTCGCCCGCCGCCCTGAAAACAGCCATCTGACCGTCCTCGTCGGGCACCACCGCCGCTTTAACCCTTACGTCGAGAAGACCAAGCAGATACTGGAGAGTAACTCCCTCGGCACACCCATTGCAGTCAACGGTCTCTGGACGCTCTATAAGCCTCCCTCCTACTTTGCCCCGCCGACGGATTGGCGCCGGACCTTCCCGGCTGGCGGCGTAATCCCCATTAACCTCGTCCATGATATCGACACACTGCAGTATGTCTTCGGCCCTATCACCCGCGTACACGCAGAGAAAACCCCGCGGCAACGAGCTAACCCGCCGCACGAGGTCGAAGAAGGCGCCGCCCTGATTCTGCGTTTCGCGTCGGGTGTTGTAGGCACGTTCCTCGTTTGTGACACTACACCCTCGCCGTATAACTTTGAGATGGGGACGGGGGAGAACCCGCTTATCCCTCCTCCACCATCTCCTGGTCCTCTGGAGGGAGGGGGAGGTGGCAGCAGGGCAGACTTCTACCGGATCTTTGGCTCGGAGGCGTGTCTTAGTGTGCCGGATATGACGCGGTGGAGTTATGATGGGCGGGCGGAGAAGAGTTGGACTGAGGAGTTGGTTGTGGAGAGGTTTGAAATTGACCAAAAGGCTGCGCCGTTCGATTTGCAGCTGGAGCATTTTGTGGAGGTGATAGCCGGGAGGGAGCGGCCGAGGTGTTCTGGGGAGGATGGGTTACGGGCGTTGATGGTTTGTGACGGGGTGAGGAGGGCGTTGGAGACGGGGGACGCGGTTGACTTGCCTCTGGTATAGTCTGTATATCCTAGACTGGTAAATGAAGAGCGAGTACAAAGCAGTTTGAATATTCATGCGAGCGATCTTATGTACAAACAGTGATTGCAGAAATGTCAAAATACTATACGTCTGAATGAATTGCAGACTATACATACATACACCATCTAGACCTTGGGCAAGGTCTCTGGCAAGTGCTCCACCTGCTGGTCACCCGTCTTGCTATACCCCGACTCCTCAATATCATGTCGGAACCGTTCTTCATCCTCCCGAAGTCTGGCCAGCACAACCTCATGAGCACGCCAGATCGGCTTCGACTCAAACAAGGCATCCATGCTCTCCAGCGGGATACCCTTGGTCTCCGGAATGAGGAAAAACACAAAAATGATGGACAGCACCATCAGCGAGGCAAAGAAGAACCACACGCCATACTCCATCTTGGCGAACATCTGCGGCGTAAAGCGCGAGATGAGAAAGTTCCAGAGCCAGTTGGACGCGGCCGCGCAGGCCTGTGCCAGGGAGCGCATGTTGGGCTCGAACATTTCCTACCATAGTCAGTGAAACCCTTGACGCAGGTGAATAAAGGGGACCTACCGAATTCATAACCCAAGGAGTACCGTTCCATGACGGAGTGTAAAAGACAGTGTAAAGGTAAAAGAAGAACATGGCCGCAATGCCGCCCCCGGTCATCTCCTTAGTAGGATTAGAGGCCGGGTCGGCGATCTTAATATAAGCGCCAACAATAAACAAACAGACTGATGCGCCCGCAGCCCCGATGAGCAGCAGCAGACGCCGTCCCACGCGGTCAATCAGGTAAAGGAGCCAGACAAAGGTGACCACTGTCTTGACAACTCCAAAAATACCGGTACTGAACATGCTGGTGTTTGCACCCTGGAGACCAATGCTCTTGAACACCGTGGGACTATAGTAGTTGATGGCATTGATGCCACTGCCGTTCTGCCAGAAGAAGAGCATGCTTCCCAGGAAGAGGCGATACATGACCTTCTTGTTGGTTCCAGCGGCTTTGAAGGGCTTCCAGAAGCCGAGGCCAATGGTGGCGCGCTGCTCTTCCAACGCCTGGTCAACGGCGCCAATCTCCTCCATCATGTATATGTGATCCGCAGGCAGCTGGCGGATCCAGCAGAGATTCTTGATGGCATCTTCCCGACGTCCGCGGGAGAACAGCCAACGCGGAGACTCCTTGAGGAAAACTGCACCGATGAGGAGCAGACCGGATGGGATCAACTGGACAGCAAAGGGAATGATCCACTGCTTGTGGCTGGGAGCCAGAGTTTCACTGACGCCGTACTACACGGGTTAGCATCTGAAGGTGATACATAAAAGAGGATGGCGGGCGTACATTGATCCAGAAGCCCACCAGACCACCAATCTGCCAGCCCAACTCGTACACTCCAACCAGTCGTCCTCGAATCGAGGGTGGAGCCATCTCGGAGATGTAGATGGGAGTGATATTTGAGCCCGCACCGACACCAAGACCGGCCAGAACGCGCCCTCCGTAAAGCAGGCCCAGCCCCCGATCACCGTTGGCACCAAGCATGAGACCAGCGCCAAGGGTGAAAATCGAACCGGCAAATAGCAGACCCCATTTCCTACCCCAGAAATGACCGACGGGGTAGGCGAAGAAAGCGCCGAAGAAGGCGCCGGCCTGGTAGCAGGAGACGATGTTGGCGCTCACCAGATTGACCGCCGTTTTGCTCATGGTGTTGAAACCAAACTCTTCTCTGAACGAGCTGAGGGCGAGAGTGGTTCCGATAAAGGCACTGTCATAGCCAATCATGCATGATGTGAAGGAGGCCACGGCGGCCAGCAGGTAAATCCTCCAGTTGTAAACTTGTTTTGGAGTTGGTCGATCTTCGACCAGAGCAAGGATGGACATTGTGCAATCTATGACTCTGGGTATGAGAACGTCGATTCAATGGTACTAAGGGTGACTGGAAGATGAGAAAGTTGATGGAGGCATCAACTTTATCTAAATAGCCAACCAGCCACAGCTGTGGATAAACAGTCCGAGCGACGAAAAATCTGGGGATAGAGACAGCGTGGAGATGCGGAGGCGGAGGAGTTGCTGAGAACTCTGGTTAAACCATTAAAGCGCCATAATGGTGTAGAGGGGAAGCATGCGGAAGAAAGCAGATTAAACTTTGCATCGTCTAAATGTTTAGCAATAAGAATATAGCACTCATGGCACCCTGGGACGAACTCCGATACCGCTGAGAGTAAGGGAAGCCAAGACTGCTAGAGTTCCAGCATATTCATGGATGACTCGTCTTCAACCAGGCCGAAGCGAAGATTCAGATGGATTGGTGACCAATCGCCATCTCGGTCAATGGGTCCGTGGCTGGAAAAGGGATACGCCGGCTGATATTCGGTCGTGGGAAACTGGAACGAGATTGGAATATGAGAATGTGGTTCCCCACGGGGCATCAACTATGGCGATCTGACAAACAGACTGAATATGACTCGTGAATAGTGCAAAAGTCAAGCACAAGATGCGTAGACGGAAAAGCATTCTCCCCGTGAGGACTTTGCCATTAGTATTGTTAGTGCTGAAGCCAAATTTCTAGCGTACCTTGGCACTCGGATGTTGTCCGAGAGGACCGAGAGCCAGCTGATAGATTTGTGCTGAATAGTATGGACATCATCTTGATGAGATGATGATGAGATGATCTGATAGTTAATGTTGAGAGTTATGGATGACAAAGGAGATGGTGAAATGGGAAGAAAGAAAGTGATGGAGAAAGACTGGGGATGGCTAAGCAAACATCCGAGTCACGGGCAGCTAAATGTTTCTCCGGGATGCAACTACAACTTCACTACTACAATTACGTCCTAGGTAGTATTAAGTATCAAGTTTTCTACATCATCTATCTTCAACGTGAATTACACATCAATCTCGGCCTGGATAGCGTCAAGTATCCCATTGTCCTGCAGTACCATGGCCTCCCAGATCATGGACACCGTCTCTGAACAACAACGACAACAACAACAACAACAACAACCAGAAGAACCCATCAGCATTCCCGAACACTTCGATGGAGTCGCATATCTCTACGGCCATCCTCTACTCAACTCTCTGTCTCCCCCTCTCCATCAAACAATATACCAAACTCTCGGTCTGAACTGGACCCAGATCCCTCTCTCCAGCGTCTACGGCACATCAGAAACCTACCCTCCACCATACACCCGCTCACCCCCGATCCCCAAATTCTTAGCATCGATCAAGTCCAACCCAAAGTTCGTCGGTTCCTCCGTGACAATGCCATGGAAAGTCACCATCATGCCGCATCTTGACGACCTCACCGAGGACGCCCGCCAAGCCGGCGCCTGCAACACCATCTTCCTTCGCCCTGAAGCCGACGGCTCCACCTCCTACGTCGGCACAAACACAGACTGCATCGGCATCCGCGAGGCCCTTCTCCAGAATTCCGGCGGCGAGGATGTCTTTCGCAACAAGCCCGCCCTCATCGTCGGCGGAGGCGGCACCGCCCGCACAGCCATCTACGTGATGCGCAGGTGGCTCGGCTGCAGCACGATCTACGTTGTTAACCGTGATGCGGCTGAAGTAGCTGCCATTCTGGACGAAGATAACCAGCGCAACCCCAGCCCGAACAAGGCTCCGCTCGTCCATGTGACGGACCCCGCGGTGGCTGCTCGTCTGGAGCCTCCAGCAGTCATTGTCTCGGGGATTCCCAATTACCCTCCCAAGACGCCGAGCGAGATGCAAGCTAGGGAAGTACTGCGGGTGTTTTTAGGCCAGACCTCTGCGACGATGTCTGACTCCCAAGGCGTGATTCTGGAGATGTGCTATCACCCTGTGCCGTGGACGGAGATTGCGCAACTGGCCTCGACGGCTGGGTGGAAGGTGATTCTTGGTTCGGAGGCGTTGATCTGGCAGGGCTTGGAGCAGGCAAGGCTGTGGACGGGTAGGGACGTGGTTTCTGAGCCTGGGCTGGTGGAGAAGGTCAAGGAGGTGGTGGGCAAGTTGATTGCTGAACGGGTGCCGTCAAAATCAAATTTATAGTCTGCATGTATAAAAAAGATGGCTGTACATAGACTCTCCCTAGACGAATACATTCATGCAGCTCTATGCACCAGGTCGTGTATAATCCAACTCCCTCACGCGCTTCCACACCTCCCTCACAGTCCTCTCCTGCGTCTGTCTCCCCGTCTCGGTTTCGGACGGCCCAGCCGGCCGAACAGCCAGATACAACCGACTCCCCAATCCCACCTCCTCAATCGGATCCGTCTGGGGGTTCGCCGGCGGATTCGCCGTCGTGACCAGCCCCCGGCCTCTAGCATAATCGCAATACCGGCAGCTACATCCCTGCCACATCCCTCAAAATCAGCCTGTATCTTCTTCATAAGTGAAAATTTCAGGGGATATACCACTCCCAACACCCCCCTCCCACCAAATATCCACCGCCCCCATAGCCGTATACGCCAGATCCAACGCTGCACTCCCCAGACTCCTTACCCCGTGTACCATTCCCCCACTTTCCGCCGCCATACTCACAAAGCTCTCCACCTTGCGGGATAGATTTCCCCCAGGGATATCCCGTCTATCCTTGCCCCACTCACAGGCAAAGATACACCCCCTCGGCGACGTGGCTGGCATCGGGGGGATGGGGTTACGGCGTAGCGGCAGTCGGCGCGAGCCACGGGGGTCATTTAACCAGGCGCCGCGGTTGACACAAGAAGAGAAGAGCTGGTTCGTGGCGGGGGCATAAATGACACCGATGACTGGGCGGTGGGACACCAGGAACCCGATCGAGACGCAGAACATGGGGAAGAGGTGTGTGAAGTTGACGGTTCCTTTCAGCTTAGCTTAGCATCTACCTTGTCTATCGGTGAGTAATGTTGAGGAGGGATACCGTCTAGAGGGTCGATGCACCATGTTGGATGTGCGTCGATTAGGTATGAGCGGGATTCACCCTGTGCGTAGGTTTCTTCGCCGAGGAATCTGGTTGTTGGACTGTTAGTATGCGCTTGGTAGGGGTGCAGTGCAGTCTTGCAGGTGACTGGACGGACTTGTGCTCTGGGTATCTCTCTTGAATTGCGGTTTTGATGAATGTTTCCACGTCTAGGGTAACTTAGTTACTGTCTTTCTTTGGTAGATGTGGTGGATGTGGTAGAAGGGTATACCCTCGTCTGTTTGCGTGACGATGTCAACTGCGTTGTCCTTCTCTGTGTATGCGGTATGTCCATCGCCTGCGATCTGCCTATCGAGGCGCTCGAGGAGAAGATCGCCGGCCTTTCGACCGAGATCGACTGCAAAGGCGTAGATTTCGTCTAGTTGCGCTTGGGTAAATTCTATAGCCATTTTGTTGAAGGTCCTCTATGAAGTATGGACTGTGTATGTAGATTGGGAAGATAGATGAGTCAAGAGAGATCGCAAGCCAATGGACTGGGATGTCATGTCCTCAAGGAACCCAGAAACCCGTGAGTAACCGCTCCGGGTATTTTGCATTGCGAGAACCATACTAGGGAGTACAGTAATCGATGGGTCGAGATTGTATCCATAACATAGACCTCAGGTGGCCGCTCATGGACAGGCTACGAGGCCAAAGCCACTCTTGACCTTAGCATCTGAAGAGTTACGCCAATGGCACAATGAAGAGTCAATAAAAAAAATTTAGTTTCTCTTCACGAAGTAATACAGGAATCGTATACAATCTCATAATTCTCATCTATCAGCGATTCAGTGTAGACCGGGGGGCAGTGGATACTCCGCGCGGCCTGTATTCCTCTCCGGCAAAGTGCTCTTCCCCGGCCTTTCAGTTTCCCCGTACCCTTATAGCCACCCCGCATTGATGGCAATACTCTACGGTGTAGTCTCGGGATGTTTACAACAGACCGAATAGACTTATCCATGTGCAGGCATAAGACGGCGACCTCATAGACTGTAGATCTCACTTCCCTGCAACCACTACAACTCAGACTGTTCGGTCCACCATCTAACATCAACTCAACATGGGCAAATCAATCCTCCTCATCAACGGCCCCAACCTCAACCTCCTCGGCACCCGCGAGCCCCAGATCTACGGCAATACAAACCTCGCCGACGTCGAAGCCTCCTGCAAAGCCCACGCCGAGTCAATGGGCGCCACCCTGGCCACCTTCCAGTCAAATCACGAGGGCGCAATCATTGATCGCATCCAGGCCGCCCGCGGGACCGTCGACGGCATCATCATCAACCCCGGTGCCTTCACGCATACCTCTGTGGCAATCCGGGATGCGCTGCTCGGCGTTGGGATCCCCTTCATCGAGCTGCATGTGAGCAATGTGCATGCCCGCGAGCCCTGGAGGCACCATAGCTATTTTAGTGATAAGGCGGCGGGGATTATCGTTGGATTAGGGGTGTATGGGTACAAGGTTGCCGTTGAACACGTGGCGTTGAACTTTAAGGAGAGGGCGGTGTTGTAGTCGGCGTTGGGTAATCTCTTCGTATACCCTATGTACATCCATAGCAATGAACACCAAGCGTCAAGCTAAGTGCAGCCATATAACTGACTTCTGTCATCGTTTCGGCTGTCGTTCTCGGTGTATGACCGCAGAACCCTCGGAAAGTTGCTGCGTCTGTGCCAGAAGAAAAGGCTCTTGACTGGAGTACGAGTATAGATCCGAAAGCCCGGCATCAGGGACAAACCCCAGGTTCTGCATAAACTCGGGCTGATTGTCACCCCTGTCCAGTCATCAGCCGTCAGTCAGCAGTCGACAAGAAGAATAATGTTACTCACTTCTCGGTACCGTCCAACGAGGCCAGCTCGTCAAATAATGCATCAAGGTCAGGCGCGATTCGCGGTCGGCGTAATGATGCATATCCTTCAATATCAATAAATGTCCCGAGGTGCAGATTCGGATCGCTATATGTCTGCTGGTACTGGGGCGTGTTTACGGGAAAGGGCGATGGTATGTCGGGTATTGTACTTCGGTCATTGATGAGTTTCGGAGCGGAGGAGTTCAAGGAGTGAGGTCTCAGGGTAGTGGAGTTCTGTAGCTGGGAAGCATGGTTCGAATGTCCGGCGGCTCCCCTGGCCGAAGGTGTCGGTAGAGACAGAGCAACGTTGTCTTCATTCGGCGTCCTTGTCCAGGGGCTTGTCAAGAACGAGTCCGGTGTAGAGAATATAGCTCGCATCTCTTGTTGTCCACTACCGTGCAATGGCTGCAAGGCAGTATGGCCGGTCATACTGTCCGATGACAGATGTCGAGCAGATGCATCAACGTGATGTACATGACTTAACCGGTCCGCTGGCGTCGGCACGAATGCATCTTCCGCTCTCAGTGAGAGACCAGCTCCCTCTCCATCGCTGTCTTGCAACCATACCGTAGAAAGGTGCGAGGAATACGCTTCAAGTTTGTTCTTGAGGCCAAGATCAAGTTCGAACACCCCCGGTGCGCCCTGTCCCTCCCCTGGGGAGATACCAAACGTCAAAAGCATTCCAAAGATTGGACTTGTCGCCGCCAGGCTATAAGTTTCCATGTACTTTTGCAACAGCAGCAGGAGCCTCTTTAAGCTCTCAATCGCACGATTCTTTCTCGTGTCTGACATGTGTTTATCACTCTGGCGTAGAGTATCCAAAGATAAAGCGGTGACGCTACTTTCAAACATCATTTCCAGTCCAAATATGTGAGGCGAGGCAAGCCTTGTAGGACTTTGCAAGTCGACCCGGTAGCTTTTAGGGAGGGCCGACACCCAATGTTGTAACTGTCGTTCCAGCGCCTCGAGTTGTGGTGCCGGATTGTTCTCCAATTGCTTTGTGCAACAAGCCTCGTTCAAGATGCACATCAAAGAGATCAGCCGGTTGAATGTGCTGAGGGCATGAAGGGGTCCACGGTGAGAAGGACCACGCGACGATTCTGGGGGTCGCAGGCCGGTCTGATCTTCCCAAGGATGCCATTCCTCCAGACCATCCTCATTGATCGGGCCGGTTTTCACGAGATCTTCTTTGCGTAGCGATGGTACCTGACCAGTCTTGATGGCTACCAGCGTCTCCAGTACGAAACAGCCTAAAAAGACGTGTTTTGACCGTGTCGAGCCCTTCTCATTTCCAGTCATGCCAGTCAGTGGAGAACCCAAACCCAGCCACCGTGCAATTCGAACTGCTTGCCCTACCAGCACCCACGCAGCTTTCCATTCCTGTTGTCCGAGTCTAACCAAGGACAGAATCAGCAGAGCCTGCACATGCCCAATTTCGTGAATGCCCTTCTCGGCGGGTATCAATGCTCTTGCCGTGGCGTATAGCTGATTAGAGCGTGGCCGGTTTGGAGAAGCTCCCATCTGACGTGTGGCCGCGATCGACCTCTCTTGCATGGATGCTAGAGTCAAAACCGCCCAAAGGGCAGCGCAGTCCCCGGACCCTGTCGTCCGAGGCGAAATTTGCGCATTATCTTCAGACTGACGGAATGCCGTTCGAAGTATATCATGCTTCTCGAGAATGGGAAACCAACACTGTGTGTAAGAAAAGTAGACATCAAGCAGCGTCCACACATTGGAGGGAAGTCGAGGGAGGGTTGAAGATTGTGATTGTACAAAAGGCTGCGACAGAACGCTCCCTGTAGAGGTGCCAATGGTATCTGAACGGAGGACTGTCTGAGTGCTGCTGTCTTTTGTAGTACGAAGCGGTAGATGTCTGGGATTGGCTCCATGTGACGGCATTTCGGAAGGAGATAGACCAGCAGTCTGTGATTGGCGTGCATCCGTGGCACCTTCAGGTAGCTGCCACTCGAGCGTGTCCGAGGAGAGTATACTGCTCCCCCCAGCTTCCGGAGAATCCGTCTCCCCGGGCCCTCGAATGGCCTTGTCCTGTTCCTCCTCCGGCTGGTCCAATAAAGTCAACATGCGCTCTATGTCCTTGAGGACGGCGCTATTCTTCCAGGATGAAACAAGATCATCGGAACCCTCCGCCTCTTTGCCCATAGTAGCCAGGTGACTCGGCATATTGGCTGCCCTGAGCAAGGCGCGGACCACCTCCTCGCTCCCCTTTATCTTACAAAAGACAAGTCCCCACAGCAACTCCAACGTGCGAATGTATCCGGTCGGCAAGCCTCGCTTCTTGGGGTTGGTCTTATAAGTGCAAGGTCGACATAATGATGCGCAAGTCGAGCAGACCGGCTGCACCCCATCGCATTTATCCTTCTTGGAGCGACAGCTGTCGCAGGCACGCGACACTCGCTGCCGCTTAGATTGTGTGGAATTGTCGTCAACAGGCATGCGTCTGGCATCTTCGTCGGTGTCGGTCAATCGCCGTTTCGACCCGCTACCGGCCCCTGGGGCTTGGCGCATATCGTTGCTCATGATTTTCTGTACAACGGGCCACCAGAGCGTTCTGGACGCATGGTCATGTTTGGCCCGTTATGACCGAGATAAACGCTTTGTCGCACGTTGATGTCAATTAGTCGACCTGGTGTCTTTGTCGCTCGAGTATCGGAAATAGGCCCAGAAACTAGTCTTGTTAAAAGGCAAGCTCTCCTGCTCAGACAGAGACCGCAGACGGAGCTAAAACCAACTGAAGATAGAACGCGTGGTATCAGAGATCTGTGTCTCTTTTTGCCAGGGCGGAGAAGAGAAACTCGAAAAGGAGCCTTTTTTTGCTGGGAGGCTTCGGGGAGAACCACAAACTGCTTATCCGCGGCTGCACTGCTGCTAGGCCTTGCTCATACGTGCTCGATTTGATGTCAGGCTAGTAAAACGGCAAGAAATAGTACAGTCGAATTAATTGCAGTGATCGCCTGCTGATTGAACAAATTAGCAAATGCGATCCCGAATTCTGGGGTGATGGCCCCAGGCATCAATTACCGACGCCTTCGATCCCCGCGGGGTAAATTACGTAAGTGACAGTATCATGCGCGGCAGAGTGTTTGTCCGCTGTGCCTCAGGCCACCAGGCGCGAAAGGGTCGGTCTTCCCCGCGGGCCACGAAGAATTGAGGACAATCCGAAGCTGTCCTGACTATCCCCCAAAGCCTGGACTATTCTCTGGCCGTTCAACTCCCCTTCTTGGATTCATGAGGCGCACAATCTGGTCGAATTTGATTGGTGTGTCTGTCATATCGATGCATACATTGGTTCTTTCTTCCTGACTGCTCACATTGAATAAGCAGCTTCTTTCAATATGTGCAGCTTTGGAGTCTCCGAATGTTCATGATCCTCAAATCCAAGATTACTTTCAAACGACATGTCGATCCTAGCGAGGCCGGCAAAGCGCAAGTTGGATGAGGTGGAGGGGATTGAGGCACAGAATAGACATCTTTCTGCTCGGGGCAGTCGCAACCATGGCATCGTCTCTGACGCGATCCAACCTTCAATCCTCGCATCTGAACGTGATGCTGCTCTTCCTAGGCCCGAGTCTTGTGCGAGGTACGAACAGTCGGATACGTGTGGCGAACATCGTTGGTACTCAACCCCTCCGCGCACGTTGAACTCGAATCGTGCATCTCCCACACGCCTCGAAAGTCCTGCGCAAACACAGAGGGTTTTCTCTTCTAATGCGTCGATTGTATTGATTGGTATCCGTGGTACTGGAAAATCCAGTCTCGCTGTAATTCTCGCCGCGACCTCGGGAAAGCGAATGATCGATGCGGATCAGTATTTCCAGCAGGTGACGGGACGTTCCCGGGCTGCATTCAAGAAGGAATATGATCTCACCGAGTATCGTCAACAAGAGGCGCGAGTTATGGAGTCGATGCTTGCAGAACACAAAGAGGGGTGCGTCATTGCGTGTGGACCCGGATCCATGGAGCGCAGTGGGCAACAATTGCTGCGAGAATACGCGAAGACGCATCCTGTCATTCACATTATTCGAGATCCCGAAAGCATTCAGTCGTATTTGAAAGCCTGGGATACGATCAAAGTCCGCCGGTTTCTGGAGCTTTCGGGCCCGGTATATCGGGCTTGTTCCAACCTGGAGTTCTTCAATGTCTCCGAGAAGGGTTTCACTGATTACGCGGGAAAAGACAACCATAACCCCTCGCCTTTGGAGCTGGAACTAGATCAGCGATCTCAAGCCTCCACTCCCTTCCTGACTCTCAAGCGGTTACAGCGCGATTTCTTGAAATTTGTTGCCTTTGCAACGGGGGACCATACCATCCTGAGTGGTCAGCAAGCATCGTTCCCATTGTCGATGCAGCCGGTTGAGTCTCGTATGTTCACCTACGCTGTGACTGTGCCAATATCATCCTTGTTTGAGCGCGAACTAGACATCGAAGACCTGGAATCCACCGCCGATGCGTTTGAGCTCAAGGTGGATATAACGGAAGCTTCTTCCGACGGCCAGGGCATTGACTCGGCTCTGGCAGACAAAATAAGTCAAGCTGTGGCGACTATCCGGCGCAATATAGTCATTCCCCTGATATACCATGTCGAAAGTAGTTTAACCCCTGTAGGTTCTCCTGCGCAACACAACGGGCCCTTACGCCGCTCGGATGATGCATACCTGAATCTGATCAAACACGGGTTACGGCTAGCTCCTGAGTACTTGACTGTCGATCTCTCCTACAGCGATGATATTTTATCACCGGTCATTGCTTCCAAGGGCACGAGCAAAGTGATCGGGCATTTCGCATGGTCCCATCCTTGCCCAAGAGGTTGGGAGGATGCGGAACCACTGGCAATGTACGAACGAGCCAGGCGGCTAGGATGCGATGTGGTTCGATTGACGCAGCCGGCAACGACAATCGAGGATAATTTCGCTGTTGAAAGATTTCGTCACCATGTCAGAGGTCTTCCGTGGCAGCTACCCGTGATAGCCTTCAATACCACCCCTCTGGGCAGAATGTCGAGCTGCTTCAACCCCGTCCTCACATCCGTGACACCTCCACCACTGTTACCAGAGATGCAGTCCAAGTCATTACCCTGTCTCACCTTGCGTGAGGCGCAAGAAGCACTCTACGCCTCGTTCGCTCTGGATCCGATGCAGTTCTTTGTTTTCGGGGCAAACGTCACATACAGTTTGTCCCCCGCGATGCACAATGCAGCCTTCAAAGCATGTGGCATACCGCATAAATATACTATTTATCAGTCGCCTTCCCTGCGAGGTTTGAATGAATTGGTCGAGAACCCTTATTTCGGCGGGACAAGTGTCAGTCTGCCCTACAAGACAGAAGTCATTCCCCTTCTCCACTCCATGTCACCCCATGCTCGGGCTATCGGAGCTGTGAACACGTTGATACCCATCCGGAAGTTCCCTGATGGCATTGACACCGCTATTGAGTCTTCGCTTTATCTTGAGAAGAGCCGGGCCGGTCCCACCAAGGCGTTGCACGGAGATAACACCGACTGGATCGGAATAGGAAATTGCTTCCGAAGAGGTTTATCGCCCGCCAATGCCATCCGTCCTTCGTCCACAGGTTTGGTTATTGGAGCCGGCGGTATGGCTCGGGCGGCGGTGTACTCCATGATACACCTGGGGGTGCAAAACATCTTCATCTACAATCGTACCATGGCCAACGCAGAGAAGTTGGCTCACCACTACAACCGACAGAATCTTCTGGCGCACGGATGGGGAGGCCCGAGTTCTCGCCCGAAAGTCCACATCCTGCAGTCTTTGCAAGATAACTGGCCTGCCGATTACAAGCCACCCACCGTCATTTGCAGCTGCATACCTGCTCATAGTATCGGGGGAGTGCCAGCTCCCAACTTTCAGGTACCTTCTCAGTGGCTGGGGAGTCCTACAGGCGGCGTAGTAGTGGAGGTAAGTTCGAAATATCGCTTCAAAAGGACGAAGACTAAAATGTCATTCAGCTGGCCTACAAACCTCTCAATACGCCAATCATGAAGCAAATGCGCGCTCTCTCCCATCGCGGCTGGGTTGCACTTGATGGACTCGATGTTCTCCCTGAGCAGGGATTTGCGCAATTTGAGCTCTTCACAGGTCGCCGTGCTCCGCGGCGAGTAATGCGCAGGATCGTGTTGCAGGAATACCAGGAAGTGGAGGGACAAGAGGAGCAAAGCGCTATCCAAAGTAGACTCGAAAATCTAGATGGACAGCCTACTTGATCCAGTCCCTTCAACAATTACCACAATACTCTGAGCAGCCTCCGTGAGGGAGCGATCTGACCGAGACTTCGAGCCATTGGCCACTTCAATCTACAAGACTTTACGGTGTTTCATTCGGACAGTACACGACAGTCCCAAAATCGGAGAACGGTCTACGGCCAAGCATCTCACTTGTCTCAATCAGGGCAGGTCTGAAAGGGAGATGCATCATCATCAAGGCTTATCTGCACGTACTTCTTCTAAGTCAAGCCAAACGATGAGTATGAGGCCAGAGGCACGGCTGCAAGCAAATCGACGTATCATTAGCTTCGTAGCGGTTATCCTATCATTCACAATCAGAGTCAATTTTCGACAACTTGAGAACATCCTCCTTATCAAATCCCGACACCATCTTAACAGAGACGACCTCGTCAAAGTCACACTCTCAGTTCTTCAGAGCAACCGGCAGTAGTCCGGGTCGAGCCACCAGCACAAAATTCGCACAACTCAACCTCTCATGATCCGACATCCGATGCACGACAATCGACCGATTCCCGAAATACGCAGGCTCACCCGGCTTCGTCGATAGGTAGAGGTCATTGTACCGCGCTTCAAATCCCTGATGATCCGCCGTGACGATGGGTCCGTGTTTCCCGCTCAAGTCGCCGATCTGGCAAGTCTGCGGGCTCGTCATGTTGCAGGCGGCCTTGTCTCCGCGCCCGTACGGGTCGAAGGGATTACCGGTTCGGTAGCAGTTGCCGTCGGCGGGGACGGTGCCCTCGTGGATGTAGTATGCTGCGCAGGTTGTCAGTCAATGCAAGGAGCGAGGAAGGGAGGACACTACGTACCTAGAGCTTCATTGTCGGGGATACCCCAGAAGTCGGCGTGGACTTTGACGCCGTCTCCGTCTCGGGGTGCGAAGAGAGTGATCCAGCCGCGCAGGGTCGTGTTCTGCCTATGTGGGAGAGTGGCCTCGTACAGAACGTCGCCGGTGTCATTGTCATTCGTCACGACGGGAGCAAAGGTGCCGTTCGGAGAGACGGCCACGGCAGTTGATGAGACGCTGAGTCCCAGAAGAACAAGTGTTGTAAGAATAGACTGCATGTTGTCGTCTGACAAGCAATCAGATTTCCTGATTGAATAATATTAATTTCAGGGTTGTCCCTGGTTCCTATCCTACAAGGGCGACGGGAGGAGGCGACTGCGTTTATATCAACCCTTGAAAGGAGTCAAGGAGCCTGGATGTATCTAGATGTCCGCGGAACTCGAAAGAGTCATCGCTCGATCGCGGAAATCGAACTAGTATTAGCAACATTTTTACCCTGCCTCCTGCTCCTGATTACAATTCGTGAATGCATTGGCCGGAACGCCTCACCATGGGGAATGTACGCGCTCCGCCGCAGTAATGCATGCCTCTTCACTCCCGACGCCACGGGTTTCTTTTCCATCTGTACCCTGCAGTATCTCCCTGCAGTATGTCTCACTGCTACCGTAGGTTTTTAAGAAGCAATGCTCTGTTATCGCTGGTTGATGAGGTCACGCGAGTTGCATTGGAATGAAAGACGCGGTGATGCGATATTGTGCTTCAGAAAGGCACGCGAGGAATGTGGCTTTTGGTAACGGTGCCTTTAATCGTCATCCATTGAAGCATACCTATCATTCGAGTCAGTACCTCTGCAGTACCTTTCTAGAGAGGTAGCGAGGAGGTAAGAGGTAGAGTGTATTGCTCCTCTTAACTCTATTGCTTCCATCCATTCCAGATGCTATATATCTGCTCAGATGGGGGTCCATTTACCATGTAACATCTATGCGCGACAAGGAAGCGAGGACAATCAATCAGTTTACATATACATGGCACTTCAAGAGTCAGTATCTATCTCCTTGGGATCAAGGAGATAGGAGGAGGAGTCCTCGGCAACTAGAAAGGTACCCAGAGACGGTTCCCCTCATCGGGGTGCTTTAGCCCGGAATCCTGATCAGCAGGCAGGATTGAATATTACAATGACTGATCATCGTCCCCACATCTCCTGAACTATATCGATATCCTATCGGTAGTAAAGGATGCCCCGCAGCCGTTCTAAGCCTTGTCTCAGTGCATCCGAACCCTCGGATATCTCCCCGTGCTCGCTCTAAGTTAGCGGCTGCAGCGATGAGCGATGCTATCCAGATGAGTGCATCGGACGGTGTCCGGCCCCACGGACAGATTCAGATTATATATTTAGAATGTCGCTAGATCGTAGGACTGACTGACCGAACCACATCATCCCACAATGACTCTTGCACAAAACAACTACGTGATACAACTCCCCGTAACCCCCATAACAATCGGGACACTAAATCCCCGCGACATCGCCCAGCAATGGCTCACGAACCTGGAGATCCAGCTGGACATATCGCCAGTCTCCCAGCCCAGGCCCAATCTTTCAGAGCTCTTCCATAAGGACTCATGGTGGCGCGACATGCTAGCTCTAGACTGGGACTTTCATACAATCCACACCATCTCCGAGATCGAGGAATACATCAGCCGGAACCAGCCACGGGCCCGCCTGGCAGCCTTCCGTCTCCAGCACGAGGGCAGGTTCCAGCCTAAGATCGAGAAGCCGGTTGAAGGGTTACGGTGGATCTCGTCGATGTTCTTCTTCGAGAGTCGGGCGGGACGTGGCACGGGTGTGCTGCGTCTGACTCAGGACGAGGCTGGTGTTTGGAAGGCGTACTCGCTCTATACGAGTTTGCAGGAATTGAAGGGCTTTGAGGAACTTTTGGGTCTGCGTCGGCCGGAGGGGACCATCGAGTCGATGCCGGGGAATCCAAGTAAGGAGAACTGGCTGGAGAGACGCCTGGGGCAGCTTGAGTTCCAAAACGAGGAGCCTACGGCGCTCCTTGTTGGTGCTGGTACTTACTTCGCAAATTTACTGTCAATCGAGCAGGCTGACATCCCGTAGGACAAGCTGGTCTCAATACAGCCGCTCGGTTGCAATCACTCGGGATCTCGTGCCTCATAGTCGACCGCAACGAGAGAATCGGTGATAACTGGCGGAAGCGGTACAGAGTGCGTGCCATTTTCACTTCTTGATATCGACGCTTTACAGTGTGCTGACTGCTCAAGACCCTTGTGACGCACGACCCAGTAGAGTTCACACACATGGCCTACCTCCCCTTCCCGCGGAACTGGCCCCAGTTCACCCCCAAGGATAAACTCGCAGATTGGTTCGAAGCCTACGCCAGCATCATGGAGCTGAACGTATGGCTCAAGACGAGCGTCAAGTCGGCCGAATACGATGACTCGAAGGCCCAGTGGACCGTCACTGTCGTCCGCGGCGATACCGGTTCGGAGCGAGTCCTCCATCCCCGGCACATCGTCTGGTGCACTGGTCACTCGGGGAGCCCAAGGTTCCCACTTTCCCGGACCAGACGCAGTTTAAGGGATCGGTGTATCATGGTAGTCAGCACCACGATGCATCCGACTATGACGTGATGGGAAAGAAGGTGGTTGTTGTGGGGACCGGAAACAGCGGCCATGACATCGCGCAGAACTTCTACGAGAACGGAGCGGACGTGACCATGCTACAGCGCAGCGGGACGTATGTCATCACAGCGGCCAAGGGGGTGTTGATGCAGCACGAAGGGCTGCACGAGGAGAATGGGTACGTCGTCTCCCTCAACACTTTAATTGGCCCATCAGCGAACTAACGTACCAAGACCGCCCACTGAAGAAGCAGACATCATCTCCGAATCACTCCCGTACCCGGTAAAGTTTGCTCTAGACGTGCACTTCACGAAACGCGCCTATGAAGCCGAAAAAGACATCCTAGACGGCCTCAAGGCTGCCGGCTTCGAGCTCGACTTTGGCGTTGACGGGGCGGGTATCTCCCGCGCGTACATGACCCGTGGTGGAGGGTATTACATAGACGTCGGCTGCAGCCAGCTCATTGCCGATGGCAAGATTAACATCAAGAGGAGTCAAGAGGGGATAGCGGGGTTCAACGACCGTGGGCTGCTCCTGAAAGACGGGAGCGCACTAGACGCGGATATCGTGGTGTTGGCGACGGGATACGATAACATGCGAACCACTGTGCGCAAGGTATTGGGCGATCGAGTCGCAGATAGGTGCAGGGACGTCTGGGACTTGGATGCGGAGGGTGAGATCAATGCAGTAGGTGAACCCTTTCGGACTGTCTGTCAACGATGCTGATGGAACACCAACAGATGTGGCGCCCAAGTGGCCATCCCGGATTCTGGTTCATGGGTGGAAACTTGGCCCTATGCCGGGTTTATTCCAAGTTCCTTGCGCTGCAGATCAAAGCCATTGAGGCCGGTCTGGCGTCACAGAACACAGTCTTTGCCAAGCTGTGAAGGAGGACCAGTGGGAGAGTATCAACAGTAGACGCAATATCCGCAAAGGAAGAAAGGCAAGCTGCACATATAACAGGCATGGAGTTATCCAGAGATTGGTAGGATATTCAAAATGTATGGAAACAGAGAAAACAAGCCAAACCAACGTCCAAACGACACTCATTACGACATTATATCTTCTAGGCATGATGGAGATCGTCTCACCGGGACAAGAGCCCTCTATGTACAAAAAGTGAAGAAGAGTGACGCGAAAGCAAGTAGATATCTTCGCCGGACGTCTTTCTTTTCGCCGTGGGCGAACAAACAACATGTACAGAGCAGGAGAGCAAACAAGCTGAATCGCTGAATCACAGAAATATGTACTCTCTAGCTTTAAGAGCCTCCAAGCACATCGCTCGCGCCGTCGTCAATGATCATTTGCACATCCTTGATCGGATGTAAGAGCATAGGTGGAAGACACATTCTTCCCTCTCCAGCCAATTCTTCCTGCTCGCCGCCGTCATTGTCGACCTTGTAGCCGAGCCACCGCCGCCAGAGATTCGGCGAGAAGCCAGCCGAGTAGAACCAGGTAGTTCCGCGGAAGTTATGCTCCCGGTCACCGAACACAGAAGTCCGAGCACCACCAGATGCGCCGTTCCGGCCGGCGTTGAAAACTGATTCGAGGTATTTCGTCGGCCAGCGACGGTCGATGTACACAGAATGCGGCACGTAGACCGCTTTGAAGCCGTGATGCAACGCGGTGGTAGCAGGCCACATCTCGGAGAACATGGTATGTCGTTTCAGACTTGTCTCTTTGTGCATGGTGAGAAGCAGCTTGCGTGACAGTCGAGAGGCGGTGATAATAGCTGTCCGTCGAGGAGGCATACCGTTCTCCTTATTGTATCCGGTCACGTCATCGCGAAGAAGCCAGGTCGTGCCCTCCGGATCGTACAGAGGGTTGAAGACAATAAGGTCTGCCTCCTCACCTACACCCCATTCGTTCTGATCCTTCTCCATCGTAGTCTGGGGGATGCCTTCTCCATCCACCTCGAGAATGTCCCGCTCATCCGGGCGTTCGGGTCCCCAGATCGGCTTGTCCCCTTGACGATGGAGAGGCGATCTGTCTCCAGAGGACGGGTCCGAGCCATGTTTGGCGGCCGCGCTCCATACATTGTTCGGGCTATTGGTGCCGCTCTCAGTCTGTACACGGACTGTATGTCGGAAATCCTCCCAGGATCCATGGACAGAAGGAACAAAAAAGCGGGCATTCCTCTCCCACAGTAATTTGCGCGGCTGTTCCCGCGCCCAGCTACCCACTTTGTCGAATAAATGGTACCAGTGGCCTGTGTATCGCACGTCCATCTCCCAGTTCCAGTAAAAGTCGTACTCCGGATGTTGGTAGGCAAAATACTGCATTGGCATGAACGTGCTGCGGTAGACACCGTGAACAGGCAATCCACGCGTCCATGTCTCTTCCAACCCGGGATAAATGAGAGCCATCTGCTGTTCTGACCAAAGAGTACCCATGCCGCGGAATTCCTCGGGAAGAGCATCGTTGAGCACGCGCTCGTACGTCTCGTCGTCCGACCAGATCTGCAAGTTTCCATCTTTGACATGGACTAGGAAATGAATGGTATACTCTCCTCCAGACAACAATGAGAGCTCCGAAATCAGCGAGCGCAAGTACAGAATGTCATCAGGTGTGAAGTGAAAATCGTGCCATGTCCGAATTACCACTGCCGTTCGAGGTAGGCGATCCGCTTTCGACTGGGACGCTTCATTCTTCTCCTGGGATTGAGAAGGGAAATTTGGAACTCCCACGGGCAAGGAGAGAAAGCGATTCAGCCGCGGCTGAGGGAGGTCTTTGAAGCGGTGGCTATTGAGCGCCACACACCTGTTCTGAACACCAGCCCAATCGACGTGACGAAAGTCTACAGGGGGTAAATCGGCCCACACACGTTCTGCGCCTTCGCGGTGGCCCTCCAAGCCTGCACCGACACCACCTTTTCTAACACTGTATCCGAAACCGTAGGGACCAAGGCGGCCAAAACGTTCGAAGCAAACATCATCCTTGATACCTAGCATCTTATTTGACCCCATAACTGCATCCGGAAACCCACGGGGTACTCCAGGGTAATGTTGCACCTGGGGAATGCGAATAGTCTTCTGCTCATCGAGGAAGCATTCGCGCTTCTCACCATACTTCTTCACGTACTCATCTGCTGCGTAGTCTGGGTATGGGTTGAAGACCAAGCTCGACATCAACGCTTCCTGATCTCTGGTTTCAACGTTGGCCTGACCCTTATTGTTGTTCGAGCCCATGGCCATCTCCTCCATTCCCTCACTTGGATATTCGGGTACCGATTCATTGCGCGGGGTCAATGTTCGAATACCACCATGATACCGTTTCAGGAAAGGGAAGCTCTCCCATTGCGGCGGTTTGGGCGCCACCTTTGGCAGCTCGAGAGCGACTTGCTTCGCATCCGAGGTGATGGTGAAGCGGAATAGGGTGAGGATGAACAAGACTAGTGCAGAGAATAGCGCGAGGCACAGGTATCGCATTATCCGGTTCGGGACACGATAGTAACCAACCGGCGCTCGAAAGCGCCGCGCCGAGGGGGCACTATTCAACATTGGCCGACGCGAACTGGCAGAGGAAGAGGTGAGGAAGTCATCGCCGCTGTCCGACTCTATCGAACTGCGATGGTCATGGTTGGTATAATGCGTGCGATGCGACTGCTTCTCAACGTCCACTGCTTGATGGCGAGCTTCTGGGGTATAAGCCGAGGCATGTGTACCGGAGCGCTTCCTCGTCTGGTTGACCATGGTTCACAATGTACCTGGGAAGGTGGTCATCAACGGTAGATGTTTCCTCTGAGCAAAGTCACACAAAAGAGTATAGGTGCGATGAGTGGGTCGATCGGTGGGCCAGCATCAATGTAATCCCTGGGGGATTAGAGACGCAAATACAATGGCTTGTTTCAATGTCGGGTCAATCTGTTGTAAACAACAATACTTGTCAGTAAGAGGGATTGGATCTTGGAAAACGGAGAGAAATGTATACCTTCAAAGATCTCAGTTCAATCAAAGTCGAAAGTTCGCAATGGTCCGTCCCTCCTCTGTCAGGACAAGGTCAGATCTCTCATAACTGAAACCGATATCGATACGCTTTTCTGGAATGTGGAGTTGGAACGGGGATATCTCAGGGGGGAAAAAACAAGGCCTGGACAATGTGATAACAAGTCTGACAGGACAATTTGGACAAGTATAAACAACAAGAGCCAACATCAACTCAGACAGTGAGCGTGTGAGATTATGATCAGGCTCAGTCCGCGATATGTCCACCCAAAACCAACAAAACACGCTGCTATCGGCGTTACCCAAGGGATGTCCAGCGCTTAGCACGACTAGCCAACGAGTGGGTCCTATTTCTGTTTTGGCACAACCGCTAGGAATCGAAGAGGTCGCAACTCAATATTTGACACTCTGGGGATAGCACTCAAGATATGATCAAACTTCGAAGGAGGCCATATAATGATCAATTCTTCTTATCTCGTGCAGCTCTCGTTTCTTACAAGTTGCAGCTCAATCAAGTTGAGGGAAAATCTACATTGGGCTAGGCAAACATAGCGACGCTAGCCTATCTAGGTAATATGCTGATTACTGCGTATAGAGGGGGAGGGATGCTCTGGAAGAGGCAATGAACTCACTTATAGGGAAGCAGTGGAGAAGATTATACTGTATATTAGCCTGAGAATTGAAGCTTGTATGGATGAGAGTGCTAGGTCTTGTTCGGAGAACTTCCCGAGTATTATCACACGGCGAGATTATCGTGGCCATCGATCTCATGAACACCTCTTAGTTCCTCGTGCTTCAAGTCCAAAGTAAAATAACCATGGTTTTGCTGATTAAAGGGTATCTTTCAACTAGATTTGCTTTCTCCATCGCTTCTCGCGTTCCTCCAAGCCGTACAAGCATCAGATAAGACCACCATCATGCTTTCGGCTCCTAGACCGGTCAATTGAGATGGTGCGTCCTTCTATAGTGAGTCGTATTCATGTACCATGGCAACAGATCATTCGTCCAATATGCAGCCCACTTGCAGCCGAGGCATACTACACGTATTCAGCATGCTCGGAAAGTGGCATGTCTTCATAAAGCATAGCGGCTGCTTGACGTTTCAACACCGAGTCGTAGGTTCGGTCGCACGCTCGGGACAACGGTCTTGTGCGTCATAAGGGCCGCCTATCATGTACAATCGAGTGCCATTTCATTCATGCGTTTTTCGTGCCCTTGACAACCTCGCCTTTCACCTTCGACCAGTCGATATCATTATCAATCGCCTCATCAACTTCGCCGCACAGAACCACATTGTCGCCTCGAATCAAGTAAAGCCCGTGCTCGATCTGCGAGCTCGGTTCGGGGTCATCCGGGGTTCGGATAATTCTCTCAATTGTGTCCAGCAGGACAAGATTCGTCAACTGATCCGTCGACAAGAGTGTCCCTAGTAAAGTGCGGCCGTCAACGGTGAGAATGAGGACTTTTTCTAAGTATTACGATAGTTGGGTTAGCCACCGTACTGTAATACTTGCGTCGCATAGTTCCGTTGTCGCATAGAAGAAGGGACTTACTATTGATGTAGGAGTGAAGAGACATGATGGCGAGGTGCGAGGCCGCTCAATGACGGGCTAGGGTTGTTCAAGTACAAAACGTTCCGAGCCGTCCGCAGAATGGGCTGCTACCTCGATGCTCCTCGAGATTGGACAGACAGCCAAGTCCTATCTCAACAGTAAAAGTCGACAGTAGCTAAGGTAGATTCCGAATTGAAAGCTTCCTCGTCCACCTCGATAGCAGAGTGATCTGGACAAGTCTTATGAGCTTGGATGATTGGACGTGACCCGTTCAAGTTCAATCTGTCGCTGACAACTCGGATGATGGTATTGCTCTCGCAGAATGGTTTTGCCAGGAAAATATCGTCCGTGGTTAGTTCTGAACAAGCACAACACCCAATTCCGCCTTTCGCATTGAGATCCGATGCTTAATGTATCACCGCTCCGCGACTGTATCTAGTCACGTGCGTGGAGCTTCGTCTAGCTTCGGAAATCTATATCTCAAACACAAGTCTACTAAAGCGGGAGATTCAGAGTGACTACGAAATGAATGAGTATAATGTACTAAGAATCGCCTGCAGGTAGTTATTTCATAAAAATCTATCCGACTGGGATATCATGTACACGAACTAACGGCTAGCGTGCATATTGACCGCGGATTATCGGTATCTCACATGCGCTCAGAAGCAGCGCAGTAACACAGTGCATCCATTTATTTCTCGAACCAATATCAGCCAGCCGTCCAATTAGCCGCTCAGCGCACTCAAGTCTAATGGTACACTGCTACCTCGCCCAGCACGGTACCGCCGGGGACCTCCCACAAACGGCCGCGGCTTGGGAAGCAGCCCGTCACTCTGGAATTTGAACCGATTGTCTTCCACTCGAATTATTCCGTGCGAGCCCGTGTTCTGATGGCCCGGCGACGAGCCGCCATTGGTTAGGGTATAAGCACTCGGATCCAAGGTCGAACGGGTCACAGGCTGGCTAGGCGGCGGTGTTGGGGTTTGTGCTGGAGGAGGTGGCGGATGACTGGGGTGTACTGCTGGTGCCGTTGGAGGCGCCGATGGCGGGGTGGTGGTGGAGGCGCTGATGGGGCAGACGCTGCAGGAGGAGGTGGAGGAGGTGCGGACGGCGCATGGTTACTATGCCCGAGAGCGTTCCTGGCAGCTTGCACCGCGATAGAAGCTGCTGCTACCCCATTTGTATGAGGTGATGAAGCTGCCGCTGCCGGAGGTGGGGGAGGAGGGGTCGATCGTGCAGGTGCGGGAGGAGGCGGTCGGGGTGCTGAAGATGCCGGCGGAGGAGGAGGTGGTGCAGCTGGACTCGAAAGGGCAGGGGGTGGGGGTGGAGGAGCTGGAGAGGACGGCTTCCTCGACGTCAACGGAGGAGGTGGCAGTTTCGCCGAACCAGGCAAAGGAGGAGGTGCACGTGGAGGTGGAGCATCCGGGGCAGTTTTAATTGATGTGGAGGACGAGACGGTCGAGGAAGGCCTTGAGGCTGGTCTCGGCGGAGGTTTGCGCAGATTAGCAACTAGCGGGTTGAGTGGAGGGGCAGACGGCGATTCTGTAGAAGACGGGCGCGGTGGTGGTGGACGAGCACTTGGAGGCTTTGGAGCAGAAGCGACAGGAGGTCGTGGAGGTCGCGAAGCCTCCGAGTCTGACATGTAAGGCGAGTCACGGTTGGCTCCTGTGTCAACCCCGCCCCGACTGCGCAATTTGGGCATCCCTCCTGCGAAGAGTCCTGCCAGTTGAGGAGCAGTGGATGTACCGCTATCTCCACCACCGCCGCTTTCGCTACTGCTTCGTACTCGGTTGGCTGAAGGAACAGGTGGTGCTAGGCCACTCTGGGGTTTCGGCATGCCAGGAACAGGGGGTGCAGCTGCAACTGGAGGTGCAGCTGATTTAATTCCTCCCGCAATCAAGGGCGCCGATCTGTCATTTGTGACGGTCTTCTTCAGTCTAGCGCCTTTGGTGATATCTGAAAGGAGCGCGCTCTACCAGGACATTAGCAGCGGATCTTGGAAGGGCAAGGAACGGTTTCCAACTGACCCTATCTTTAGCTTCACCCTTCGCTGGCCGACTTGGAAGACTCGCAGATGGAGGAGGGGGGGAGGAGGGCCTCCCATCCCTCCAGGCGGCGGCGGAGGTGGTGGTGGAGGAGGTGGAGGCATCTTGGTTCGAGGAGCAGTAATCGAAAGGATAATGACAATCCAGTCTGGGTTGTGATGTGTAGAAATGAAATAAAAGGAGGAAGGGTTCAATCCCCCGTAAGACTAAAGATCATCCGACGATCGTCAATCTTCGGCGATGGCAGCCTTTGGAGGAAGTCAGTACGTCAGGCAGCTGAGTTAGTGAAGGACGGAGATGAGGTAGTGGCGGTGCTACTCCAGTGTGCTGACCATCTCCGCTTTTTCATGGTCAGGTCTACCAACTCCGTCAAAAGACAGAGCAGACTCACTCTCGACCCCGCGAAATCTCCCACTTCCGCCATGAAGGGCTTGAAACTTAGCGGCCAGAAGACTTCTAGGTCTCAAGCTCTGGTCTGTCAATTTTGTCAACTCCCTACCAGGCCAATTGCCCGTCAGGTGCCGTTTGCGCGTTACTATTCATTCTCGACGACAACCTCTTCCCGCGCCCAATCAAGACAATTGCGGCCAAAGAAGGATTCAAGGAGTCCATGGATCACTAACAGGCTTACACCTAGCCGATTGGTATCGACTTCCTCGAACACACCTTCCTCCTTCGACCCAGAGGCATCCTTGCGACAAGTCTCCCATGAGTCTTCCGAACTTCTCAAGCTCGACTCCGTACCCTCCAATGAGTCAGTTGTGAAGATTCTACAGAAATGTGAACAAATAGCAGAGGCTCTTGTGAGCCGCGAGCAAGACAAAGTCGAGAAGTCTCCTTCCGCTGGGGAAGAAGGAAGTGCAATCTCCTCGTTACTGGATCTGGAGGAAAAGAACGCATCAAAGAAACACTTCAAATCGATCCGCGACGCGCAACCCCGCCTAGCCGAGTCGCTGTCACAGATCGCTACAGGGCTTCTCAAGGACGAAAAAGTCTTTATTTCTCCAGAAGCGATGGCATGCTATACCAAGATCCAGACGCTTTTGAAGAAGGCCGACCATTTTCCTGAGATGTTCTACCTGTACGCCCACAAGCCAGTTCCCGAGGAGAACAGTTCCCCTGTCAAATACCACAAGGCAAATCCCAAGAGCGTCAACAGCGCCATTCCCACCGAACTTGCGAACATGGCCCTGGACATCGCCATCGAACAGCGTAACCTCCCACTCGTCCTGGCCATCATCGATAACACCTTTTGCGCCCCAGCATTCCACCGTGCAAAGCTTTTCAAGAAGGCTGCTGTGCCACTAGGTGGTCTTGCAGCCACTCCAGCCGCGTGTTACGCCATCGCTTCCTGGGCCTCTAGCTTGCAAAATACCATGGATCCCAGCACAGCGACTGGCATAGCCTTCGCAGCCACCCTCGCCTATGTCGGAGGTACATCGTCGATCGGCCTTTTGGCTATCACATCGGCTAACGACCAGATGGAAAGGGTTGTTTGGCAGTCTGGAGTTCCGTTACGACATCGTTGGCTGCGAGAGGAGGAGCGCGCCGCACTGGATAGGGTTGCCGTCGCTTGGGGATTCAAGGATATCTACATGAGGGGCGAGGAGGAGGGAGAAGAGTGGGACAGTCTGCGGGAGTTCATCGGTATGAGAGGGATGATCCTCGACAAGACGGATCTTATGCCCGGTATGCAGTAACCATTTACCCTACTTTATCCACTTGTACATTTTTTTTTATTATGGACGATACTGTGTATGTACTCTATGCAGCGGGCGTATATCCTAGAATAGATAAAGTTGGGAACATGTACAATATCGCAGGACACACTACGGAATTCAAAAAAAAGTTTAGGTACCAGTCGTGGACATCACATTTCCTATCTATGGCATATACAATCCCACACCTGAGCGCCTAAAAAACTCTGACACAAAGCTAATTGCGCAGAGAATCTAGTAGAGACGCTTGGGGGGAGACATGGTAGCCTTGAGGACAAGGCTGCCAACGTTCTGCCAGCCCTTCTTCAGCAGGGAGACGAGGTAGTTGATGGCCAGCATGACGTTGGCGACGAGCTCGTCCTGGGTCATGCCGACGTTGCCAACGGCAACACCGAGGCAGAGAACCTTCTTAAGCTGGAACTTGATGGTAGACTTGATCTCGGTGACCTTGTTGGCCATGTCCTCGTTGTGAGAGACGGGGGTAGGGAATTTACCAGCTGCGCCGAGTTAGCATTTGCTAAGAGGCAATATCGCGCGCCGTGCGTGCTGCGGGAACCGAGAATACATACCCTTGGACAGACCGGGACCCAGGAGACGGGGAATCTGCTTGATGAGGGTGTCGGAAGCAAGGAAGGCATCGTACTTCCGAGCAAGCTTCTTGATGAGCTTCTTGTTCTTGTTGAGCTTCTTCAGGTCATCAGCGGACATGGCATCGATGCCGTGGTGCTTGGCACGGTCGAGATCGTGCTGGTCACCAAGAACACTGCAGACAATCACCGTCAGCAACCTTATTCCCATAATTTTATGTGCTACCTCATCCTTCTCCCGATGATGCGTATGAACACATTTCATCGAAGGATCGGCCGGTCGGCAAAGTTCACGTACCAGATGGTCATGTTGGGGCGGGGAACGGTGGGCAGCTTGATGGTGCCAGAGAAACGCTTGTCACGCTGGGGGTCGTAGTTCTTCAGACCAATCTGAAGCTCGACGGTCTCGAGGAAGTTTCTCTTCTTCTCATTCTGAGAGTAGTTGAGCAGCTGCTCGATATTCTCGCGCACTCCGGCTGTAACGAGGCGACATATTAGTTGCTGCTTCCCAAAAGTCGCAATTAAGATTCTGATGCATACCGACTGTGATCTTAGACATCTTGCTGACAGTCTTCCAAAAGAATAACTCTTATGGTGTGGCTCTGCGCTGAATATCGGTGCAAGGACGAGAGAAAGACTTCGGCTCGCTATCCGCCGCGAGAAAATCCCGTTCTCCGCTTGTGGGTGTGGATGGCACTAGCCTGATTGGGGTGTAGGTTTGCCCTAACGAGATTCATTACTTATTAAGCAGTGAATAGTCTTATGCGCATAACAACTGCATATGGTTCATTGTCCATCGGACTCCATCCGCATCGATTAGCTCAGTGGCGCCTTACACTGATCATACTTCATTTTAACAACAGTCTAACACTTTTCGTGTTCTACTCGCGCGTGCAAGGAATCGATGGTGTCTTAATACATTCTAGATGACTGTGATCGCCCAGGATGGTCAACCAGCCTCAGAACAGCCGAGCCGTTCGGCTGGCTGCTTCTTGCACGGAATGTCAACGTCGGAAGCAGAAGGCAAGCAAACCGAGGCCGTAATCTTGGAATTCATCCTTGACATTCTCTGACTTACCTTATAGTGTAGTCGTGAATGGCCTTGTAATCATTGTCAGGCAAGAAGAATTGCCCACCTATGTAAATTTGAGCCGAAGAAAGTGTTGAAAGCGAGGAAAGCAACTGTCAATGATTCGAGGTTCGCTATGGACGTTATCATTTCGTCCATCCTTAGCTAAAACTTGTTAGACAAGCCGATTCTGTCCGCACTATTAGCGTTGAAAAGGGGCAAATTGCCTCCCCCATGGCTGGGACCGCTGTCGAGGAGAGTAAAGAAGACTTCAAGCTGTTGGGGTACCTCCCTGAGGTCCAATCCGGAGAGCATGTGAGCGGAGTATGCTTCTTCGACGAAAAGATCCCTAGGATTCAACCGCGGGCTAAGTCTTCGCCAGGATTCTGCTGCACTTTCAAAGAAGCCACGAGGAACATATTCTCCAGAAATGGAGAATGCGTTGCGTGTAATCCCTCCAAAGCCATATACAGGTATGTGCGCGAATATCTGCGGTTGAAAATGAGCTCACACGACTCAAGATATCTTGGTACAACACTATATCCGTGAAACGAACTCTCAGTACTATTGCCTCTATCCACCCACGTTTCTAAGTGATTACTCTGCATGGTGGTCGGGTAAAACCAGCGGTCAGCCGTTGACTGAAGAGTTTACCTGTCTATTAATACGGACATGTGCGTGTGCAACCTTATTCCTCGACCCTAGAGTAAAACAGAAGCTCGAAATGGAATTGGGTGAAAGCGTTGAGAGCCTTTCTGAGCGATACCATCATGCGGCCAAACAACTGAGCAGCACCATTCCCCCAGGGAAAGGGGCCTAACACAAGTCCAGCAACTATTTCTCGCGGCATCCTGGTACAAGGCCGAAGCCCTGTTTGTTGAATCATGGCATGCCTTGAGCTCCGCTATCCACGAGGCTCAAGAGTTGGGTAAGTAGTTAGTCCTAGTCGTTCGTCAAAAAGGTGCTATCGCGAATAACATCATCGAATAGGCATGCATAAGAGCATTTCTAAGGTAGGACTTCCAGAATTTGACAGGGAAATGAGGCGACGTCTGTGGTGTATTCTGTATAGTTGGGACTGGTAAGTTCCCGTTCACCTCTATTGAGGCTTCGAGGCTCACTTTGCAAGGCAAATGTCCCTCATGCTATCCCGCCCCTTTATTATTAACAGCGCTTACTGCTCCTTTGAAATGCCCAATGTGAGGTTGGAAAGCGACCATATTGAAGCAGACGTGCCCTCGCCTATAGTCCACATCGCGCTCCAATGCCAACTCGGCCAGGCCTTGTCCAGAATACCAGGGGTGATGGGTGGAACAATGACTCCTGCAATCGCCGTCACTGTTCAACAAGAGACCGAAAACTGGCTCGCTTCATTTCCGCCTGCTTATAGGCTTGTCAATCCTGACACGCAATGGGATCATGATTACAAATACGTGGAGGTGCAACGCAAACAGCTGCATACTATTGCCTACATGGTTATGCTTATGCCATTGAAACCTTGTCTCACAAGTGACGTACAACAAGACTCCACGTCTATCGAGAAGAGTCTCCAGCCCACTGCCATTGACATTGCACTGAAATTGATCAAGGCGGCTCACCAGCTCCTTGATTGCATGTTGCCCCTAAACGCCAAGTTTCATTTTGCGCCGTTCACGATGTTCGACACAGCCGCCAGCCTATGTTCAGCCATCATCCACGACCATGGGCGATGTCTCCCTCGGCGAGACGAGATTATTCAAGCAATCGGCGTGACTCTGGGCACACTAGAACAGATCAGCCACGGCACAAAAACCGCCGCAATATGCTACGGTGTGCTCTCAAAACTTGTGAACAAGCTCTCCTTAGCCCCAGAGGAGGAATTGACCCTGCGCTCCAAGTTTTCCGACAGCCATCTTAGAGGGGTCAAGACGCCTTCTGACTCTGAGTTAACTCTGGATGCGGTCCCCTGCATCGACTTTGGCATTAATAACAATCTGCCGTCTTTAGACGCACACAGCTCTGAGATGTATGCTTCCACAATGTCAGGTTATTCCTCCCTGGAGCCACTGGCACCTCCGTCTTCAGACCTTCAGGAGCTTTTCAACGTGGATCTTGGCGAATTAGGCCAGATCTGGGATCTGGAGAACCTCGGTCTTGATTTTCCACAGGCCCTGACTGCTTAGGTTACGGCATTAACAGCTCTTGAGCTGGCATATTTGTACCAGGCAGGAACCAGACACCATACCAGCTGGCGCTCCTCCTGCTATTGAGAGAGCGTATGATCACGATCAAGGTTGTCTACATAGATTGCACACCATTGCTGTTGGATGTCGCAATGAGACAACAGTCGGCATGGTTTGACTGTGCATCATGGATATTATACTCTCCAATATGAACATAAGGGTGACGTCCAACGAGGTCATCTCGTGGTTTGGTCCCTGTGAAAATTTTGGGTGTACTGACTTGTTTGGTGCTTCCCTATTTGTAAGATCAGAGCAATATCAGTCTCCTTAAATATGCTCCAGGTAGCATGTAGTGACTCTGGCTTGACTTGAGTCATAATATAGCTACATATTTGAAGCCATATATATTCTGGTAATTTACCACGTGACATTAAAACCACTTTCAAGAGCCTATTTGATGTCGTTCAACTTACGTTTACATAGTCAACGCCTTGACCGTATCAGAAGAAAAATCAGCACACATACATTACATCACTGTATCCATGTTTAAGTTACACTTCGATAATCTTAAGAAAGTGATCAGCAGCAGCATAAACATGTCACATAGTTCCGAGCTTCCCAAAGTGGAAACTAACAAGTCAGCTGCACACAAGAACAGCAGAATCGAGTAATTCTAATAACCGATTCGTGCATTCTGTAACACATCGATTCGAGGGGATGTCAGGGTCAGTTGGCAGCCACACGAGGACTATTATCTGCAGGGTTATTATTAGGCGCTGGCTGGGCGCTTAACGTAGACCTGATATTAATATGGGATGCCCCTAGAACTTGACTTGTATTTCTTGCTCAGTTCGCTCATTTCGTGCTTCGCCCAGTGCAGAGATTATTTGATACTTAGGATCATAGAGCTACAGAGGCAACTGAAAACAGCATGTCCAGCTCATCAGCGAGTAGCGACCAGAATCCCTATCAGTACTACGCGAGCTTTACAGATCGACCGACCCTTCAGGGTAAATTTCGCGATATTGATGAGGAGTCTTGTTTCTATGCGTATAATAGACGGTTACGAGATGCACAGACGCAGAATTTCGTGCTGGATTTTGGGAATGATGATGCCTGGTGTGCGATGAATCTGACACAGGAGGATTTCGGCCTGTTGCTGCGGAAGCCAGTAAGCCGCATTCGCATTCGTATAACCATGGACAAGTGTTGATGTGTGAGCTTCAGAAACCAAATTGTTTTGGGACTAGGTGGATGTGAGTTGCTGTCCGTCGTCCCGATACTGATACTGACGACGTCTGGTCGAAGTAACATTTGGGCTCCCGAAGAACAGAAGGATGTGATCAAGGTTCGTCAGGAATGATATACAAGAGTACAGCACACTGATGAACCAGGAAATTACGAGCTACTACGGTGTCTCGGAACGGCTAAAGGGAATGATGTGCACCGATCCCGTAGCAGCTCCGCTAAAAGCTCCAGCACCCGTGCTGTCTCTGAGGGCTAGCGTCCACAGAAGCATTGATCGATCGCATCGTCCTCGCATGGAAGATCTTGAGGAGGCCGTCTCGTTGAAGAACTTATCAGATCCAGACGACATCCAAAAGGCAGCTTCATTCCGAGGCCTTACGTTTGCCCATGTCACAAACCAGATTTGGCACTTTTGCTCGGTGGATCACGGACCCCGATGTATAAACTCGGAGACTCTCATTGTCACTTGTGAATGCTGACCGAATCCAGATACTTGCGTTGGGTATAACTCGTTATACGTGATTCCAACCGTTGATATATCAAACGGGAGAGACCTGCCTAGCGGAAAGAGGTTATGGTCCTGGTTAATCCTTTGCGACGATGGTGCGGACAATCCAGCACAATAGTGGCCACAGTTGCTGACGAACCCAGGGACTGTCATATCAATGCAAGAGAACCCGTATCCCCGAATATCTGAGCCAAGACCAGAATCAGAAATCAAGTCGGTTCTGGGAGTCGTGCGCAGAAACGTGCAGATGATATTTTCAGGTGCTTCAAAGCAGCACTCTGCTTCATCCGAAAGTGACTCGTTGGTCACCATTCGAGTGCGCGCGTCTAATGACCCTCGTTCGGATCACGTCAGTATACATCAGGACGATGGCCCTGGCCTGCTTTTCTACTACATCTTCGATGACTGGGTGACGAGTTATGCTCTGATAGCAAAGCGCGAGCATAAGTATGGAGTCTTGCTGGATCGACTGGTAAGGATCACTTTTTGCAAAAGGGTAGGTCGTGCTCAGGTACTGATCTAAGAGAACAGAGAGAGGATATGTTGAACAAACCGGTCGTCGACTTGGTAAATGAATTACATTGGCTAGGCAGAAGATTGGCAGTCCTACGGCGCCTGTACCAGAGCTACGAGCTCATTCTGACGCGCGTGCTTCAGAGACAGCGCTTGCTGCGCGATGAGGCACGCTCAAGACACCCGAGAGTGCCACCTGGGCACATCATTCAGAGAGAATCAGAATTGTCGAGCAACTGCGAAAACTCTGTGGGCGTGCAATTGAACTCTGCAGCCGTTGCTCGCTTCGAAAGACTGCTGGATCGCATCAAACTGTATTGCTTGACTGAAATTGACGCCTGTTTGACAGAGAAAGAGTCTCTCACGTTCCTGGTCAGTGAGCACCTCTTCCCTTCAAATGTACTGATTTATTAACGAGCTAGTGCAGAATTTTAACTTGATCGCCTTGAAAGATTCACAGGCCGTCGAGAAGCTGACGAGAATCACCATTCTGCTGGCGAAAATCACGATTCTCTTCTTGCCAGTCAGTTTGATGACGGCATACTTTTCGACCGAACTCAGAGGTGTCAAAGGAGTGTATACTCAGACCGAATATTGGATCAGCTTCGCAGTCATCATGGTCCTGTCATTGCTGGTCCTTGTTCTCTTTGGTTACGCCAGCGGCACCATCGAGGGCAGACCGATCTATCAATCATTGTCGCGAACATTTATCTCCTCATCCAAGGACAAACTCGGGCATCAGCGAAAACACGCCGAGTAGATTTGATGCATAAGGCATGCACAGTCAACTTGGGTCGGAACAAATGATGCTCGTAATTTTCGAAATCAGATACAGCCAGATCTACCTGCATCCACGGCTTCTTCTGATTATGACGCGTAGATAGAGTGGCCCCCTGTGGGTTTCCCTTACCACTGAGCTCCGGGTATCTGGAGCCAACCACCAACCTGGATTTGCGGCGATGAGATAATAACCTGCACTAATAACACGTTACCTACTTTAGAGAACACGAGACAGGGCACATTTGCGAATTGCGATAGATACCTAGGCCCAGTGCCACCCGAAGCGATCCACTGGGACGGGGCTGATTCAAGAGCCAACCCGGGAACCTATCAGAAAGGGACCAGACCCAGAATTGTCCGGACTTTGTGCCTTTGTATTTGGGGCATGGAAGTGCGCAGCAAAAGGGGAAAGGAACAAATGGCCTAATTACGAGCAAGAATAGGCATCAATAAAGTGAATTTAGAGCAAGCACCTCATTCGATTTTCAGCATCCAAGTTATCGTCACGCAGTGATAGTCGGTATATGACCGCTCTCAGTATCATCACTGCCCTGAAAAGCGCCGGTCTTAGTGCGCCAATAGACGGGAAACACCGTGGCCTCTTCATGTGGCCAGGCAGAGAAGATTCAAGAAGCGCAGTATAAGGGGAAAAGTAGCAGACAAGAATGTCCGGTCTTGTTCCTGTAGAGACTCATTATTATTGTCCACGAAGAGAATCAGATGAAATTTGACAGCCTCCAGAGTCAACAATCATAATAAATAGAGAGGTAGATACTCCGTACTGAGTGTTGTGATTCTGGTGGTTTCGTTAGTGACGGAAGCTACGCCGGCGGCTGAATTTCTCGACCTGGGCATTTTTGCACCCAAAAATTCCAACACCGACAAAACAAGCCCGGCTCAGACACAAGACACAGGCACAGAGTGAGAGAGAAAGTGTGGTCTGTCTGCTACTCCATCCTACCTTACCTTAATTCTGTCTATCTATCATCATCACAATCATCACCCTTACCCTCGTGTATCCACGTTTTGTTTTCCCTTCTCCAGCTTCTTCTGTGTTGGTAAGTTAAATTCTCTTTTCTATTTTGTCTTCGACTTACTTTCCCTTCTTTTCGCCCCTCTCCCCTCTCTCCCTTTCCCTCTCTCTCTCCCCTGAACTCTACCAACTCACCGTTATTCCCCGGTGTGAATACGCCCCTCGTTCTCAAGTCACCCAATACCAAGGCCCCGTTGTCTTTTTGCATTTGGGTCTTCAACTCTTTGTCTCTGCCTATTCTGTCATACTCTGTTATAAATCAATCAGACCGAAAACCTTCGATTGACTGACCTCACCGTCGCGCTCCCTTAGACTCGTTTACGCCACCGCCAACATGGGTCTCACCTTCTCGAAGCTGTTTGATAGACTATGGGGTCGAAAGGAGATGCGAATCCTGATGGTTGGTCTTGACGCCGCCGGAAAGACCACCATCCTGTATAAGCTGAAGCTGGGTGAAATCGTCACCACTATTCCCACGATTGGTCTGTCGTCCACTCCCGCTGGTTCGGGTCGTCCGTCGGTCAATCACGCCGGATAATCTTCGTCGTTCGCGTACGAGAAAGGAAGCTGTTGCTGACGTTGGTTTATTTGTCAAGGTTTCAACGTCGAGACCGTCGAGTACAAGAACATTCAGTTCACCGTGTGGGACGTCGGTGGTCAGGACAAGATCCGTCCTCTCTGGAGACACTACTTCCAGAACACCCAGGGTATCATTTTCGTCGTCGATAGCAACGATCGCGACCGTATTGTCGAGGCCCGGGAAGAGTTGCAGCGCATGTTGAACGAAGACGAACTCCGTGATGCTCTGCTCCTTGTTTTCGCCAACAAGCAAGATCTGCCTGTATGAGAGATCCCTGTGCGGTTTTGTTCGCTGTGATACTGATGACTTTCCAGAACGCCATGAGCCCCGCCGAGATCACCCAGCAGCTTGGTCTGCAAAGTCTCACCCGTCGTGCTTGGGTAAGTTGGCTTGACTGCCAATGCAGGTCTTTCACAGTCCACTAATTTATACTTAGTACATCCAATCTACCTGCGCCACCACCGGTGACGGTCTCTACGAAGGTTTGGAATGGCTCGCCGATGCGCTGAGGAAATCGAACAACTCTTAGAATGTTATAATACGACGAGAGGAAGAAAACACGAAACTGTGACGAGGAGTTGCGCGGATGATGGTTGGGGGACCAGGGCCGGCAAAGACACCTTGCATACAAAAGGGATTTGCTTCTTGGTGGTACTTGTATGTTCTCTAACGGCTCTTCATTCCTCTATGCTATTAGCTTTTATTTCTTCTTTCGTCCCGGCGTCGATTCCAACAAATACTCCTTTGTGCCTTTTGAAAAACCATTTTTCATCTGTTGTTCATGTCCTCGAGAGTCAAGGCTGGCTCGACGTTTATGATCCGTCCAGAATGGTTATGTTTCACTAAACATATTGATAGGTGTCTGAAGTAGATGAAATGAATTTGATGTACTTGAAGCTGGATTTTCCGTCCATAAGCCCTCCACTGATGATGAAAGTATATGGTCTTTGTTCTTTGTACAACTAGGGCACTCCTGATGTTTATGAACACAATGCCCACGCAGTCTTTGCTGAACCTTCTAGTCTCCTCCTTTCAGCTCCGTCCCACCGACCCACCACACAGCCGCCCGAATGATGTCCATCACGACCTCCAACTCCCTCTCATCCCTCGGCGCATAAATCATCACAAACCCCGGCGGCACACTCTTCGCCCACCACCACCAACACCACTCCTCCCCGCCGTCATCCCATGCAAGCGGATGCCGCTCCCCCCACCCCTTCTCCAGCACAGCCCTCACATCCGCCGGATGCAGCGTGAGATGCAAGCTCCCGTCAACCGGATGCGAGTGGCACACTTCGCCGTCGCAAGTGTGGCGTTGCGCCTGCGCCTGCACCTGCGCGGCCGCAGCCCCGCAGAAGATCCCCGTGCTGTGTTTCTCGAAGCAGGAGGTCGCAGCGCGGAGGGCGGATGGGTGCGCGTTGACCAGCTCGTGGATCCGGTTCGACAGCGTCGCGTACATTGCTTTGCTGGCGCGCTGGGTCGTCTGTCTGTGGGGGCTATCCCTGCGACCGTTGGGCGGGCCCTGCCCGGACGGGGAGGGAGGACGGGAGCTGCCCGTGCTTGGGGTGGAGGGATGGCGGGATGGAGGGTGGGGAGAAGGGATCGCGGACGGTGAAGAGGCGGAGGACGCAGATGCGGGCGTAGCCGGTGGGGGTTGAGGGGGTGCCGCCTGGGCCGAGGGCGAGGAAGGCGTGGTAGTCTTTGCGGATGTAGTGGGCTGCTAGGAGGAGGGAGGGAGGCAGGTGAGGAAGAGGAGGAGGAGAGGGAGGGAGGAGTCGGTGGTGGTGGTGGTGGTGAGGAGGAAGGGTGACTGTCTGGTCTCCGGGGAGAAGCTGAGGGCCTGCCATTGAAACTGTTTAGTTTAGGTTCGAATGGTCAGCTGGGGAGTTTGATGCTATTCGGGCATACCATGTTGGTAGTATCCCCTCCGCAAGGGTCTATGTCGGCTCTTTGGGTGGTGTAGAAGCCAAGGTACAAAGACATACTAAATTATTTATACTTTACAAGAATTGTCTTGGACGCAATTATTATCAATTGATCTCCTGGCAGAGCAGGATGTAGGTTGTTTAGGATTTCGTAGCGGCATATTGATTTCATGATAGACAAATCATCACCATTGCATCATCCTCATGTGGACGATTTTAAGCCACTCTTAGCCTTCTTAGGTACCATTGCATTAAGTTCCAAGCCTTGGAAATGCTCTGTTGTCAACTTCTGGTAATGTGAACTTTCCTGATTCTATGTGACATGAAAATATATCCATTGACAGGTTGACAACTTCGCAATCTTGAATAGTGGAGGTTTCCAGTAATTGTCGTGGCCGTTGCCACAACATCAGCTGGTTAGTTATTTTGACAGTCGAACACGTAGCTCACTTGATTATCTGCGAACACAGTTTATTCAAGGGTTAGTATTGAGCTTAAGAGCTGCAGTCCAATCCAGGTTGACACGCGGAAAGGATCAGCTTGCTTTTTTGACCCCTCGCTATCGTTACTGTTCTTGACACTTCTAAAACTAGAGCTTGCCTTTTCTTAATCAGAAGACTTGTCCGAATTCAATGTTATTCTTCGATTGCTCGAAGGTAAAAGACTCCCTTTATGCGAATTGCTAGAGTTTCTAGGCGTATTGTTCCTGTGGACGGACTTGCGAGAATTATAGGCATTCACGTATACTGTTTGAGACTCTGAAGCCGCATCAGCTTGCCGGGAGAGGTCCTCAAGATAGCTGAAAATGTTTGACCATGCATGTATGACTGCAGTAGTCTCTAAAAGCTCCTGTCGCGGTGGGAGTGATAGATTTTCAAAGATGCCCGAGTATAGCAAGACTAAAGTTGCATGCATTCGCTGATGTTCAGCGTGAGTCGTCTCGAAACCACGCCATCTATATGCCGTTTCGAGTGCTTGCAAAAAGCGCATTGTGTTTGAAACTTTCCGCTTGCTGATCGGCAGCATTGTTGACCCATGTTACTGAAGATGAGTGAGCATTAAGCGTGTTGGCGGGAATGTGAGTTGTGAGGAAACATATCCGGAAAATACCCGACCTAAGCCAATGAGGAAGTCGATTGGCGAAGAGAGGGTCTCTTCCTGAAGGTATGCCTCCTTGTAAGAAAGGTCGAACGCTGCACAATGAAGTGGTCAAGCCATTGACTCAAAGGACCGGTGATGACAGACGTCCTGGTAAGGATTCCGCGTAGCCTCACAACCTCCTCGAGTATCACGACTTATGGCTCCCAATGCTGGTGAAGTTGGCTTTCGGGATGCGTACTTCTTGCCTCCGGCGCTTAATACATATGACTGGTGAATATATGCAACGTTTGGCGCAGTCCGGTCCTGTACGCCGTAGACAGCATGACAGCAATGGGTATTTCTTGATTATTCAGGTTCCTGTCGACGTTTCGGGCTGCAAAGGGGTCTTCCATCAGTTGGAAGGGGCTTTGAATTGCTTCGACTTTCGAATTTGGTATGACGCAAGGGCTTTTTCGGATATAAGAATGCCATCACTTGAGCCGTAGATATGGAAGTTCCCTGGAATTGCCTATCCTGTACATTCCAATAGGGAATGCTTCCTTTTCCCAGTGGCCGTCTGTTAGTGTGGGGTTGTCCCACTCAACATTGTAGACAGTCTGCAGGGAAGACGCCTCAGGAAATTCACGGTACTCCGTAACGCTGTTGAAACTCCTCTGGGCATAATGATCTCACGAACATGTTTCCCTTCATCTTTAAAACAACCATGATGCAGCCGTAGATCGATAGTCATACATAAATAGGCACAATGTCTGAGATCGACACTCCTGTGCCTGGCGATGAAACGGCTCCCGTGTTTAGCACCATGACTAAGTCGCTGTCCCGCCCCTCTCTCTCCATCCTGCCAAGCCCAATCCGGTGGCCCAATTCCCCCTGACAGACAGCGAGAACAGCCAAACAGCCAGCAGCCAACCTCTCCTCCATCCCCATCCTATCCCATCCGTCCATCCATCCATTCATCTTCTTTTACCATCTACTTCTTCATTCTCGCATCTCTGATCCGTGTTCTCATTGCTCTCTTCCTCCCATTTGCCGCTGTTTCTTCTCTCCTCTCTTATCCTTTACACTCTTCCTTTTCTCCCGTAACAGATCGCTGGCCGATCTCCGTGTGCTCTTTCCTCACAATTCCGCTTTAGGACAGAGAACGCCCTTCATGTTGTCGTCAGCGCCACAGCAAATATCGAGATCAAACTACCAGTGCCTCCGGGCCAAATAGATCTTCAGAGCCAATTTTTATATCAGTGCATTCGCCGGACTCGTCTACATCGAGCGTCCCTACTTCTTCCGAATCTTAGGCATCATCACAGCTGACCGCCATGTGGCTGTACAGAGGGGCTCAGTCGGCCGTCTTTTACTATGCCACCTGTACGCCCTGTGCTATGTCCTTTGACCGTCGCAAGCGAAAGAAGGAAGCCGTTCGATCGCAACGAGAGAAGGAGAAGGTTGACGCCGTCATCACCGACCAACCAAAACCATTTGCTCAGCCAACACCGTTCAGTACCAACCCAGGATGGGCGGAAGAGATTGCACTAGGTCCGGGCCCTCCTGCAAGAAGAGGAGGTCATCGGAACAATCATCGACGGACCGACAGTTGGAATACTGATCCGTTGTCACCAATGGAGTCCAGCCACAACGTGGGGGAGGCATCACTGAGAAAGGATAAGAGCAGTCTTAAGCATCCGCTTGGCGACCGGTGGAACCGTATGCACTATCAGCGCGAGGATGAACCTCTGTGGGGGGAGGAAGTGGAGGTGAAGGGCTCCTCGGTTGGAATCTCCGGCCGGGGCAAAGCGAACAGCACCGAACCCAGCAAGTACTACGTCGCCCGGGTACCCCCGGTCAACGATCTTCATCCACCGATTGTAAGCGGACCCAAGAGCCGGGCGGAAACAAGATGGATGTTGCAACCGCCTCCCAGTGCCAGAGTCATGGCCGGAAAGGAACCGTTCAGCGCTTCAACCCGCAGGAATGACTGCGGGGCACTACCTAAAGACAATCATCCTAACAAGGCAGGGTCGACAGTCGCTCAGCGGAATAGACAGCTGCCGCCCTTGGCTACTCAAAGTACGGATCAAAGACCGTCGAACAAATCCACGCCTATTCTGGCTTCGCCCTACGAACACTCCGCCCAGAAAGCACCAAAGCCCGAAAGCAACAGTCAGCGTGAGCTTCCTCGGCAGCTGTCGTCCACTATGCTGCCATACGGACGTGACGAGAGCACGTTTGTCATCTCGGTACCTAGGCATTCACGTTGCGATTCACCCTCTACCATATCTTCTCCGGACTGCTCAGACGCGGAGACTCCCAGTATCTCATGGCAGTATCCTGAAACCCCGACGTCACGGCCAGTATCAAAATCAACGGACGACAATACTAAACATGCCCGTCCGAAAGTATCAAAGACACTATCCACGTTTCACCAGGACAACAAACAGATTCAACTATACCATTTGGATATCAACGATGATACAGTTGAAGAAATTAGCCTGGGCCAATTTGAACCCATTCGACCTTGGCGTTGGAGCATGGACATTTGAGGATAGAAACCCAGTGGGCCACGCTGTCAACCTCGCATCTGTTTCTTAACCCTTTTGGCATCGCACACGTTTCTGGATGCATTCAACTGGTTTCTCTATCTCGGCGTTGGAAGCACAAAAGCGGATGCTCTCTCATTCACTTTTTTTTTTCTCTCCCCGTTTATCATCCTACAGAGCAGGAAGAAGGGCCTACCATTATTCCCGTGTTATCTCCATGGCAGGTCCATGGCAGGCATCCTGGATCATCAGTTCTAGGCCTCCCGTTTAAGTCATCGTCCCATTTGCCAACTCTCTCGCATTCCTGCATTCGAGTCATTTTCATTCTCAACGCAGATTACCATTCTCTAGCCGTTTCCTTGACCTGTCCCGTCCTATTCTTACCCGAGATTTTCCTTTTGAGCTGTTGGACTTTCTTCGTGTATAATAGCTTCCCTAATACATACCTTGCGTCATACCTTCAGCAACTGTACCTCTCTAAAACTTACTCATATGTTGTAAGAATGATGCAGTAGACTACCTTCCTGCTTTGATACATAGTCTAGTGGCGTGTATAGTTATACCGCTATTAACGATGGACCGGCCCACCTGCATCCTGCAGGGGATAGACACAAGAACCTAAGCGCAATTATTGAGCAGTTCCCTCTAGATAGTCCGGTAGAGTATAGTCCTTTCTAGTGAAAAGAACAGAGAAATGAAGGTACTCTTATTTCTCATCTGAGACGATAAGGTCAAGCAAGGTAAGACAAAACTAGCCAACAGAGAATTCAAAATCGATTTAGGTCAAAACGCGTCGAACTCCTCTTGATGATGACAGGACGAAGAAGCTGCGCTGGCTGAGTTCCAGTCCAAAGATATGAGTTTTGAGGTAGAGGTGGATGGAAAAGGGGGAAGGTCTTGTGTGAAACAGATTCTTCAGGGACATGTGTGCGCGTTCGCAAGACAATGCTGAACGTCAAAGTTTTTTGTGGGAGATTGTTGTCCTTGAGTGGAATATAACCTGCTACTTCTAGTAGACCTTCTTCTTCTCGTCCATGCTCAGTTGGCCGGGACCCATGTTGACCAGGAGAAGGAGACCACCGCTGCATAGAATGGTTAGGATTTGATCACTGGTGAAAGCGGAGGACGGCACTTACACAATGGATAGAATCTGGAAGAAGTCGTACTTGGCAAAGTCCTTGTGGGGGTGGTGGGGGTGCAGCTGAGAGTAGGAGTCAGTTACGGGCTTTATCCGTTGTAGAGGAAAATGAACGTACAGTCCAGAAGTTATTGACGAGTACGTTGAAGACACTCAACAAAACGACGAGAATGATGGCGCTCCACTTGGCCTTGAAACCGACGATGACCATGACACACGCGACGAAACCGAACAGGCTGACCAGCACGCGCCACAAGCTCCACTGGCCGGAGAAGACGAAGCCAACGAAGAGGAAAATGAGGAGCACGCGGCCAGCAAACTGGACGTACATCTTGCGGTCCTTTTCATCCAATTGGGGCAATCCGGCAGGGACGAACTTCTTGCGAACCCACGAGTCGGAGAGAACCATGAGCAGACCGCCGACGACGCTGAGATTGCGCAGGAAGAAGTTGAGATCAAAGATGAGACCATAACCAAGACCTTGTGTGACGACAACCCCGAGCAGGCCGGCGACGGCGATCTCAGTGTGGCGGCGGGTGATGACCAGGAACGAGCATACGGACATTGCAACGACGTTAAGGATGAGGAAAGTGTGCGTGATACCCCAGGGAACTGGACAAAAGAGCTTGGGTTAGAGATTTGTCGCAAAGCTGTCTTGACATGGCGAGTCAGGGACGCTTACTTTTCCGGTATTCACGGAGGTATACGAGCTGGTCGCTCCATTGTGTGATAATACGTAAGCTGTCCTCGATGAAGGTGACCACGATAAGGAAACGGCCAATGGCAGGAAGATAGCTAACAATCAAGACGACACAGTGTCAGTATGTTTCTGGAAAAAGGCTCCGGCCTTGTTCGCCCTTGTTTGTATTCTTCATCCCTTCTCGCGGACAAAGTGGAAGAGTGACAACGTACGGCTTTACAGGATCCGAGATTGTGTCCAGCCAGTCTTCGATCTTGCTTGTCTGTTCTCGAATAGCGTCCAAGGGACTCGGGTCGCTAGTCGCGTCTGCTCGTCCAGGTCCTCCGAAGGGGTTCTGGTGACCGAGGTTGTAACCCGCAGTGCCGCGAATCTGCGCCATGGCGGGAGAATGAACCGGTGGAAGAGGACGGAATAGTCACTTCAGAGGGATGTCAATTTTAGTAAACAGTCGGTTGGCTTGTGCAAAACGGAGGATAAATTCAACGAAACTCCGGAGAAGAAGCCACAAGGAGCCGAGGAGGAGGCGGCGGGGAGAGTAGTAGTACGTAGTGAAGGTAGTTTGTTTTGTACGGCGTACTCCGCAGTAGGAAACAAATAAGAAAGCGAGGGAGGCCAGCAAAACAGGGGAAAACAGGAGTAGGATGGATCACAAACCTTTCGATGATAAAAGAGATACGTCGAGAGAAATTTATCCCAAAGGGACAATCAATAAGCAAGTCAATAATGAATCGTAACCAGAAAGAAGAAAAGACTTGGAGAAATAATAAGAATGACTTGATCTCTTGCTGTTCCCTTTGTTACTCTTGTTCTGGTCACTTTGTTCAGTTCAGGCCACGATGACCGAAACTCGCCTCTAGTCCTGTTTGGGCAAGGTTGCCAAGGTCCACCTCCCTGCGCGCCCAGTGACGACATCACGTTTTCTCTGTTGATTCTGCTGATATTCATCAGAACGTTGCTCTTTAAAATGTTCTAATCAATCTGGGGATACCATCAATATACTAAATACTCTCCAGAATAGGGTCATCTCTACTGTCAATCTTTTTGGTGGTGTGTAGTAGACATCCAGAGGTCCCAGTCAGGCATACCCCACACCACATATTCAGGGACGCCGATCTTCAGGCCCGTTCCTCCGCCCCTGATCCAACAGCTTCAGGTCGTTCTCAAGCATCAACTGACAACTGTCTACAGCTCATTTCGGTTCAACAGGACTGACAATCATAGTAAGAAATTGGAAATTCAGATTCAGTTGATGAATTATCAGGTGTGTACTAAGTATACAAGAAGTATAAATATAGAAACGGTTCAGCCTCCTCAGATCTGAGACGGCCACTACTTCACCAATTCACCGACACTAAGCTACGAAGGCAAGTAAGCTCCACCTTGTCTCGCGTGAGTCGACTCAAAGCTCAGATCGGTTCTCCTCGTCTCGCCTTTTAAGATCAAATCACAGTACGAGCTGAGAGGCCTAGAGAGGTTGTCTGTGCCTTCTATTTTAGTCCCGGCTCGGTAGACAGATCCTGAGATCAGCAGTAGATCTTGTCCAATGCTCGAGCTTGGGCCCAGAGGGACGATACCTATTCACAAGACCAAATCTACGTATGCTGAGGGAAGAAGAATGACCGAAATCATGGAATCCATACAGTATGTGCATTGAAGATCTTTGTTAGACTGGAAATATGAGATGTCGTAACCCTTGATAGAATTCATCAATCAATTATTGATCAAAAACAAATATGGTTATAAGAACAGTCAAGAGGTCGCAACAAAGACACACAAGAAAAATACATGAATTCTTTTTTTCCCCTTTCTCTTTTTCTCCTCATATCGAGTTTCTTCTTTCCTTCTGGCCAATTCAACCATGTTTCTCTCTTTCCTTCTTCCCGCGCTCAATCGTGGTAGAATGAATCCATCTCACCCGACACTAGACATTTTGTGGTATATCGAAGACAGCCCAAACGCCAAAGCCATGAATAATAAATACAGTCCAAGGCTTAGATTCTTGGAAGGAATGAGAAGCGTGCTGCTCTTATACGACGTTGTCTTCGTCTCCAAAGGATAAAAAGAAAAAGAAACGCAATGATACACGGATCTTCTAAGCGGCCCAGTCGGAGTCGAGAGGGTGTCCCTTCTGCTTCGAGCGCAGAATATCGGGTATATAGGTGGGGTCACAGTGACCTTGGGGCAGCGGGAACGGCCACTGGAGCGGCAGGAGTCACCTGGGTCTCAGACGCACTGGCCTCGCTGAAGCTCTCATCGGCCTTTCCGCCCTTCTTCTTAGGCTTCTTGCTGGACACAGTGGTCCAGTCATCAATAGGATCAGCACCCAGGATACGCATCTGCTCCTCTTCCGAGGGAAGGCCCTGGTCCCACTTCTTCGAGCTCGAGGCAGTGGGAGGAGACTGCTTCGAGGACGGCGCTTCGAAAGTGTCCAACAGTTCTACGTTGGGGCTCTGAGACACATTCGGGGTGCCGTTGGAAGTGGGGTTCACCTCCTTTGTCTGCCACGCGTTGCTCTGAGGCGCAATGGGCTTGGACTTGGCCGCTTCGCGGCGCTCAGCCTCCCGAGCCATGTGGAGTTGTTTCTCGAGGAGCTTGCGTCTTTCTGCCTCGGCTTCCTGAACTTGTTGCTTACGAGCCTCGTTCTTCGCCCGTTGCTGGCGCTGCTTTTTTGTTTCAACCTGCTTGAAAGATGGAGCCTTCTGCTTCTTCTGGGGCGCTTCCATGGATCCGGTGACACGGAGGACAGACGCGCCGGGGCAGGAGCTTCGAGCATGTCCGATACATATCCAGCGGAGGAGGCGGTAGGCTTCACCATCGGGGACCCCGCGGGGGAGAGATCATCATCCGCGTCGGCGCCAGCGGTGGAGGAGGTGCGAGTCGAGACGCGAGATCCGGAGCGCTTACTCTCTTCAGCCTCGAGTTGGCTGGTGGACTTCTTCTTTTTCTTTTGAGATTTACCCTCGCTGCCGCTCACCTGGGCGGGGATTCCACTCTTCACAGCGGTAAAACGCTTGGCCATCTCCTTCTGGTCAATCTCTTCATCCCCATCATCACCCTCCGTAGCTTTGTATTCGAATGCGGGCTTCTCTTCGACCTTCTTGGTCGTTGTGGATGAAGTAGGCTCGGGGGATTTTTTCGCCTTCTTCTTTGGCTTCTTCACTCCAGTCGCGCTTTCTATCTTCCCTACCGCGGGCTTGACGGTGGTCTTGGCTTTGGAATTCGGGACATTATAATACCATCCCAGGCCACCTGCCACCACGAGTAGCAGAGCCCAGCTAATGTAAGGATTCATCATGGTTCAAGCTGTATCCGCAACATGTCAGCTCGTCAGGCTCGACGTGGCGTTCGGTGTGGGAACGGAGCATACCTCGGCAAATTCGCTCTTCAAAGATAAGCAAAAGGGGTAAAAAGAAAATAGTATGAGAAAAGTCGTGATATTGATGGTCGTCGTCTCAATCGATCGTTCTTTGAAGTGGAAGGTGGCAGAACGGCGTAGGAGACTGGGCAGGGAGTAGCCCCTGGTACCGATAGTGATTGATCGCGGATAATTAATTGGCTGGAGAGTTTCGCAGTGATCCAATTCAATTTATACCATCAGGTCCAGAGAGGTTGGGACTCGGAGGGTGGATGGGAAGTTGAAGGGGGTTCGGGGCGGAGATGTCGCGCTGAGAAGGACAGATTGCGTCTGTGAACAGAAAGAAGCAGTGTTGTTCGAGCGACCGGCTCTTTAGCAACTCAACTTTCGCACCTTTTAAAAGGCTGGCCAGGAGAATTGAGTTGACCAGAGAGATATCCGACTGGCTCAGGGGAGTTGGTTGCAAGTCAAGAGGTGAGGTCGCGAGAGCATGAAAAATGGGGGAGGGAGGGTGGGATCACCAGAGGAACATCGAGACAGCTGGTTGATCTCAATTGAGAGATGAGAACAAATAAGCTGAGGGTATGATGAAGCCGAAGGGATCACTGGAAGGCCAGCGTGAGTGAATGGCCGATGGGGAAGAGAAATAAGTGGTAGTGAAAGGTGGATAGAGGAGGTGGAAAGGAGGAGCGAAGCGATAATAATTACGACGGAAGAGGACACGGTCACTAAACTCCGCTCTCCATGCCTCTCAGTATGGACTTTACGGAGAGTACCTTTGAGAGGAGATTAAATAGGCGCTACGGAGTAGCACTGGGAAGTCTCCACTGGGTCATATTTCACTTTGACAAATGATTAATTTCATTATCATTGAATTCCAGCCTATCGAGCATCCATCAATTGATAGATAGACGTTGTTTTATGAATTTCGTCCAATGTTTTCATTGTCACCTGTTACCCTCCTTTCACTTCACCTGTCGGTATACTATCTACCACCCTCAAAAGTCATCAACTGACTGGAAATTGTCCGAACGGTAGTGAGTGACATCCACTCTGAAATTGAAGTCCCCTTAATGCATTAACAAAAACGGCACTTGCATACGGAGTTAGATGATCCCTCCATCACCAAACAGACGACAGGGGTAATGCGCGCGGGGAAGCCAACCAATCCCTCCAGCCATGAGTTATTCCAGACCTTTTCCGTCAGCACATTCCCCTGACTTTGTCATCCAGTCTAGATTCCATATTACTGACACAGGGCTGGCATGATTGGTGCCGAGATACGCACGCAGTAACTAGTCTAATAGTCACAATCATAGTAGGGCTACACCAGAACAGGCCACGTTGACGGTTTGACTGCCGAGTCATCCTCTACAGGGTAGGTAGCTACGTATCTATCTTACTATGTACCAACATCAAGAGAATCTCCAAAACTGGCGAACAAGTCAAATACAGAAGTACTAAGTATTCTGTTGGAAAGATGATTTTGTTAAATACTCACAACTCCTAACTCGTACCTCGACCTTTCTTACTGGTTCATGGATGAGCATTGACTCATTGGATGCCACAAGGGTACATATACTTGAAGCCATATCCATTTAATTGATGTTTAATCGATGACGAGTAATGCAAGGACGCGCACATTCTGTCTTGATGGTAGATAATAACGTCAAGAAATCTCGACGATCTGTTCTTCAGTCTTCCTGTTGGAACTATGGGTGTTGCTGCCTGATTCCCCAGGCCAAAAGGCACCTCACCATTATGCATAAAACTGCATAAGCCTTACCCTCAGCATGGTAATGTGGCTGTCTTCTAGAATATGTAATTCCCTTCCGGAAGTACACTCCATACCTATCTACGACTTTGCCCAAATTTTGGCACCGCTTTTGTTAGCAAATCGACGCCTACAAATTCGCGGTCTATTACATAAAAAAATGGTGTTCAAATACACTATGTAACCTTAGGCCATATCGGAGTTCTCCGCACTTACTCCGTAGTCTTGATGAGAAAGTTCCCAGTGGCTCCATATGGTGGGGAATATGATAACAGAGCCAAGACTGTAGGATTTCCCATCCCACACTTTCTGTTGCCTTTCTAACTATCAACTTCTACAACGCTTTGGTCCAAGAAAGCACCGCTCATTTTTGTTGGCCTTGTCAAACATTGAATCCTCATAAGACTGAGTTCCTCCAATCAGCCCATCATGGCCCCGAAAAAGATCATCGTCGACACCGATCCTGTATGTCTTCGCCAGCTTCAATACGTATACAAAAACTGACTTGATGTGAACAGGGCATCGATGACATCCTCGCACTCCTTCTTGCTTTATCTGCACAGCCTGAAGAGGTCGAATTGCTACTCATCTCTCTGACCTTTGGCAATATCGAAGTGAGGAGGTGAGTTGCCGTCCTTCTAGTTGCATCAATGTGCAATGGCTAATTATGGATAGCTGCCTCCGTAATGTCGTCTCCATGTTCCACATTCTGGAGCGCGAGATGCAATGGCGTCGTGAACAGGGCCGGCCTGAAGGATTTGGCGCTCTGCGCGCCTGTCGACCGGTCGTCGCCGTTGGGGCCGAGGACCCTCTAGAGGATCAGAAGATGTTGGCCGATTATTTTCGTATGCACCCTTGTCACGGAGGAATTCGCCATTGATGCTAACTAGCTGATGAACAGATGGAACGGATGGTCTTGGGGGCATTCATGCTAGCGTATGTTGACATTTCTCACGGTCCCTCGACAGATGCTGACCATCGCAGCATCCGCACTTCACTCCAAAGGAAACCTGGGAGCATATGTTCGATCCCTCGGCGGACCCCACCGTTATCGAGCCTATACGCACTGGAGACTCGGCACATCGATCCTTCATTGCCTCCAAGCGGCCCGCGCACCAGGAGATCCTCCGCGTACTACGCGAGAACGATCCCGACACCGTCACCCTCGTAGCTGTCGGTCCGCTGACCAATCTGGCCCTCGCTTCCGCGGAGGATCCCGAGGCTTTCCTGCGGGTCAAAGAAGTAGTAGTCATGGGAGGAGCAGTCAATGAACCGGGCAATGTAGGCTTACCTCCCAGCTATGGTTACAGGCCTGTTTCTCGACTAACAAGTGACAGGTCACACCCGTTGCCGAGTTCAACGCATACGCCGACGCATTCGCCGCGGCGCGCGTCTTCGCCCTTACCTCCCCGAACCCCAAAACCACCATGCCATCCGGCGCCACCCTCCCCTCCTACCCCGCTAAACTAAGCAAACAGCTCACACTCCGCCTCTTTCCGCTGGACATCACGCACCGCCACGGCATGACCCGCGGCCTGTTCCGTCAAACCGTCACACCCCACCTGGAAGCCGGCTCGCCGCTCGCGGAGTGGATGTCGGCCTTTATGGCGCACACGTTCCGAACCATCGAGAGCCTTCACCGGGACCAGGTTGGCGATGCTGTTGATCTCAGCCTGCACGATCCCGTCTGTGTGTGGTACGCGTTGACCGCTGAGGATGCGGGCTGGAAGCCCTCCGATGCCTCGCCTGAGGATATCCGGGTTGAGACGACGGGCCAATGGACGAGAGGCGCGTGCATCGTCGACCGACGCCCCCGGCAGCGCCTCGAAGGAGAGGAGGAAAGTGCCAGCGACCATGGCCATTGGTTGAGCACGAAGGCTGGAAATCGTATCTGGAGAATGGACGGTTCGCCTGCGGAGAAGAACTTTGGCGCGATTCTACTGGAGCGGATATTTCGGTGATTCCGTCGTTAGAACTGAAGCATGCACCTTTCATTAGAGCAAATAGATGCATCGGGAATCTCCGATAGAATAGTACATATCCAGTAGACTATTGTATGAAAGGTCAATCAATGTATATCACTGTAGATTGCCTAAATTGTGATGAGCGCTTCAGAGGAGTGCCGCGTGAGAGCCGAGCTGCAAGAAAGTAGTCACTGATGAGATCCCTGGATCTACTGGATGCTAATAGACGACGGCTTTAGAAGTATTCATGCTTCATGAGTTCCCATGATCCAGTTATCTGAAGAAAGAAACGCGGAAACGATGAATCTCTCGTAGCCAAGCATTTTTCGATGCATTGGCTGCCAAGGTCAGATCCCTTCTTTTTTGAACCAAAAAGGCAGGTTCCTTCGAGGGCATGCTGGCGCGGAGAATTGCCGCTCAAGTCATGCCGGGTTGCTAGCAATTTCCCCTGTCCACTTCGGAGCAGTGATGACAGCATAATAGGATGGTCCATTTGCATATATTTATCCAGATGCACGAAGCATCTAACAATAGTCACTGACTTGTAATGCTTTGAGGAATACTGCATCAACCAGGAAAGAGTACGTATAGCTTATAATTTCCGTTATTCAGCTACAATGGCTCGACATGCTATGATACGATCAGCCAGAAACCTATTCAATCAAGTGTGCTCCTGGAAGAATATCTTCTCGGAAAGTATACCTTATTTGACATCGAACGCACTAAGGTAAGTACTGATGAGACGCATTCAGTGAACTCGGAATCCTCCCGGTATGATTGCAGCTGTTGAACTTATTAGGCATGTCCACACATGCCGCAGGTATGAATCGTATTCTAAATCTTATTCAAGCCAAAAAGAGAAAAATAAGAAACCTTGATTGATCATAAAGGGGCCAACTCTCATAATTAATCCGTACAAGACGGAAGACCATCAGTTGGGTACTCAATGCAAGTAAGGATGAGGTATTATTTTCCAGCGATTACTCTGTAGTGATTACTGCTACCCAGGGACATAAACAGGAAAAGGTGTGCGTGTAAACCTTCACAGGCAACGTAGAGTCGAAGCCAGATGATGATCAGTGCACCCTGGTTTCTCCGGATTCATCTTTCCGTGTCCCCCTCTGGAGTACACTAACACACTTATCAAAGCCTTGAACAGCAGCACGAGCCCCAAATTGGTGGACGAGATGAGCCCAGGGCAGCCGGTCTCGTGCCTCGCCAACCCCCCGGTAGACCAGCCTATCACAGCCCGAGAAGCTACCGCGTGGGCAAACCCCCAAGCACGCGACACCCATTTTCGCTCAGCGTCTGTAAGTCTGAAGGTCCTGCCTAGCCTTTTACCTTAAGTCCTTATCTTACTGGACTTTGTCGATCGTCCACTCCATTTCCCACCTCTCTGCACATGTCTTCCGGCTGGTCGAATCATCTTCTCAGGAAGAGGCAGCACGCCTCTTCCTTCCGCTATCAGCACGATATTCGCATTCTCCACCATGTTTCCGACTTGGTGAACAATGTCCCAGATTTTAAGAGTCTTCAGGGACAGGGGTCCGACTAAGGAAACTTTCTCTTATCTTCGTACGCAATTGACTCGTTCTTAATAGACCTGAGGCTGCTGTCTCTTGTTTTTCATCTTCCCGTCTTTCTCTCACTCCCTTGATGCCCGTCTCACCCGTGTCCCTTTTACGGTCAATTTGTACAACGCCAATCTGATTGTCGTCCTACAGCTTGCTACCTAGCTGCTCCGGGCCGTTTCGTCGGCTAATTCAGATATCTCTATCTTTCCTTACCTCTGACAGGTGCTGGGTTAATACATCGATCCTGCCATCGTGTCACGTTCACGTCTTCCCCCAACTCCTTCAATGTCTAGAGAATTCATCATCAAAGAACAAACCTCCGGCGACGGTGCAGATGCCTTTGCATTGCCTCCAGCCGCCCTAAATCCAGCCAAAAGTGAGAGCGCGAGCAGGAGACCTTCCAAATCAGACTCCTCGGCCTACTTTCCTGCTTCTCCTACCTCGCCCGAACTCACTGGCCTGGGCCGCAATGCAAATCCTCCCCGTCAGGCTGGTACCAAGAGGTTACTTGAGGATTTTGATCTTCCCCCTCCGCCGACCCGGACCCGCAAGATCATCCAGATGAAGCCCAAGACACAGACTCAGGCCAAGCCTGCCACAACAAACAGCAAGCCTTCAACCAAGGATAGCGCGAAGAACCAGCCTGCCAACAATGCAAACGCCGCAGCATCTGCCAACTCGAAGAAAAAGCAGCCTAGTGCGACAAGCGCCGCGGGTCGGAAAATCGCCAGGAAAACGGCGCACAGTCTTATCGAGCGTCGGCGGAGATCTAAGATGAACGAGGAGTTTGCAACTCTCAAGGATATGATCCCCGCTTGCCGGGGTCAGGACATGCATAAACTTGCCATTTTGCAGGTATGATCCTTCTTGCTTTCCAAACAATAACTGCGAGCGATCACTGACTTTCCGCACAGGCAAGCATTGAATATGTCAATTACCTGGAAAAGTGTGTCCAAGATCTCAAGACTGCTGGCAGTCAACGGACGACAGCATCACCGTTCATGCCGCCTGCTCCTCCCTCTCCCATGTCACCCGAGATGCTCGGAGAAGTTCACAGTGGGACGCAATCAACGTCTGTGTCTCCAGAGCTACTGCCTAACGGCGCTCACACCAACAACACTTCACCGGCTTTCTCTCCTCGTAGCCGGATGCCGTCAATAGGGACAGCGATCGAATTTTTGCCTGCGATCCTTCCCAGCCCGGCGTTAGGTCCAGTCCGCTATGGCGAGGGAACCATGCATCCTCCACGTGGCTCATGGACCGTCCCGTCATCAACGCTCACTTCGCCCGTCATTCAGCCACGAGCCAGCAATGCCTCGTCCGGAACCGACGCGGACATTGACCATGAGGCCTCCGCCGCTCTGCTCATGCTGAACAGGGACCGCCGCGGAACCGTTGGCTCTATGCAGGAGGGCGTTTCGAGTCCTGAATCTCGGGAGAACAGCGGAATGTCGATACAGGACTCGCAAAAGAAGATGGGAATGAGTGTCAAGGACTTGCTTATTGCATAGATTGTATTTCGATTGTTCCGGCGTCAGGAGGTTTAGCCTGATTCAAAAGGGATTCTGGGTGGTGTTCTGTTTTCTCTCGGTAATGGAGTATGAAGCCGCATGACTACTGGAACTTTATAATGACTAATGATCTTTGGGGTTTACGAAATCAAATACTGATTTACTGCCGCAACCAATACACTTGAACGAATCAACTCTAGGTCAAGTTAAACTTATACTCCGTAAACGAACATATTTCAACGATCAATGCCGTCAGCAGCCATAGCTCACTAGTAGTACCAAGTCAGAAAAAGCCCCCGCCTGAAGCATCGAGGATGGAACCTAATTATCTCTATCAACACCGGGGCACTCGAACGCGGACAGTGGGTGTCTCAACTCGCTGCCTTATCGAGTGGCAAACGACTGGTGTGACAGGGAGGGGAACAGACCAATCAGACGAACCTTCCAGTCGTCTTCTCGGAACCTGGGCAGTCATGAGGGGAACTCCGGTGTTGTACTGGACAGGGGTTACAGTAGTCTAGGTAGTCTATGTTATTCTTTTTCCTTTTCCCCATCGAGAGGTATAGTGCGTTGAAAGGGCTGGACTCGTCCGTACATTTCGACTTTCATCTGCTCAGCGCAAAAGGCGCCGCACGCGAGCATATTTTCCCTGTCAGGATCATTATGCTTGGGTCCATGCAGTGTAACCTGTTGTCACTTGTCACGGAGTAGATAGCCCCGAGACATTGTCTCTACAGTATGCCGTCGCTTGAATATGCCTTTCGCCTGTTTTTAATATCCTCGCGTTGATCATCGAAGGAGACGAGAATATGAAGGTCAGCATGCTTGAGGCGTCGATCACAGGGCTCGTAAATAATCCATCTTCTGCGCACGACTTGTGCCAAGCGGTGATGAATGTATCGCGGCTCGCTGGCTCCACCGAGTCAATGCGGAGTGTGGAGTATGCGCGGAATACTCGGTAGATAATTCCTACGGCCTATGGGTACAATCAGCTATAGAAAAGCAATATATCAGTTCCTTGCTCTCTTACGGCTGTCCCGCTGTCATATGTAATTTGTTTTTCATACTGAGGTAGGCTGGTACATTGAGGTATCCAGAAGACGAAAAGGGATAAAGTACTCCATACTCAGTAGTACAATGATCTACGCCAAGTGCTTGGTATGCGCCCCGGTCAATCATCAGCTCAAGATATCGGATTGAACTATTTGAGCGGGAATTCGGACAGTCTTGGCTTGATACAAGGGGAGTCTCCTGGGAAAACGAGTACTGTAGTAAGTATACAGGTTCCTTCGTAGCTGTGGGTCTGGATTCGTAAGTACGGAGTACCACACTGAGCAACTCGGTCAGTTACTCTTGGATGACGTCGTTGAGTGGCTCTGATTAGAGCGCCGTTCGAAGTACTCAGGTACTCCCTGCCTCTGCACTCTAAAGTGTCAGGGTACCTACTTTCTTCATGAGTAATGCTCCTGTCTAATAATAACAAGTCTAAGGTAGTAGAGAGGTACAGTTTGTCCATCGAGTAGAATGTCTGCCAAGTGTTATTGGCCTGTCGCAGAACCAACCGATCAATAAGAGTCAATCATTCACATTATTGCCTCGATCAAACGGAATTTCGATGATGATTGCCAAGCACCTAGGGAGCCTGACGTCGCAGTTCCCCAATCATCCATTTCACTCTCGGCACGTCTTTGCCGGGAGACCTTCCAGTCCTAGTATTCTGGCCTCCTCCGAGGAGTTCCAGGAAGAACGCCCCGCACGACTTTGAGTGGCTCTGAATGTATTAGCTCATGTTACTCCCTTACTCCCTGTCTCGACTCTGCACCTGTCTCTCCCTAGCCTAGTTGACTGCCTGTGGGTCAAACTTTGTCTTCTTTAGTCGTTGCTTAACTGACTGCCCTCTTGGATACTTAATACAGCCATCCCACCCATCCTCCCCTCCCTGCGTCTCCCTTCAATCCACACAATCTCCAACTATCCACAACTATTCTTCTTCTATCCTCGACGTTTCCAAAACTGCCACCAGTCAATCCTATCCATCACAATGTCCAAATTCCGCTCGCAACGCAAGAAAAACGCCCGCTCTATCGCTTCAGAAGACCCGTGGAGGGTCGATACCCCCTTCGGCCCTCCACGGACGTCCTCCTTCCCCGGTGGTGGCATTCAACGAATCCGCAATACACTTTCCAGGCTGTCACCCTCCGCTAGAGCAGAGAGAGAACTCTTGAAACAGAAGAGCCAATACAAAATCCCCTTGACGGAAAGGAATATCGACACCCTGGTCACCAACCAGCTCTTCTCCGATTCGTTTAAACCAGAACGGCGCACGGAGCTGCAAATATCCGCCTGGCTTGAGAGACTGGCATATTAATCAAATTGACTTTTACCGATGACATACTCGTCTCTTCTGACCGAGAACTACCCCGCCCATGTCTCGTCCTCCCTGTCGACACCGAGTACTGCTCTGGTTCGAGCACCGTCAGATCAATCTGAAAATGGCTCATTAAACGCAAGATAATTCTTATCCCTTCGGTTTGGACTGGAAACAAGTGACTTTCATTGCTCTCTTGGCGTCGACGCCGTCGCCCGATATACTGCGCCAAGTATGCAAGTCTATGCCCCCTGCCACAACGCAACAGCGACAACCTGGCAAAGAAACTCAGGCAGCTTGAGGAGCGATTAACGAAACGTTAATCCAACAATTAACGCCCGGGTGGTCTAGTGGTATGATTCTCGCTTAGGGATAAACCCAAGCATATCTGCGAGAGGTCCCGCGTTCGATCCGCGGCTCGGGCCGTTTCTTTTGTTCTTTTTGCTCTCACTTAATGCCATGGCAGGCATTGTCTTTTTTGTGTCTTACTCCAAGGCGACAATTTCTTTTGTGATAGATACCCTCTGTTTAGAATCCGTCTTTCCAACGTTATTCTTGTTTAGCTTGAAGCTTTGGTGATTTTGCTGGCGTAACCAACAGTAATCCTGAGCTGTTCCTCTTGATAATGATAATAGCTGATGGATTCTTCTCTACTTTGTAGTCTAGTGAGAATCAAGAGTTTTTCAGTGCATTCTCCTTCGACTCCCAGCAGCTGATGAACTAGGTACTTTGGGCTTAGGTCTCGTGCGGGATGCCCCTCGTTGCTGTGCTTCATACTTCGGTCGACATATATTTACTTCTCCGCCCGTTCAAGTTCCCCGCAGCAGCAACAAGCACGACTACAGACCCCACAGTATTTCTCGGTACAATTGACACTCATCCTACCAATGTCAGGTGAATAGAGGACTGACATGAGAATGGTCTCTCTTTCACCCTAGTATTGCGTCTCGCAAATCTTTCATTGCAACTGACCATAGAAACTCCTAGTGAGGGGTAACTCACAAGCGGATAAGATAGCGAGCAACGGAATGCTGCGACCAAAGAAGGTCGCCATTATAGGTAGATTGGATTGCCTCCACGCCAACAAAATCAGAGATTATATCGAGATTCGTAACTCACTCTCTAATAGGCGCCGGGCCGACCGGCCTCGTTACAGCCAAGACACTCCTCCACCATTTCCCGGAGGGCACATTCACCCCAAGCATCTTCGAGAAACGTCATGAGATAGGCGGCCTGTGGCCCGTTCATCGCGAGCGCAAAGGTCCCAGTTCCTGTCCTGTCTCAAAAGATCATGGCGCAGCTGGACCAGTGAATCCGTCCATGCGAACGAACCTCAGTCGCTTCACCGTGTCCTTCTCCGACTTGGCCTGGGAGTCGGTGCTTGGAAGTACGGATGTGCCTATGTTCCCGCAGGCGTGGCAAGTGGGCAGATACCTGGAGACCTATGCGGAGCGGTACTTACCTGACGAGGTGGTCAGGTTGGGATGTGAGGTTGTGCGTGCGGTTCGAAAGGTGGTGGGTGGCCGGCCGCGATGGACCGTGCAGTGGGTGCAGAGGAGGTATTTTTGCTCGAGATCCCCGCTCATTGCATGGCTGATATAGTTGAAACAGTGGAAATCATGAGCGGGGAGATGATACCGAGCAACGTGCAGTGGAGACCGAATGCTTTGATTTCCTGGTCGTTGCTTCGGGGTACTTCTCTCGTCCGTATACGCCGGACATTCCTGGGCTTGCTGCCTTCGCCGACAGGACTATCCACAGCTCTGCGCTACGCAGCGTTGAAGATCTGAATGCAATTGTCGAGAAGGGCGCTGAGGGCGGAAGGCTGGTTGTCGTAGGGGGAAGTATGTCGGGCGTTGAGGCAGCTTCATATCTTGCCCTTCACGTATCCTCATTGAGGCATGCACCAGGATCATCGATGCAAATAGGTAGCTTCCCTGAAGTCTATCACCTATCCAGCCGGCCTTTCTGGACGGTACCGACCTATATACCACACACGCAGAGGGACAATGCGACTGGCACGGAGACGGTATCCCTCCTCCCGCTTGACTTGGCTATGTATGATTTGGCTCGGCGGCCACCAGGGCCGGTTGAGTATGCCTTTGGCCCTGTCTCGGCAGCGCAGGTCGCCAAAGTGAACGATTATTTTCGATCCGTTTTAGGGGAAGACTATACGAGCATCGGCCCTGGCGACTTTGAGTTAAAGAGTGGCGAAGAGGGGAGTTCGCAACCACGGTGGGTAGGTATAGGGAATGATTACGCGGAGTTCGTCCGGTCAAAAGCAATCAGAACAGTCATCGGCCGTGTTGCAGCCGTGCATGCTTCCTCACCTAGTCGAGCAACAGTTGACGTTGAGTTACCTGGGAAGGAGAGCATGACGCTCTATGATGTTGCAGGGATTGTCCTGGCTACGGGATTTACCCCGTTTCCTTCACTCGCGTTTCTCCCTGAAGACGTTCTCTCTGCGTTGGAGTATTCACCCGATGACTCCTTCTTCCCGCTGATCCTAGACGGAAAGGGCACTACTAATGCCAATATCCCTGACTTGGGCTTTGTCGGCTTCTATAGAGGACCATACTGGGGCGTCATGGAAATGCAGGCCCGAAGTCTTGCGCAGACCTGGACTCGAGCCGACACAGAGCATGGCGTTCAGTTTTCAAGGAAAGAGCAGGAGGGCAGAGCACAGGAAAGACAGAAAGTTCGCGAATATCGGAATGCGGATCCGGACCTTCACCGAGGACAGTTCCCAATGGGAGATTACACCGGGCTGATGGAGTCCTTTGCTCGGGATCTCGGGATATGCCGTGCTCCTTTGCCGGAGCTCAACGAACGACCTGGCCCTGTTGCTCCGGCGCGGTACGCCATGTCTCGTCCAGGGTCCGCCGATATCCAGACGAGTTTGCAGGCTCTGCAAGAGACTCTGCGACCTAGAAGTGGAAGTGCCAGTCCAGCAGTAGCCATGGCGATCTTTCGAGGCCTTCACGGCAGCTGGGATTTTACTCGATGTGGACAAGATGGTGTATCATCCGGCATTTCTACATTCTCCCCGCGATATCCTTCCAGCCCCGCTTATGAGAAAGAATATCTGTACGAGGAGAGTGAGCCGAAGCTCGCGAGCTTTGTGTACCGGCTCGCAGATAGTCCTCAAGACGCGCAGATTACGGTCTGGGACTCTCAGGATAAGACTGCTGCTGCCCTCTTGTACGACCTAAGGATCTTGAACCAGGAGGGCTCAAGCACGTTAAGTCAGGGAGAGTACACTATTCGCGCAACCGGCAGCCAGAGGAGCAGCAACTGCACGTACGAATACGTCTTTCGATTCAATGGCGTAGCCATATCATCCTGGGAATATACCGTGCGCAGGCCACCGGACCAGGGGGTTGTTATAAGTAGAACGCTATACAGACGTGTACAAAATATGTGACGGTCACTGACGACCTTGACTCCAGTTAATAAGTAAATCGAAACGCAGGATGGTCATCGCCCAGATTCTCCACTTCATCCTGGGGCAGCTCCAGCCTCCAGTCCCTTCTACCTGCATTCCTTAACCTATTCTCCCTCGCCAAGTAAGTCAGGAACAAGGCGCACGCCGCTCCGCAAATCCAGGTCATCCCCAGACTCACCCCGTACCCGGTAGTATATCGCGGAGCCTCCTCCTTGAAGAAGATGTTACTCGCCACTAGCCCTCCACAATTGCCAAACCCAATCTGCATTGCCGACGCAATGGACTGTTTGTAATGCCCCGCCATGTTGTTACTCAGCCAGCCCATGAGGATCGGTTGCGTCAGGTACCCGCCGCCTGTGATGGCGAAGACGGCAAAGTAGCGTGCCCCGACGGGCACGGATGCCTGGCAGAGCAGTATCACATAGCCCATGGTTGCAATGAGACAGCCTGCCAAGGTGAACAGGTATCGGTGGCGGAGTCGGTCGCTGGCATAGGCGGCGGAGAGGGCGATGACCGTGGCGACGCAGTAGACGGGGATACTCATGACCTGGGCGCGGACGGCGGAATATCCGAGCTGGTTGAGGATGGTGGGGGTAAAGAAGGAGACTGCGTAGCCGGTGTTGACAATGCCAAAGTACATGAGGGGTCTTCATCAGGGGGGTCAATTTCAGCTCTTTGGTCATTCAGGCTTTCGTAGGACGGGTGGACATAGGACATACCCCAGGTAGATCTTTGGGTCTGAAAAGGCACGCCGCAGCGACTTCTTATCCAGACGATCCATTCTCGCTTCACCTTGGTCTTCTGCTAGACGGCGGAGGAGCAGCGCTCGCTCGTCCTCCGTCAGGAACCTGGCAGTCTCGGGCCAATCGACGACGATGAACTTGGCGATGACCGCGACGACAATGGTGGCGAGTCCCTCGAGGATGAAGATCCAGCGCCAGCCACTGTACCCAGCAACGCCGTCCATGTTGTTGATGGCGTAAGCAAGTAGCTGAGAAGCATCAGCAACCCGGTTTGATCAGAGAAGAAGGATGATGGATCTACCCCGCTAATTGCGCCAGCACAGATACTCGCACTGAAGAATACGTTGAGTCGCCATTGGAGCTCATGACGACGATAGTACATATTGATCAGGTAGACGGATCCTCGTGTAGAGTCAGCAAACCGAAGCTTGGAAAGGAGATAAAAGAGAATAGTACCGGGCATGAAACCCGCCTCAAACACCCCAATCAGCACCCGACACACCACCAATCCTCGGAAACTCTTCGTGACGCCTTGACAGACAGTCAGAATCCCTACCGCACCGTCAGCATCGCTCACCACCACCTCGGCAACCACGCAGAAGAGCGAAACAAACCCCAAGCAAGCATAATCCCACTCAACCACCACGACGGCCTCATCCTCTTCAAGAGCATATTACTCGGCACCTCGAAGAGAATATACGGAATGAAAAACACAAACAGGGCGATGTTGTACTCATGCCCGGTCATCCCCAGGTCCTTCTCCAGCCCCATCAACCGGGCATTCCCAATGTTGATGCGGTCGAGAAAGGCGAACATGAACAGGACTGTGAGAATGGGGACGACGTGCAAGTCGCATTTCCATAGGAGTCGTCTTTCCGCTGCGCGGTCGATGTCGTCCGATGGAACGGAAGCGGACTTGATATCCTCGATGGTGGAGTGTGTGCATTCGTCTTTTTCGTCCATGGTGCTGGTGCTAGTCCTTAGTAAGACCAGCTAGACTATAGCCCTACAAGAAAGTACTACCAGATCACGCTATGAGATCGACGAGATATCCACCCTCTTTATAGACATTGAACTGGTACCCCAGGCTCAATATGCATGTCGTACGCACACAGCACACCCCGCCTATTGCGGATCTTTATCCTGTTTCCGCGGTGAATTGCCGAGTCATGCACGAAAGGCACGGCAATTCCGCTCTCCAGGAGACACAACTACAGAACGGGAGTACTGAACGAGTGATTGAGTTCAATGTAACTGGCTTGACAGCTTAGATAGTTACTGCTGGACGCACTACCAGCAGGGCGCGAATACAAACTAAGCCACTTATAATCATACCTGCTGCCGAAGCAGCAAGCAACTGACTCGCAAATAAACCATGTCAGAAGCCAATCAGGCAGGTCAGAATCTCAGTCCAATATATAGGATTGCCAGACTATATACATTTTAGGGATTCAAGCAATATACTCGCAACATACAATGGCATCAAATCTGAATTTACTCCAAACCCCGTACACGACGTATTTCAAGACCCCAGCTTCCCCAGATCCAAAGTGCGGAGAGATTCCACTGTGGGGATGGATCCACGGACGAGTGGGCCACGGCATATCCACCGTTTTCTGTCGGTTGTTGATGCAGGGCGGAATGAGGTTCCGCTCGAGGTCGATTTAGAGAGGGATCGGACTCGATACTAGTGGTATCTTAGTTTTAGATTGCTTACTTTCAAGTGGACTAGTTAGTTACTAGGCACTCGAGTGATGATCAAAGGCCTGCTGGAATGGTGCCGTGGCCCTGTGGCGTGCTCCTCCCAGAATCTATCTGTCCAACGTTGAGGGGACGAGGCCAGCGAATTGCCTGACTGTCTATGAACTACCTTAGCTGACACGCGTGGCTCTCCCCGAGGGACATGAGTTAGTTGTCATGGTTTGGTCCAAATGGTTGTAGAGCTACCTTGACGAATTAAGTTGGTTGTCCATTATCGGCACTTCACAGTAGGCCAGCCAATACGCAGGATTATGCAGAGCGCGAAACTAACATAATTAAGGTACTCAGTCATGTACGTGTCATGTACGCAGTATCAATACCAGATTGACCACTCATAAACATTAGCTGGATACAGCAAGGTCATGATATCAACGCCCCTTGGGCACCGCAGCGGCAGACATCTACCGTCTAGCCTCGAGGTTTTCAATAGTTACCGCATCACTCTTCTCATTGGCCTGGTTCTCAAATTGTCTCTCCTTCTCTCCAATCATCATCCGCTCGCCGTTGGTAACATGGTTGGCGCCGCCGAAGAGGGCGTCGATCTCCTCCAGGGGAACTTGCTTGGTCTCGGGAATGAAGAACCAGACAAAGACGGCAAGCAAGAAGTTGACACCCGCGAACATGTAGAACGCGTAGAACCCGCAGTTCTTCAGGAAAATGGGGAAGAATTGTTGGAAAATGGCGTTGGCGACGTTCTGAGTCTGCGAGGCCATACCTACGGCCTGGGCACGAACGTTCATCGAGAATACCTCGGACGTCCAAATCCACACGGTTGCACCCCAAGAGGGTTTGTCTGAGACAAGAATGTTAGTAGGGTCGAGTAGGGACCGGACCGGACCACGAGAAACTTACAGAAGAAGATGAATAGGAAAAGTAAGAACACGATCGATATTCCGACGGATTCTGTCTTCACCCCGTGCGGCGATGGTGTTTCAGTTTCAACAGCGGCGACAATGATCATGCAGAGACCCATGCCGATACCACCAACAATCAGGAGGAATTTGCGTCCGAAGCGATCAATGATCCACACCGCGTTCAAAGTAAAGATAATACCAAAGGTGGCGTTGAGGGCGTTGATGAGAGCGATCGTTCCGGAGCTGGGAAACACCTTCTGGTAGATCTTGGTCGAGTATGAGTTCAGGGAACCTTGTCCAGTGACCTGTTGACCGGCATTGATCACCAGCGCCAGAAGCATACGCTTGCGGAGGGACTTGTCCTTCCAGAGCGCACTGTAGTTGCTGGAGATGGCTTCCTTTTCGTACTCGAGGGCCTCACGGATTCTCAAGATTTCCTCCTCCACTTCCTCGTCAGTCTCACGGACTCGGCGCAGAGCGGCGCGGGCCTTTTCAACGTTGTCACCTCGCTGGAGGAACCTGACAACTTTGTCAGTTATTTTGACATTGTATTGAGGTTTGCATCAGCTTACCATCGTGGAGAGCCGGGGATTGTTGGCAGAAGAGCCAGAATCAGACAGGGAACGAGCAGTTGGAATATGACAACCATTTTCCAGTCCCACTCGCCCAGGTTCTCCTTATGCTTTGTGCAACCGTAGTTGACCCAGAAGCAAATGAAAGATCCAACGGAGTAGAACATTTGCCAGAAGGTCATGATTTTACCACGAATCTCTGGTGGTGCCAGCTCACCAATATAAATAGGACCGGCGGCTTCACATTATATACTCGATTAGCGCAAGACAAAATACACTCCGTTGGGAAAGGATACTCACTCAAGGCAATGCCCTGTCCGATACCGATGATGAGGCGACCAGCAAGGAAGCATCCGATGTTACCACGTGGGGACCATGTCTGCATGAAGGTGGATGCAATAACAAGGACACAGCCGATGCCCATTCCAATCTTGCGGCCGAGATAATCAGCAATGGGGCCGCCCAAGAAGAAACCGCCGAAGATGGCGCCCACGGTGTAGGCCGTGTTGACTGCGCCAATCATGTTCTCATTTGGGTTATTAAAGAATTTGACCCAGTTCTTGGAACCCTGGACGGAGTTGTAGACGGACGCATCGTAACCATAGAGAACCATGCATGCTGCTGCAACGAGAGAGATGTACCTGAAAAGTATCGCCGTCAATCGATCGTTCGCTTTCTTCCACCAGCCGTCAGAAACAGGACTCACCAGTTATAGCCTCTCTTGGAGAGGATTTTGGCCATCATCTTGGCGGATGATTCGTGTAACAAGGCTTTGTATGAGATCTGAAAAAAAAAGGATAGTAGAAGTATACACCAGGTGCCCAATCGCAGTCTCTCGTCCTTGTCAGCCAAGCCCTAGACTGTCGTAGGGTGCTTGTCGTATTGTACACGACGAAGATGCTGAAAGACAAGACTCTGCCCAGAGGTTCCAAGAGACAGATATATAGGCCCCGTGAAAAATGGAGGAGAGATGGCGTCCGAGGCGATAGAAACGAGCAAGAGCCAGCCCATTATATTAGACCATGGGAGACTCAAGCCCATGGCCGCATCCTTGTGAACACTAGAGAAAAAGCACCAGGGAACAGTCCAATCAGCATCGATTGACCTGTCTCTCCTGGGTGGCTTGATGGTGTCTAGCTCTCAACTCCATGTTTCTAAGTGGTGGGGTATCTGGGGTGGACCGACGGCGGACTCAGTACGGAGACTTTGATCTAGCCCGGAGCCAGTACCGTGTGGGCGTGGCCACCGTAGAACCTCGGACGGGGATTTGAGGAAATTCTGCCCCGTTGATAAAGGACGTGCTAAGATTTCCACGAATCGGCGACCGGCTGGATCAGGAGCCATGGGGAAAAGCCAGTCCACCAATAGAAACGACTGCGCTCGAGTCAAGAATCCAGTTCTTGTCCCATGGTGGAAGAACGTTCGAAGCAAAGCCTTGTGTTGGCGTACGATGGAAATCCGGGGAGAATTATGATAAGGCAGTGATGAGGAAGTTTAGTGGAGAAAGCGGTTTGAGGTCTGTTGGTGAACGTGGAGAAGAGACGCACAGACAGGAGGAAATGCCATCGGTGTCACCAGTCCATCATCGCGAAGGTAATCACTAGATAATTAGGGCTGCCCCAATTATCCCCGGATGAATTCCAGTCAGCTCGACAAGCTTTAACACATTTAGGCAATTTGACGCTTAGCTGATTGGCCAAGATTCAATTGCACCGTCGAAACTCAGATGTTGCTGACTTTCCAGCTGACTGGAGTATCCACTATCTAGATAATTCGATGGGAGGCGAGCTGTGTCTGGGTTGAATTAGACACCCTATGGATGTACCACTCTACGGGGTCTGGAATCTGGGGTCTGCAGATCGACCATTTCATCAAGCCTTAATATCAACCGAATTTCTATGGTTTCACACCATATAATCATTGTTCAGAGAGACGGTTGGGAACATTACATTAACGCAAGACCAACGACCTACGGAATACCGACATGCTAAACTCTGAACGATACTGCCTTCATGTCCAAACCTCGAAGGCTTGGAGCAAGAAAGTGGGAGTAAAAAATGGGACGATCAAAAGGCAAATTGGTCGAGAAATCTCTCAACCTCCTGTGACTTTCTGACAAAGACTTGTGGGATGAGAGACGACTGACCCATTGTTCCTGATTTCGGTCCCGTCGCCACTGAAGAAATCCGGTGGTGTCTTGGACTTTACCTCTTTACAGTACCTTCGGATACTTGCATTGGGCGCTCGAGGGAGAACTGGAATTTTATGAGCGGATTGGACGCCTTTTGCATGTTCCGTATCGAGTGACTCTATGTCGAAGATATCTTGGATTCTTCCGCGAAAGTCTCCTCGAAACGCGCCGAGCTGACGCCATTTCTGTTTCCATGTAAAGAAAGACGACGTGGGATCACTGGCATCATCCGCTCCAGTCTCGTTTTCCCTCTGCAATACTTCTAGCTTGGTCGGTGAGGAAAATCCAGGAAAGAGAGACGGTAGAGAGTCGACGTGGAAGACTGAGGAAGACATCGGATTCGTGGCAGGACTTCGACAAGTCTGGGCACTACATAGAACCCGAAATATCCGGTATCGCCTCTGCACTCCTCTGCAGAAGCTGCGCAGCAGATACAGAAGAACAGCTACCACAACAAAGCAGCCGAGCAACACACAAACACTGTAGAAGGCTTGGCGTCCACTAACCTCCTGCTTCGAGCAGTGTCTCTCAATGACTGCAAGGTTTCTTTCTGGATAACATACTGCACAGATCTCCCCTTCAGCCGGAGTTTTACCCTCTGGTGCACAGGTCTTCTTCAGGTCAAACCCTTCGCAAAAAGTGTCCACACATATACTGCGACGACTGTGGGGATTTTTCCGGACGGGGTCATTATTATCATGAGGGCGAACACGGCCATCTGAGCCGCTGCCGAAGCCAAGGGTATTTTCTGATATTGGTGGCTCAGTTCGTACCTCTCCACGTTGAGATGCTGCCTCCGGTTGACCGTTCCAGGTCTTGCTGCGTCGTTCCCACTGCGGATCGCTGTGCTCCAGGCGAGAGTCGAGTACTATAGTTTCGCCGAGCTTTATGAGAGCTTCTGGGCTGTCATGAGGTCGCGTCAATAACCGCTTCAATAGGTGCATGCTCGCTTCTTGTCCCACTGAGATCGTCAGGGTCACCGTCAGATTCAGAACTGATTGGATTTCGTCTTCCGAGCTTCTTGAGTGTATTGAGATATTTCGACCAGGTATTGCTCCTGGGTCAGTCCAACATAGTCGCCGACCCAGGGAAACCGCATATCCTAGTTTGTCGACTTCAGCGTCCGAGTAGTTGAGCCCACTAAAGCTAACCAGTGCCCGATTGCAATATTCGAGCTCGTAGGTTTGATTGCTAAGGGACTTCTCTGGCGATAGTCCTAGACTTTCTGTGTCGTTGACAAAGGGCCCAATGAAAGCGTAAAGCAGAGCGATAAGATGCTTTTGACAATACATTGGATTGAAGCAATAATAGCTCAGACTGATTATACAAAATACCAAACCCGTCTCATGTCAAAGGCCGGAATTGAGAGCTGTCTATTTGGAGACTACGAGAGCTCGACTATACCGCATCGCCGAAGTCTTGCAAAGTCAGGAAGGAACAAGATGCCGCTCATGGAAGCTACACCTGATCTCTTCAACCACTTCAGTCGGCCGTAACAATCGTGTGGATAACATTTGAGAGTAGCAAGAACATTCGAGTGAGAAGACAGACCATCTTCGCCAAGCATCTTAAATGTTCGTGATGTCCAGCTCATCATATGTTTTGCAGTAGAATGCTTCAGAGACAGTCTTCTCACTATGGAGAGGTCAGCCACCAACCTGGTTCAGAGTGAATACCATGAGATGTCACTCCTCACATCTTTCTCCACTGACCTGTAGTTCCTCATGGTGTCATGTCTCTGTCCATTTCTCTCAGCACTAATTTGGTAAAATGAGCCACGTGATTTCGTGAATCGGTGACGCGGTGCTATCGCGGTCCCACCAAGCCATCTTTTTGGCCTCACTTTATTGTCATACTGTCCTCATCTGTCAAGTGTCGTATTTCTCGATCGGAAGTTATCTATTGTACACTAAGCCTCACAGCTATTACTCCTGCAACTGTTTCAATCCCATTCCTCATGCCACGCACTTATGGCAAAGGGAAACAGACGCGACTTTCTTTCGCTCCACTGTCCTCTTCGCCACCAGGTACTGACGGGAGCACGAGAAGTCAGAACGATCGTCTAGCTACTCTGCGATATGATCATCCCTCCTTACCTTCCCTTCGTCGAAATCCACTACAAAGGGGCAAGACCCTGACGCGCCGAGAGAAATCATATACCCCGCCAAAGAAAGTCTTATCTGAGGGAACGCCGTCCTCAGAGCCAGAACAAACCACTCAGAGATCGAGAGAAGGTGGGTTTTGTCTTCTTCACTCATCCATGCATCTGTCACTCATAGGTTTACGAAGACGAGTCGCCAACAAGATCAACCGCCAAGGACGCAATTGCTGTTGACGAGAGCAGCGATAGTACGCTGGAGATTCAGCGCAGCGCGCGCAAATATATGCGGTTACGATCGGGAAAGCGGAAGAGGTCTCCCTCCTTACCAAAGTCGTCGAAGACTTCCGCGAATGAACCTTCGATTCTGGTTTCGGATGAGAGCGATGAGGACATGGTTAAACAGCCTCGCCGAAGGTTAAGACGCGGCGCCGCCAACGCAAGGCCCATTGTCGTCGAAGAAGGTTCTGAGGACTCCGATGAGCCTATCCACTCTTCACCAATCAAGAGACGCAAGCGAAATATAAACTCAGAACCCCCCAAAACTCCGCGGCGAAACTCAGACCAGGAGAGGTTAGATCTCGAAGAGGATCTAGAGGTCTTGCAGGACTCTGGTAGGATATCGTGATGAAAGATACAGTCTTTGGGAGGAATTCCTTGCTAACTTTAGCCGTTCATGTAGTTGTAAAGAATACGCGGACCCGAGGACGTCTAGCCAATTCGGCAAGAGCTCAACGTCAACGTCATCTGGAAGCCCTAAGACGCCGAAGGGCTGGTGGGAAAGAAGAGGACGCAGCGGCGCTAGAGCAAGACTCAGATGCTGAGCACTCGAATGGAGCAGACCCTGATGACGAGCCCGAGAGTGAAGCCGGAAGCCAAGTTCATCAGCCGCAGTTTCGCCGCCAGGAAGAGAGCGATATCGAGTCATCTGTTGCAGAGGACGAGGACCTCGACCAATATGAGGATGATTTCGTATTAGAGGACGATAATGCCGAATTGGGGGTGCCATCCAGTCTAGAAGATTTACCATTTGAGTTTTCTCGGCATGCCTACAAACAGCTGAAAGGATACTTCCAAGACGCTGTTGAATGGATGGTAAATAACAAGATCAACCCTGCCTTCCCTCGTTCCGACCCGCTGTACGAAGTTGCGTTCATGAAACTTGAAGACGAGGTCAAAGGACGCACTGGTTCTCAGCTGGTATCTTCCGTCTGGAACGTCAAATTCCGCCGAGCACTCCTGGCAAGGCCTCATGTCGAAATCACTCTATATCCGATCACAGACAATCATCCTTGTGACGCGTGCAACAGGTCTAAGCATCCTGCTTCGTTCGATATGAAGCTATACGGAAAGGCTTATTCCTTGGAGACACTCGAACCATTGTCAGATGACGATAGCAACGAGGACGATGAGGAAGAGGGTCCCGAAAGGGACAGAGATGGTTACAGCTTACCAGATGAGGACACGCGGTTCTACCTTGGACGGTTTGTCCACCTTCTTAGCTTCTGTATCCACATTTCCATATTGACTCTTCGATAGCCATTGCAAAAACAAAGCCTCGCTAGCCCACACTCTCACCCACTGGCGATTTCACCTCAATGAATGGGTTGTCGACTACCTCGAACGCATGGGTTACTTAGAGGACGACAAGGTTCTTGAGCGCAGCCATTGGAGTCATAAACAAAGGGCCAGGTATGCTTCAGAGGTGATGGGCTCAATGGTCGACAGCGGTGAGGTCAAGAAGCTCTGGCGTGACTTCCATATTACCCTGAAGTCCGCGAGGGAGACAACCGTATGTTGAAGCTTCTCTACAATTTCGCAGTACATACTAATCTGCGTCCAGACACTCTCGTGATGCACGTCCATCAATCATACAGCATTGTTGCTTTTCCTTGCTTTGTGTTCATTTGCACGTACTTATCAGCAGAGCCGTCCGACAAACCCGACGAGGCACCCCTAGATGACCTGCCATCTTCGACTCTTGAGAGATACCTGCGTTAATTTTCCTTTGCTTTCGCGATGATACCCAATACTCTTTAGATCTGGTTGAATGACCCACAGTTGCTTCAATAGCTACTTAGGCAAAATCAAAATTCATGATTCATGAACTAGGTTCATCCACGTTCCATTATCTAGCAACGTACATCAACGAACAAAGAGAAATAGACATAACGGAAAATGAACATGAAATGTTGTTATACAAGTACATATAGACCCGAACAAGACGTCGGGGAAACGGACGGGATAAACCAAAGGCTTGAATACAACAGGCGAAGGGAAATGAGGACTTGAACCCGTGACGGAAACGACGCAAGAAATTTTCTGTGATCGCGCCAGCCCAAGTATGCAAACCAACAGAAGAAAGGAATATGTGAAGAGAAAACCAGCTCCAACACCTCCCCGAAATCACGTTTTGTTTTGCACTGCGCCCATATTTAATCTCAAGAGGTTCTCCGTCGCTTCGCTTGGTGAGTGGAGTCAATTCGTGTACTGGCTGCGGTTGATTGCGAACTCAGCCCCAGCAGACCGATGATCATGAATCAAAGCAAAGGATCGAACAACAGACGTCTCAGCTGCATCATCGCAATTGTAGAGCCCAGTACACCTGTTGTATTTTCACCCTCGGGTTGAGGTGTTCATTTACAGAGTAGGTTGGGCCTGCTTGTTCTCAGCGGGAAGAGCGCCGGGTGTGAGCATCTGTAGGAGAACAGTTGTCAGCATGCTCCAATCAAACTCAAACAGCTCGTAACAATGCAAATGCAAAGATATAACTCAGAATCGCGTGTGCCTCGCTTTCTTTGCAGAACAAGTCCCCAAGTAAGAGTTTTCACACCGCTGCTGGTGCTCAAAGAACCGGACAGATCCCAAAGAACCGAGTCGAAACAATCTGATGGAATGACTTAAAGAGGAAAAATGTCCGTCAACATACCTCGTTAGCACCCTTGATCATTCCCTGCTCACGCTCCATCTGAACGTACTGCTCCTCTTCGGCATAGGCAAGCGCCCATGGAACGCCAAGGAGGAAAGCACTGGTGCTAAGAATCCAGAGCGCCTTTCCGCTGAAGGAGATGCTGGACTTTGTGAACGAGGTGAGTGTGGAAACGGTGGAGGAGATCTGGCGCCGAGCTGACGGAGGGACGATATCTTTCAGAGCGGCCACTCGCTCGTACAGGGTCTCGCTTTCGACATCGAGGTCGGATTCAACGGAAATTTCGGATTCTGGGATTGGATTGAATGGTTAGATAATGTTTTTTTCGCGGTCTTGTCAGTGTGAAAATGCATGTTGGCTATGTTTCCGGCAGAAGAATCATCCTCCGGCAATGGATGGGGATGCTCTTGAATGAAGGAGCGAGATGCACGATGGTAGTGCGCGTGGGTATGGAACAGAAGCTCATAGAGAAAGAGCGACCGGTGTTAGTAGAGGCTGCTCACCCGTGTCAGTGTAGTCTTCGTCCTCATCGTCCGTGGCAAGAAGAACATTGCTCTTGGTGGCCATGGGCTTCTCTTGAGCAAAGTGCTCATCCTCAACCTCAGTGAGTTTGACCATTGTGACGGTAATAAACTAAGTCGGGACAAAGATTGCTGGAAAGAAGTGGTCAAATGACTTTGTGACGGCTGGGAAATATGATGCTAAAGGTGACGGAGATTGTTGGCGGACTGCGGACTTGGAAGTGGTTCGCTCCAACTTTTTTCCCGAACCAGACGACCCTAAAGCGGCAAGCAGCTCCAAACGTGATTTGTGCTTGAGCCGACGGTTCAATGGAGTGCTTTTATGAACGATACGGATAATCATAAGCTTACCGCCTCAGCAGGATTAGATATTGTACAAGTCGATTATTGATGCCATCTTAGATACATATGGCACGCCAAATCTCATGCAAAAATGCGGAGTGAAGAAAGTAAAAGCCCGTCATCCACCCTCTATATAATACACCCAGACCAGGTTCTGAATCAGTGGGGATCCATGAGCTGCGCTATGCAGGGATCATACGAATCTATCTTCTTCCCAGCTTCCACCGTGCAATCCGTTCTTGAATCTCCTCCCATGGGAAAGGACGGAGTTTGTACCCTTCCAGCTCACCCTCCTGCAAGACCACCGTCGGGATACCGGTGCCCTGGCCCTTGTTCTGAACATGGCCTCCAAATACATGGCGGGCCACGCGACGGAGGTCATCCACGGTCAGAGCCTCGATGCGGTCGCACATCTCCTTGACGCCAACCTTATGGCCGTGAACCTGGACTTGACGGCCAAGGTCCTCCAATTCCACCATGCGGGATTCCAAGTTCATCAACAGTGAGGAGCGCAGTTGGTTCTTCGCACGGTTGACTTCCTGTGGCTGCAAGGCGCTGTAGCCCGTGTCGAGAGTCAGTGCCTGCAGTTCGCGGCACATGACTTCAAGCATCTCGGTCGTACGGGTAGGACTGCACGAGGCGGAGATACCGAAGATTCCACTGTCTGTGTAGCTGTGGTTGAAAGCGATGCAACTTTCCACCCATCCGTGCTGGTTCAGCACATTTGTATAGAGACGAGAATACATACCCTTGCCGGGACCGCCAGCGGAGAAAGATCCGCCGCCGCCGAGCAAAGTCTGAAGGGTGGCGAGGGCGTAGATGTCAGGGCTCGAGATAGGGAGAGCCTCAAAGGCGAGATGTATGTAGCTCAGTCTAGGAAGCATGGGGTTTGCTGGTGGGGAATCGGGGGAAGAGAGAGGAAACCACCGGTGTAGTGAGAAGGTCTTGTCAAGTCCAACGATGATGGCTGCACCAACGAAGGATCAAGGGTTGCCACAGACGAAGGCTTCGACGCGCTTGTAGAGAGGTTCTTCAGGAAAGGAAGCCTGGAAAGGACAGACTGGGTTTTTGAGGTTGGGGTTGTGGTGGTTGTCGACGATGGCGTAAATTGAGGGACGGTCGGCACCTGTCCTTCCTGAGCCGCTGTCTCTGAATCCGACAGGGTCGTATCAATTCCAGTCCCGGATAATACGGGCCCTTTGACCGGATTTGTGGCCATATCACCAAAGTATTGCTCTGTTAGCTTAACAGCCTCCTCGTGCGGCACACCGGCGAAGGCAACAACCATCCTCTCCGGTTTGAAAAAGGTCTCCCTGTATCTCTCGACAACAGCCTTATTAATCTCTTCTAATCTCTCACGAGGACAGAGTAGCGGGTTCCCTAATGTGTTATCCTTGTAGGCCGCCATATGCACCAGCTCCGGCAGGATAAGCTCAGGCTTGGCCCAAATTTCATTGATCTCGTACTCTGCCGTGGCCAACTGCTGCAGAACTTCCTCATCAGTGATCAGAGGGTCACGAATCGTCTCCGCCAGAAGCCCCAGGGTCGCGGGGACCGCCGAATTGAAACTGGCCGACTGGTACATCAACGACTCGCGAGACGAAGCGCACTGAATGTTCCCTCCCAAACTCTCAAGCGTCTCCAGCATCTCATCGCTTGTTCGGGACTTGGTCGATTTAAAGGCTAGTCGGTCCATAATGTGGCTCACGCCTCGTAGGCTCTCGTCTTCGTACCGGGATCCCGCATCGACGTAGACACCTACGCCGGCAAAGGGTCCGGGTAAGGATTCCGTGGCGACACGGATTCCATTAGGCAATGTGGTAATCTGATCGAGCTCGGCAGGGTCCTATAAAGGGCGAGAATGGAGATTAGCCTTATACGACGAAGATGGCTGTTGGGGAAAAGCAATGCGTGCAGCTCTTACCTTGGACTCATTGAGTGTAGCAAAGCTTCTGGAGGCTGAACGAGGCACGCGAGCCAGAGGCTTCGCAGACTCGACGGCGCGCAAGACGGAGCGACGCATCCTGTCGCTAAGATATATGATTTGGTTGAAACAATTAGGATATATCCAATTGTTAGTCCTCCGCTCGGCGTGGCTTTATGAAGGTCTCTCATAACGGCGGCGGCGCAAAGATTTGGGGCCGGAGACTTGCCCCGATCGATGGCTTATCTAATCAGCCACTTTGGCAGACAAGAACAATGATGATCAGAATGACCAGTGTCTCAACTCGACATATTGTTCTCTGTGAGGCTTGATGGTTTTTTGGAAACTTTTAGGATTAGGTCAATTCTGTTCTCTTGGTGAGGAGCGCAGCATCCCGCCAGCAGCGAACAAAATTCGGCACTAATTTGGTTACATATTTTGCGAAATGATGTTTTGCATGTCAAGCTATATCCACGTCGTTCTTGATATATACAGTGTTCCGCTAGACTCATATATAACAGCTACCCATAGCTAGCAAACTCCTCATCCGCCCAGCCTCTCCAAATCCTCATCCCTAAGACATACCATGAGAGCAATCTCACCGTCCAGCGCCTTACGTAGAAGATACATCAAGCCCTCAACAGGCAGGAACCGCGGTCTGCGCGCACGCTCAGGTGTGCCTAGTCCAAGATTAGAATCAAGCTCGTAGCAATTGACTTTAGCCCAAGAACCAAGCATTATATCCCTTGACGGGTCGATCGACGCCCCAAATACAGGATCTATACTGTATCAACTTAGAAGGCTGAAAAACAACTGAGACAAACATTTTGACCATCACAGCAGGCGTCCAGCTTAGTCACACAGGGTAGCTGCCTTAAGTATCAGGTGAGCGGCTGAATTGAGCAGCACATCCAGGAATGTCGGAATCTTGTATTATTTGATATTCCCAAGGCAATGTTTATATATTCCCTGGTGGATGGTATCTGTTTCATCTTTGACTTCGATCTTGAGGAGACGAATAGCTGGAATTTGAAATTAGGGGTTGAGGCTGCATTACTGTCTCTATGGTCTATTTCATCTTCTCGTGCAATGTATCCATCACAGTTTTTCGAGCAGGTTCTGTCTATGGATGCTCAGCAGCCCAGTTCCTATACCAGTCCAGGCAACCAGCATTTGCAACACTTGCACCAATTTTGATATTCAGTCCGCAAAGGATCTGCTTCACCGCATTTTCGACTTTTTTGCCGTTGGATGTCACTGGAATTTCAGGACAGACATCCACTATACCCGGGACGTGGCGAGGACTGAGCTCTTTGCGGATAGTGGCTTGAATTCGTGCCGCAAGGTCCGCAGGCATGGTTGCGGGCGTCTTGCCATGCGAGGCGAGCTTCACAAATAGTACGACAGTCTCGTCAGTATCGATGCCCTCTCGCCTGCGTCCTACGCACAAAGAATCTTCGATTTCCTCAGCAAAGTGTTTCAGGAGGATGTTGTAGATTTCTGCACTTCCGAATCGAACACCTGCCGGCTTCAGAACACCATCGCTTCGGCCAAGCATGTGTACTCCCCCGGTGCGTGGGTTGATCCGGACAAAGTCGCCATGATGCCAAATGCGTGGGCCGAAGACGTCAAAATAGCTCTTGCGGTATTTTTCCGCGCCAACTGGGCCAGGTGGCCAGAACATCACCGGCTGGGCGGGAAATGGTTTTGTACACACGAGGTCACCGGGCTCGTTCGTGGCACTGATATCAGTTCCAGAGTAGTCGTATGCCGACACAGCCATTCCGAGGCAACGGCATTGAATTTCGCCTTTGTAAACAGGTAAAATGGGGCAACACGCACAGAACAGTGAGAGGATATCGGTACCGCCGGTGATGGAACCCAGCATGATATCGGCGTGAATGGAAGAGTACACATATTCAAATGTAGAGGGCGCCAGAGGAGACCCAGTGCTGAAAATAGCCTTCAGTGTTTGCAAGGTCACTGGCCGGTGAGGGTGTTGCGTGGGTTTCAGTGAGGCCTGTTCTAAGATGGAAAGGTACTTTGCAGATGTCCCAAAATGCGTAATTCGCAACTCGTCGATCAGGCGCGGCATGGCCATCTCCCCGTTCCCTCCTTCCGGGTCCAAGGGTCGGAAAGGAGAACCGTCGTAGAGGACGACGGTGGCACCGCTGGCAAGACCAGACACCAACCAATGCCACATCATCCATGTTGTGGTCGTAAAATAGAGCAAGCGGTCTCCTGGATGAATATCGCAATGGAGCACGTGCTCCTTCTTGTGCTGCAGCAGCGTTCCCAGTGCTCCATGGACAATGGGCTTTGGCGCACCAGTGGTACCAGACGAGTAAAGTATGTAAACAGGGTGATCAGGGTCAAGGCTGGCAAACTCAAGGGCGGCTGATGCATTTGAAACAGAAGCCAAGAATGTCTCGTATGTACACGCTTTCCCTTGGGTTGGCTTTACTTCATCGACATTGAATTGATGCGACTTGATGGCCTCAAAGACTACCAGCAGCTGAAGCTCTGGCAGCTCAGAGACAATTTGACGAATCTTTTCATAGGCACTATGCACTTTGCCGTTATATAACGAGGCGTTATCGGCAAATAAAATCTTCGGCTCGATTTGTCTCAGGCGCTCCAGAACCGCGTGGACCCCCGTATCGGGGGACACGCCGGTCCAGAAGGCACCTATTGAGGTCGTCGCCAGCATTGCAACGACGGTGTTAGCATGGTTGCCGAGGAAGCCTGCCACACGATCACCTGCTCGCAAGCCTGCCTCTTTGAGGGAATTGGCACACTTGCGAACGCGCTCCCGCAGCTCTTTCCAGGAAACAAATTCCCTATCAGATTCTGTGGCAGAAATCACTGCAGTAGTATCTTCGGCTGGTGAGCTTGCCGG